TGAAAGAAGAAGGAGCCCTTCGCCTGACAATGGACAAATATCTACCGAACTAATTTATGACTGAATGTTTCTCAGTAATTTATGGGCATAACTTTGGGTAATTATTTACCAACTGAACAGGTAATATTTTTGGGAGAAAAAGTTTATAACGAGATAAAAATGTTAGGGGTGGAAGAAAAAAGTGAATGAAATGAAATGACTTGAGTGAAACATCAATTTAGCTATAGGTATTGTAAGGTTTATAATACCTTCATCATTATTTAAAAAACAGAAGCTGTTTTGAAATAATGTCTTAATATGGCTAGTATTGGGGATATATAGTCTAATCCGTAAAAAATACATATAAAATAGGACGAATTATTATACTACAGTTATGGAAACATAATATTAAACTAAAGATTTTTTATAAACACCAGTGGCTATAGAGATATCAAGTTTTTCGCTCTGTTCAGCAGTCACTTATTTAATTGCTTTTTGGGCCTTTTTTCGAACGGATCTCTGGTGTTGAAAACAATGTGTCATATACATCGCAGATACAATGTTGACGTCTCCCAAAATCGTGGAATTTATCAGGCTTATACGCGACCAACAAGGCAATGAAAATGGATGATGGATGACAGTCCGCCCTGTCTGCTAATGGAGAGAATAAAATAAATTAGTTGGGGTTCTTAAGGGCAACCCCTTGAACTATAGCCCCCGATATCTTATCACTTATCTCCTTAATTGTCATCTCTGTTCTGTACTGTCCTGTTGTGCAAAATTCCTTGGCCTCGCAACCGGAAGTATGCCACGCGCAAGATGCTTCGACATTTTCCAGCACGATGGCTTTATTAATTTTCTCAATAACAGGCTAGCGGAACAGAACTGAACGGTCCTTCCATACATATTTTGCGCACGGCTCGTTTATTGAAAAATTCTTTAGCCATCACACCGAGAATGGCGAGCTTGACAACGGCGGCGGAAAAACAGCAGCAGCAGCAGCAGGAGCACCATCAGGAGCAGCAGCTGCGGAAAAAACAGGAGTCACTCGAAGGACCTGCAGGCTGCACTTGCTGGCGCCATCGCATGCCATTCAGGGAGACGTGGAAGTCGGAAAAACATGAAAGCATGCTATCAAGGATATGGCTTTCGTCGATGAAAATGATGAAAGACGATGAAGCATTATGAGGAAACATAAAAAAATTGTAGGCTTACTAGGATTTAAGTCCGTAATTAAAGGGGAATCTGATGGTAAAACAGATTGGTGTTAAAATTATTATTTAATCCCTAATAAAATTAAATATTTAGGATATTCTAGCTTTATTATTTTAAAAATACCACAAAGAAATGTGTTATTCAATTTAAACTTCAAGTTAATATTATTTCTTAACATTTTGATTCAAAAACAAAATAAATTCCAAAAATATATGATTAAATCTGTACCTTCAGGAATTAATGCTTAATTGAAAGGTAGGAATTAATAAGTTTAAATGTCTTTAGAAATGACTCCAGAAAACATTGTTTTATTTTCGGCTAGACTTACTGGAATTCCGCAAGCATAACTCCCATAACTTTTATACAAAGTTTGCGCCACAAACTTCTGATTTTAATTATGAAATCCATTGTCGGGGTGCCAAAAGAAATATTTCGAGCAAGAGACAAGCGACAGGAAGGCGGAATGAGAACGATAACAAGGGTCGCGAAAGTTTGGGTGGAAAACCAACATTTGTGATTTGTTTTATGGTGTGACACATTAGCGAAATTGCGCTAAATTATTTCGGGGGCTATAAATTTAATGATGCATTAAGCGCGAAGTTTTTAAGGCGTCGCATCCTGCCGATGTCGCGCATCCTCGGGGGCGTCGTTCGTTCCTTCATTTGCCATCCAGATCCATTCCCCATTCATTTGCAATCATTTGGCGGGTCGTGACTCCAGTTCCCGCCAAACCGGAAGTTCCCGGCCGCTTGCCAACTTCCGTCGACGCGTCGTTGGGAATTTTAACATTTCAACTTGGCACATTTGGCGAATTATTCAAATTCTTGTCATTGCAGCGAATAAAAAAAAAGGCAAAAGAGAATGAAATGAACGAAATAAACTAAAAGGCAAAGAAGGAAAAAAAGAAAGAGTGGCTTCTCCTGCTTCTTGGAAATTGGCAAAGATTTATGTCAGACTGTATGTATACATACATATATATATAAATATATACATACATACAGGAGGCCTTCCAAGCGCAAATAAAATGTTTGCTCACATTTTTGTAATTTGGAAAAAAATTACTCGTTTATTGCCTGGGAATGCTTTTTCCCAGGATTCCCGTTTAAATTCAAAGCTGGGAGAAGGACGATGTGTACAAGGACGTGGAAGAGGACACCAAGTGTCGCATTGTTTTGCCTTTCTCTAGTGTTTTTTTCAGCGGCTCCTTCTCAGTATTCCAGGCGCCTTTGCTTCGCTCTGAATAATTAATATTGCGCATACGACGTGTTGTTCCTGACTGACAATCCTCCTCGGCCAACGGATGCCGCTCGCTTTATTATGCTAATCAGCGCCGACTCTGTGCATATGCAAATTGCAATATCTATCTGCCAACAAACTCCAAGTCATTAGCTAGCAGGGGAAGCTGGGAAATACTAGGGATATAAGCCACTGTCTGGCAGCTGAGCATAAAGCATAAATTATAATTACTTAACGCCACATAAATCAAAATGATGCGAGGCAAGCTGAAATGAAATGATTCACGATAACCATAACAACAACAGCAAACTGTGGCCAACAAAGCTAATTTGTCAAAGTTGTGGAGACGTAGAATTTTGCCACTACATCGGTGGAACAGAATTACCATTTGGAGAATTAGAAAGTACAAGAATTGTCAGACAACACAAATAGAATTGAAGTTAGCTAGGGATCAAGATATGGGGAAATTACTAGAAATTATTAGTCAATTTAATCACAACCCTAAGATATAAGATTATAGCCGATTTTGTAACAATTAAACAACAGCAATCGCAACAACTGCTTATTGAACTCTGGGGAAATGTGTTCAGTGCCCATCAGGAGGACATTTATCAGTGCCAAGCGGTAACCCCTTTTAAGGGCCAAGCCAACAGGACTCCTGTTGCTCAGCAGGATGTCCTGCTGCTGCTGCTGCTCATCCTCCTGTTACTGTCTCGCCTGCCCCGACCGGACATGGTTCTCCGGACTTGGCTGCGGTTCAAGAAACTCACAAGTGACACTTGCTCGAAAGATAAATGCGAACGTAACTTTTGCCATCAAATGTTGCCAATCTACGGCGGAGTTGTGCTCAGTCCGCCTGTCGTCCTGTTCACTGCAATTTGGCCGCTCTACCTTCGTCCATTCACCACTCGAGTCGAGTCCGCAGGACCCAGGACTGACACCCATTCCGGGCTCATCATTGGCAAAAAGGAGAGGCCGAGGAAGTCACATTTACTTACTGATTTATGGCCGCTTCCGTGCTCCGGGTTTTATCTGTTGAGTTTTTGGCGTAATCATTTCAAGTCAAAATGTTTTCAAAAGGCACACTCACTCCGGCACACTCGACAGTGGCCGGACTCGCACCCGGACCTGGGACCCGGATCCGGCCCGCAATCCGGCAAGGGCTCGTTGATAAATGACAGCAAGTTTATCTCCACATTTGCCCATAAATTGCGCACTACAAAACTGCAGGACCTTCGACAGGAGTTCGCCTTTAAATTATGTTTAGTGCGAAAGGATTGCAGTTAGCATATTCAAGCGGAGGGCTGACGGGTCCGGACTCCGGAGGAGATCTGAAAGCGACAGGAAACGCCTCATATGTCAGCAATGTCGGCAAATAGCTGAGAACTTTATGGGCGGAGAAATTCTCGAATGAATACCGAACGTGTAGAAGTTGTACAATGTGTGAATATGGCCTGTGGGGCTTTTATTCCAAGAGAAATATTAATAAATAGCTGGAGAACCTTGGGGTTCGCTTTATACTCACGCACTCTCCTCTCCCCTTGAATGGTGTAAAAAGTTTGTTTATCTTTTGAAACAAGGTAAGCAACAATTTATCCTTTTGTGAGGCAGCCTCTGAAAAATTGCATTTGCATTTGCTAAATAATTTACGATGACCCACACCACACACAACACACATATGGGTCCCAAAAATGGCCTCGGGGCCAACTTAAATTGAAGACAAATGGACCCAACTGACCCGAAAGAATTTCATTTTCATATTGTTGTGTTTATGGCTTGGCCTCGCCTCGCCTGTGGCTGTTTTGCGCAATTCCAGCTCCAGAGAGGGAAGGCCCGGCGGTCAAGAGTTTTAAAACAAACACCAAAACCGTTCAACTAATGACCGAATGGAGAGGGTTTCGGGTGAGGGATTTCGGGTGGGATTTCCCAATGGCCACACGCGTTGACGTGCTGTTAATTAATATTAAACTCATTTCCACATTTTGGCATTGAAATGCCAAAAGCAACTCTAGCGGAACGGGAGAACTCCCATCTTCCTCCTCTCCGATTCTGGTCGCGTTTCATTGAATGTGTGTAATTATTTTCACGGCTGTCCAGGCCGGCTCCTGGCTTCTATTTCGAACTGTCCGAATTTACTAAGCCCATTAGCAGCAGGACGGGATGTGTGTGTGTGTCCCCTACATACGTGTCCTGGATTACTTAATGAGAAAGCAGTAAATTCCGAGAGATTCGCATGTAGGCGTCACATAATTCACGCAAATTGTGTTTGCCATTTAAATTTAAGCGAGTTAAGTACGCCAGTGATCCTGTGTCCCGTGGCCTGTATCCTGTGTGTGTTTGCTTGTTGATTTCCCACATTACGCATACGCCCCATCAGACAGGCGTGTGTCCTTAATTACAATTAATACTGATTGCCAGGCAGATCACGCAGCTCCCTACGCAAAACTAATTAAAATGTTTATCAACTTTGTAATTGTCGCCAACCTGAATGTGCAAATACGTGTTTGTGGACAACCGGAAGGGGCCACCGTCAATTGAAATGAAAGTCTTTTGTGTCACGGCTAACCTCTTTATTCATTGACTTCCAGCAGCAGACTGATGAGCTCCATGGGCGACTTCCGGCACCGGCTGGCATAGGCCGCGCGGCAATCTCCGCCCCGCCGGCCATAGTGCTCCGAGGTGTGGTACTCGCGATCCGAACTGCGTCCCAGCTGGTCCGCCGAACTGGATGGGGTGAGGACTATGTCCAGGATCTCGCCCAGCAGCCCGCTCTCGTGGTCCATCGGCAGCGCTGCGTGCTCACAAATCAACCGGAGTAGACAGCTCCTGCCCGGCAGGCCCATGTTCTCGATGACCATCTCGATGCCACGATAAATAATCCACCGGTAGAGCGCTCCATAGGTGGAGGCAGAGTCCTCGTCCCTACCCGTAATGGCCATAGGCTTTAGATAGACTCTCGTTATCTCTGTGGAGTTGGTGGGCAGAAAGTACTCCGCCTTTAGCACATAGCCCGAGGTTACGGACTCGAAGTGGAGGTTCTCCACGGGAATACCGATGCCGCCGATGAACTGTACACGCGTGGGACTCGTTGGGGGGAAGATCAGCGATCTACTCAAGCGCTTCAGGTGGCTTCCGCCGATGCACAAGTGCAGTTCAGTGAGGAATAGTCCTATTACGAGATATGCAATCCCAATTTGCAGCCTCATGTTGCTTCCGTTCGGTTCGAGAATTACCTGAGAACTGAGAGCGGCCAGCGCTTCGGATTTTCACACCTGAACGCAATCACTTTCTTTCGGATGCCGGCATCGGCTTGCGCTTTCCACTGTTTGTTTTGGCCCAAGACGAGGCTTTTAGGCTCAAATCCAGTTCAATTAGCAACCCGGTGGCAACTCACTGATCTAGTTAAGGCCATTTCACTAATGACCATGTAAGAGGCGCCGCGACGTCCAACTGCATCGTCAAGAATAATTCTCAGAATAAAAGTATACACTGAAAAAATTAAAGCATTGTATATAAAATGCATCCAATAAATAGATAATTATTAATTATATTTATAACTTTTTGCATTTTAATATTCATAACGTACAACCTTTGCAGTTTGCATTTGAATTATAGCATCGAATCGGAAATCGATCTGAACGAGGCATAAAATATTTGCATTCTTTAAATACATATTTAAAGATAATGTTAAATGACAATTTTTTGGACAAATACATTTTTTAAAATGTCATAACTTGGTTAAAAATCCATTAATTTCAATTCGGAAATCGTTCATGTGCTAGTTTTTAAAGGGCTAACAAATCTGCAAACTAAGACTTAAAATTTAAAAAATTAAATTTTTTGTCAAATTTTATAAAATTTAAAATTTAAAATTTATAAAATTATAAAATTTTCAAATTTTGGCAATTTTTTTTTTAATTTCATTTTCTTTTGGATATAGCTAGATCGATTCAGTTTTTAATGCTGATCATTAATATATATGATTTATAGGGTCGGCAATCACTCCTTCACTGTATTTTAAGCTTTTAAATTATAATACTCTGCAAAGCTATAAGAAGTCGATATTCCACATTAATCTTTACCGGTTCCATAATGTATTTAAAAAACTCGAATAAAATAAGAATTAAGAAAAATAGATTTACTATTATAAAATAAATAAACGCCTAACAAACATATATCATAAAATAAATTGATAGTATTAATTTGAAGTTCACAAATTTGTTACAATTAATAAAAATATGACTAATTAGTATTGAGAAGCTTACAGTCATATTTATCAGAGACTGCCTAAGGTCCTTTTAGTGCTCATAAGCAGCTAATGAAATCAATAGCAATAAGAGCTTAGACGGCATTATATATATTTTGATAAATGTACAATGTTTAAGGACTGCAAAGCAGATCAAATATCAAGAGAATCGTACTCCCCGAGGCACTGTAAATATTTACTCCATTCATACGGCTTCGACTTACTATACAATCGCCTCATAGCCCAACGTAATCCAACTAGTTTAAGCACTCGTCTGAGTGGGTTAAAATGCAGGAGTGCATGAACTAAAGGCAAAAGGATGGCAAAATGCGTATAAGGACTCGCATGAAATGTGTGTGAGCATTGGCATTAAGACAGTAAGCGGAGTGGCGGTGCTGGGATGATTGGGTCTTCTTCCTCGTCCTCGTCCTCGTCCTAGTCCCCGTCCTCATCCTCGTCGTCGTCTGCCGGAATGCGAAGCGGAAGTTATGCCCTCAACGACTTGAGTAACTTAAGTGAATTGCTGTTGCATCGGGTGCTGTGCAGGCAAAGCGGCGGAAAATGCGGGATGAGCCGGAGCACAGCCAGGTCCTTTTTTCCCAGGCACCAGACGAAGCTGCTCTCCGGGATGCGTATCCCGCTGGGTGGCGACACTGACCTGGACAGGAAAACGAGGCAAGCAACGAGCGATAGAGATTAGAGTACAGCGAGAATGAGCACGAAAAGTGCAAGGATGGGGCTTACACTCCTCCTGGGGAAAGAGGAAACGCATAAAAATGGCAAAAGTCAGAGGGAATTGCTACGAGAATGCCCCGATTAACGACCCTTCTTCTCAGACTATGCATTGTGTGCTGAGCTATTTATTAAATGAGCGATTAAGCCTAGGATCAACATGGCCCTGCAGACATATATATTCCCTTTTTTTAATCAAAACAGTCTTGGATATTTAACTAAGCGTCTGAAATATAGTTGCTGACTAAGTAATCAAAGTTTAAAGGTCACTTAAAGCCGATTAAAATCTTCAAAGAAAAAGTAATTTAGCCGCGGCATACCTTAGTTTTCCATTTTTTTTGCGGGCTTCAGTGCCAAAGGCAGAGCACCGCGAAGGCAATAAAAAGTTGGACAATGCAATGCGGCAATCTGGGAACTTGGGCGCCGAACAGAAACCGCAGCGGAGGCCACGAAACTTTCACCTGCAACACTTTATGTGCCTCGTTACCTTGTACCTGCTGCATCCCAAGCATTCGAACTTCGGGCTAACGAACATGCAAATTTAAAGTAAAAGTTGCCCGCAGGGGAAATTGCTATCGATTCCAGGTCCCATTGACAAGCCAAATCAATTATGTTGACAAGCTGGAAAAGCGCTTGCAGCGCAAACTAAAACAGTTTAAATGCCAAAGCATTTAGGAGGCGGGCGCACGTGTCGTATGCGTAATGAGTGCTGTAAACAGAGTGATGCATTCATCACACTGCGTGTAGGTGTGTGTATGGGGGTGTGGGTGCTAGTGGCAAGTGTCGTCGTCACATCTTGACCTCGCAGAGCCTCGAAATTACCTCGTTAGTGCTCCAGGGTGCCGTAAATCCTTTTGCTAACCGAGCAGGAGAACTCGTCCTCGTCGTCTGGCAAATGAATGTGTCTTACTTATGCTTATTTAGTTTGGGCTCCAAAAGAGGAGGCCCAGTAGGAGCAACATAAAAAGAAACAGAACTAGGACTGGGAGTGCGAGTGGAAGTGGGTGTGGGTAATGAGTTAAATTATTATGCAAACGACGGCTCCATGTCTTGAGCTGGAAATGTGTGCTCCACATAAACAAAACACTCGAAATGTGTGCCGGGGACAAACAGAGCCACCAGCCACCAGCCACGAGTCAGCAGAAGTCAGCCGAGGAGGAGTGTTCCTTGCCGGCAAGGCGGCATAAATGTAGATTAGCCCCCGGAATGGGTCCCAGCTTCCAGTTACCAGCTCCAGCTCCATCTCCACTCAGTGCAAGTGGCATCATTTGGAGCTCTGTACGGATACCGCTTCGTGCATCAATGCCAGCCATATTATTTATGGACTTTGCACACAATAATTGGCAAGCTTTCCGCACCAGAGAACACTGGTCAGCAATTGGGATCGGAAATCGGAACTGTAGGGGAATTGGATTCTCTTATTGGGACACTGGGAGTGGCCAAAAGGGGGAGTGGACATCACATTGCTGGTTCGTTGACTTCGGGCCATTTGAATGTTTCTGTGTGTTTCCAGGCTATAAAAAATATCACTGGACAGGTGTATTTGGCAATTAGTCTCGAAATTGATGATTGTTATAAAATAAAACAGATATATTTTTAAAAGAAAAGAAGGAAATGCATTAGAAGTTGCACATTTTGTTGAATTTTAGATGAGTTTATTCATCTTTTTTTATTGTTTACTTATTAGAAATAGCATCTTTGAGGGAATTTCCATTTTTACTCTTTGATACAAATTACAAAATACAGCGAAAAGATTCAATACAAGTTCAGCTGAGCAATAAAAGAATTCAATGACAATGCCCTAGGAAATAGTGATAAATATTTGTCAAATTTCCATTTCCTGATATCCTTGATCTTGGCACGGGACTTAGCACATGCCAGAAGACTGACGAAGCGAAATCAATTTACAAGCCAAATATTTGGTCCATAACAAGGACACCAGAACTGGGTCTAATTATGCATGGTCACCATGCGGGTCACTTGCCAAATTTAAATGCAAAGCCTGATGGGTCAAAAGGTGTCCACGTGTCCCAGTTTCCCAGTGTCCAAGTGTCCAAATGTCCACGTGTCTGAATCTGTGTACGCTTGTTTGCCGTGGCCCCGTGCTCGGATGTGGAATGTATGCAAATGACCGGAACACAGCAAACATTCTAATCGGCAATACATACTGTGAGTGTGTGTCGGGTGTGTGTTGGGTGTGTGTAGTTGCGAGTATGTTTTTGCCTTTTGTCAGCGTTGAATTGTCTTTGCTTGTGCTGATGCCCGATGTTGTCATGTGAACTTAAATGCTGTGCCAACGGAAGCGAGTCGAGATAAATCCGAAACCTGTGCCAAAAAAAGCTAACAAACAGAGACGAAAAGCTGGCCAGATTTTAAAGGGGCTTCAGTTTTGATGTCCTTTTGGGACTCTCATCCAAAGGTTTCTGTTTTAAGGTTTGAAATTTGTTGAATTATTCAAGAAAATCCTCGAAATGTATTTTAAATTTTTAATTAATTCAATTGTCTCAATCTATGAACCCCTGAAAGAAATCCCTTTGGCCTCAGACCTGCTAGTCACACCAGGTTAAAGTCTGCCAAAACTGTTATTAAAAGTTTCGGTACTGACCGAAGCTCTTTATTTAGTTACGGAACCACGAACATGGCTCGAAGCCCCTTAAATGAGATCAAAACGAAACGCCCAGGAAGGACTGAACAGGACTAAAAAGAAGAGAGGATAGCAACTGTATTCAAATATTTAATCCACCCGTTCAGACTGCATCCACAATAAGCCCACACTCACTCCCGGTCGGTGGGAGCCACATAAAGAACAGCTGTGTCCACCGTGGCGAATTTCATGACACACACCATGGGATGCCGCCTGCTGCTGGCCTTTCCGTGTTTAATTGAGTTTGAAATAGGTGCCAGAGTGAGCTCCTCCTCATCCTCCTCCTCCTACTACTACTCCAATTTACCCGACAGTCGGTGTTGGGCCCTGAAATTGGCTTAGTTGTGTGAGAAGAACGCCCTTCTTCGAAACAGGAAACTTTGGATTTACATATGCTGCCTGTAACCCTTTAAGCTTCCGTTTTAAATTATGCAGCTGCTGCCTTTGACGATTTGATTCCAATTTTGATTTAATGCTCCTCGGATCCTAAAATATTTGCGGCTGGCATAAGCATTGACGAGTCACTCGTAAAGTGGCCGCCGCCCTCCTTCAGGCACATTGGAATCTCAAAATTTAAAGCTGTAATCGCCCAAATCCCTTCCCATATGCCGCTCGTGCCATTCTGTTTTATGTTTTTCGCCCCGCAATCCTTTTTTGGCCAATTCATTTATTTCAATTGTTGCCGGGCTTCCGGTTCCCCTGCTGCTGCTGCTTCTTTCGACGACAAAGGCCCGTCGTAGTCAACTATACGGCGTAATAAGCACTTTTTATGCCGGGCGCATTGTGAGCGCGGCATTTTTATTGTTTCCGGGGGCAACCGGTTCGACTTTTGGGAACAGTGGGATATACTCCTAAATCGGGAGCTTAATTACTGATTTCTTTGTGAATTCATTCACAAGCTAACATCTCAGTGAAGAAGTAATTTCCGAACCTATAAACCATATATATTCTTAATCAGCATCAAAAACTGAGTCGATCTAGATATGTCTGGCTAATAAATACATTTTTGAAATTTTTTCGAAATTTGAAAAATTTATAAGGGGTTACATCGTTAAAATTGTCAAAATTTGACACAAAATTGCATTTTTCAAATATAAAAACTTAGTACGCAGATTTGTTAAGCCTGTAAAAACTAGCTCAGGAACGCTTTCCGAATTGAAATCAGTGCATTTTTGGCTTATTTATAACATTTTAAAATCTTTGAATTACCCAAAATATTAGCATGTAGAAATATAGATTAAATATATTCCTATGGCTAACTCCTTGGGTATACAACATTCGATTGCAAGAATTGCTTGCTTGTTCCAAGCCAATCTAGTTTAAAGGTATTAAAAAAGTAATCAAAAAAGAGATAAGTCAAAAACGAAGTATATATATTTATGCCTTAATAAAAATACAACGATATACGATAAAACCTTGAAGTATTACCAAATTTGTGTACCCTTGGAGAGTATTATAATTTCAGTCAGAAGCTAAAAATGCAGCGAAAGAGTTATTTCCGACCACATATCCCATATATAATATTGATCAGCATCAAAAACTGAATCGATCTAGCCATGTCCGAAGGAAAACAAAAATGTTCAAAAATTTGCCAAAATTTGAAAATTTTATAAGGGGTTACATTATTAAAATTGTCGAAATTTGATCAAAAATTGAATTCTTTTAAATTTAAAATCTTAGTATGCAGTTTTGTTAGCACTTTAAAAACTTGCACAGAAACACTTTCCGAATTGAATTTAATCCATTTTTGGCTTAGTTATGATATTTGAAAAACTGTGATTTAAACCCTCTCAGGGTAATTTCTACGTTAAGTATCCTCGCAATCCTTATCCCTAAAATATCCTAAAAATTTCGTTCAAATTTATCCAGCTTTATAACCACCGTATCCGCTCCGCCCACATGACAGCCCTGCCCCCGAATGAGGGCGTGGATGATGCGGCGCGCGTATTTGCCGACTTTTGAAACCGCTCTGAAGTTTTCCCTACATTCGTTTTATAACCCGAAACGAATAAAACAAAACAAAGTTTGCAACTTTTCGCCGCCGACTTTTTGTTTGGCCCTTGTTTGAATGACATCGTTGTCTCCCGACTTATTTTTATGTGCCAGCGCCAGGCGATTGAGGTTCCTCTGGGCCGCTACCGTCTCCGCACAGGTGAGCAGGTGGTGCCCAAAATTTACTTACCAAGTACTTATTTGCCTATTCCAAAAGCCATTTGTATAAACGGAACGACTTGGTCCCGGAGTCCCCCGAAGAAATGTAATAAAATAAGCCTCGACTTGGCAGCTGCATAAACAAATACCTGATAAAGAGTGGGGATAACGAAGACCGAGGCCGAGTCCAAGCCCTTTGTTGCGCCAACTGCCCCCAGGCCGTTGGTCCACTCTGGGCCAGGGACCACTCCAATGTATTTGCATAAAATGTTGCAGCATTAGCGGAGCCCATTACACATTGGGACAATCAGGGGAATCCCCGGCTGGCCGACCGGGCTTTCCGCGTGCTCCGGTATTTTTTATAAAATTTTATTATTATGTTTTGCATAATTTCCCTTTCTTTTTTTGTTGGGGATTGGGAGGCAAAGCTGCCAGAAATTAGGAGAGCTACGCACTGGGGAAGCTGGGTCGCAAGCTTGGATTTTTAGATACAGCCAAAATACTTTTGGCAAAGCCTCCGAAGTTCGTCAAGTGGAAGGCTTTGATTTAAATGTGGCCAAATTCAGTTAATGCTTTCGAATCCGCCAGCCGCATCCGGGTCCTTTAACAATTTCCGTTTCCCCCGCTTAAAGGCTCCATGGGCAGAAGTCACCCGAATGATATTTAGAGCACCCCGGGGACTTTTTGAAATCGGACACTGAATAGAGGAGAATAGCAGGAGCTGGAGCAGGAGCAGGAGCTGGAGCAGGAGTAGGAGGACGAACACTACGAACAGACAAAAATAGCCAGGAAAGTTCACAGCGCGGCCACACAAAGCTCGAATGCGACAATTAATTTTAGTGAATTATGACCGCAGAGAGTGGAAAATGGCGCTAATGTGACGGCCTTTGCCAATTTGCTGTTTGCTCTTTGCAGTTTTCACCAGAGCCAAAAACACGAACAGCTGTCAGGACACACACACACAGATTCATGTCCGTTCCGTAACTTTGTGTCCAGAGTCCGGACAACTTTTTCGGGTCCAATGTGACCGCAAACCGAAAAAAGATAGTCGGGGCTGGTTCCCTGGCGTGTCGTTTGCAATATGACAGCTAGAAACTGAAACCGAACCGAACCGAAGCGCACACGTTGCGTATACGCGATATGCTGCGAGTGCAGTAAAAGCCTTAAAACTGTCACAGCCACGCCAATCTGCGCTTAGAGCCGCGGTGTCGATCTGAGCTGCCATAATTTATAGCCAAACATTTCAACACTGTCGTCGTCGTCGTCGCCGTCGTCGTCCCCACCATTGTTCGATCCACGTGCGTCGACAGACAAAGGATAAAAGGATGGCGGCAGAGTGGTGCGTGGAGTGGTGGAGGAAAAGCCGCGGCAAAAACGCAACAAAATGGCAGTCGGAATAGTGGAAAAACACGCGGAAGTCGCGAGCTCAGCTCACTGAAAAGCTCGTAAAGTACAATGAACCACATAGCGGCAAGGAGATGGTGGATGAAGAGGTTGCCGCCAGGATGTGGGTGAAGTGAGTGGATTTCTGGCGAACGAAATGTCTGCAAGTGTCCCGGCGAAAGCGAAGAGCCGTTTGTTTTTCATTCTAACCGGTACCCATGGAGCTCGAAGAGCTGTATGTGATGGACATCTGTGTTATATATATATATATATATATATATATATTCCTATTCTGTATTGACTTTAAGATGATAAAACAAAAGCTAATGCTTCCCTAATTATCTAGACATTTGGTATCCTTTAAAACGCGAAATATATATGTATACTTATTCTCTTGGTAACAGAGTATATAATATTCGTAGCCCTAGACTTACTCTACACTTGGCATCATTTATCCCCTGAAAGGCAGAGGGAAATATAGTATGGCAAAGACTGATCTAGAAATCTCAATTCATGCATTTTGTTCCAGCTCCTAGTTTTTTATTTTACACAGTTACAGAAATTATATAGAATCTAGTTGGGAGCTGCTCCACTGAGTATCTTGAGGTTGTTGTCCCGGCAATAGGCCTCCAGTTCGTTGAAATTTCGAGTATCGATGCTTCTGCGCTCCATGCTCTTGGAGTATATCGCTTCGAAGTGAAGGTCGTTTTCATCCAAATGCAAAGGGTGAAAATCATCGCTGAGCTTCCGCCCTTTGCATATGGTGAACTCGCCCTTGTCGAATAGTTTACGCCGTTCGGCAAAGTTTATATGTCGTTCGGTTTGGTTATCATCGTTCTCGTTGTGGTAAACTACCGGCTTAAAAATGTTGCTTGAACTTATTGAGACCCTCGCCTGTTTCTTTTCCTCCTCCAATTTGGCCGCGAGGGAAACCATATCGATGGGCTTGGCGTGTTGCGGAAACGGTGTGTGCGACAGTCGGGTTTTCATCATGCCATAAGCGCGATGTGATTCAGGATCCTTCTCCTCCTCGTTCATATTGACCATCTTTTGTTGATAGCCATTGGTCGGAGTTCCCCTACCGTTCGATGATGTGCCACTTTTCCTCATCGTTTCGCGTAGATATATGTTTTCTATATATATATATATATGTATATATTTAGATGTTATATTTATAGTTAAATATTTTTTTTATTTTTGATGTAAACTGTATGTGAAAATGTTGACTTGTTGACTACTTTGTCCAAGCCAACGTATTACCTCAATTAAATTTAGGGGGAGGGAGCATACATTAAATGAAAAATTGTTCAAATAAATTAACTTCTGTTTAAATACTTAAAAAAATAATCAATAATAAACATAAGAATGATCTCATTCTCGAAATAATTTGTTCTCTTGAAAAATAACTAAAGTGATCAAATATTTGAGTTGGAGAGTTACATAAATAAAATAAAAATACAAATGTTTTTTACACAAGAATTAAGTTTATTTGGTAAACAATTTTGTGGAGCTCAAGCTTAATATCCTTTAATATCAATAAAAGTTAGTCTAATTATGTTGAAGTAAAACCCAAAATGGGTCACAAAAAGCAGACAATCTTGGAAACTATAAACAAATCAGGTTTCAGAAAGTTTGTGGCACCTAACCCACCCGGCTGCACCCGCAGTTTTCAACTTTTCCATTCAATTCACTTAAGTTCCTTTTCGCCTTTCGCGTTTGCATTTTGATGCGGCAACATGGGTCGCCCAACCGACCCAGCTCCTCCATCTAACCTCCTTGCCGGAGAACTTTTCCTGACCAGGCGGAAAAAGCTGGGGAAAACCAGAGAGGACAGAGGGGCAGACAAGGACAGCGGAAGGACAGGGCAGACCGACAACGACCAGCCAGCGGAGTCGTTGGAGCTAATGGTGTTTATTGCATTTACGTTCTCCCCGGCTGCCACTTAGATCGGCGACACTGTGGGCGAGTCGGGTTGGGAGCAACACCTGCAGCCACGCAAATAACCCGCAGGCGACAGAGCAAACGATGGACTCCCTCCATCCATCCGTCCATCCGTCTATCCGTCCATCCAGCTGCCTTCTGTGCTCGTGTGGAAGAAAGTGCAAAGTAAATGCACAACACAGCAGAGTCTACAAGGCGCCAGGATGAGGGTTTGGGGATTCGGGTGCTGGGTGTTGTGACTGGGAATGGGAATGGGGATCACCGCAGCTGTGGGTACAGCCAAAAGTGCAACCCACCTGATGCCTAAGCTAGCTGAGCTGTTGTGGCAGAGATTTGGCCGGAGCAAAGTTTGATTAAATCACAAGACCAGGGTGTGGGGGGCAGGCGGGAGCAGCCTGTCCAGTGGCTTGCGGGACACAGATTCAAGTGGCTTGACTTTAACACACTGCGATGAAAATATGTTTCAACAAGATACCAAGAAAATCTATTTAAATTCAATAAGAATCAATTAAATGAAACCAGACTCTCTGCTAAAATACACTTTAAGTAAACAGAGTTAGTTTTGTTATCTTACATTTAGTAGTTAAATAATTTGCTGTAATGTTCCTGCTTAACCATCGCCAAGAAAATTAATAATATGTATAATTCCCACTTAGAGCCTAAGGGTCGGGGCTTCTCCCAAGACTGCTGACTCCCCTTGTAAAATCTTAAATATGTTGTAGTTTGTGTTAAATAAAAAAAAGGCAAACAAAGTTTTTGGAAATAAGTTAAATGTTATTGAACAATTTAGACTATATGTAAACAGGGATTGTGATTTTGCAGTGCAAACTCCACAGAGCCAATGAGCCACTGGCTGCGGGCGTCAGGCAAGTAAATAAATTCATTAAACGTTTAGAGCTCTCCAGGTGGGTCTGGGCACGGGATGCCTTTGTGCTCAGGCAAAATATTCAGTTGGCCGGATTAAGTGGATTACCAGTCACTGCATTGCATTGTTCCACAATCTCTGGGACTCTTGGTCAGCCTGTTGTCCAGGAATTGTATTTACTATATCGCATTGCTTTAAAGCATCATTTTACGGCGGAGATTAACGTGAATTTTGAGGCTTATAGCCGCTTCTGAATTCGGGATCTAGGATATACATTACAGTGTGCTTTCTCATATGGTATGTGAAGGAATCGATTCGAGTCTGATAAAATACAGGACGCAGTGTGGTGCGTGGTTCCAGGAAGTAGGAAACGATGACGTTCGCATACAACAAATACGGGTACACAAACGGGAACATATAGACTGGAGCAGGAACATACATACGAAGAGGGACAGGACTACACCTCTATTCGTTCGAGGGCGGGTTGAGCACCAGCTCCCAGGGCTCCTCCGACTCCGAGGTGGCCAGCGCTTCTGACCGCGGGGCCTGGCATCGATTGCACTTGAGGCGGTACCAGAAGTTCATGTTGAAGCAGAAACCGCAGGGCCAGTCCTTGTGCGGCCGCTGGCCACGATCGCTGAGGGATCCCGATTCAGTTTTGGCCAGGCCCGGGGTGTCTTCCATTGGCTGGGACCCAGATCCCGACTGGCCCTGGGTCTCGGATTCGTGCTTGCTTGCCTGGCACCTGTTACAGCTGGAGCGCCACACAAAGTTGCTATTGCGGCAGAGCAGGCACACCCAGTTGTCGCTGGCCGGCTTCCACTTGGGCAGTCTCTGGCGGCGCTGCAGCTCGGCGGGATTCAGGTCTCGCGGATAGCTGTAGCGGACGCTGGAACCCTTGCGCATGGACAAGTAGGCGGGCAGGACACTGAGCGTCTGTCCCATGAACTTGCTGCCGCCGAGGCAGTTTATGGCCGCCTGGGCCGAGTAGGGACTCACGTAGGTGATGGTGGCCTCGCCCTTGGAGCGACCCGTCAGCTTGTTCTTGTAGACAAAGATCTTTGGCTTGCCGGTGATTTCGTCCAGCTTGATGAGGCCCAGTTTGCCAAAGAATATCATGATCTCGTTCTTGGTCACATTCAGGCGCATTCCTAGCACGAACACCGTCTCCGGCTGGATGACGTACAGCTCCTGGCCAACGGTCATATACGGAGAATATGGCGACAATGGTAGGGGAGGTGGATAAACAATATACGGTGCTGTATCCACCATGGCGGATTGGTACTGATCGCCTTCCCCCACCTCATCGTCATCATCATCAGAATCGTCGTCGTCGTCATCGTCATCACCGTCGTCGTCGTCGTTGCCATTTCCTTTTTGGTTTTGGTTTTCCATCTCACCTTTTTGGAACAGGTTCAGGCAAAGATCCGACTGCGGCTCTCCCTCAATGTCCAGTGTCTTGGGCTCCACTTGGCACGAGGATGAGCTGCTGGTGGAGACCTGGCTCTCTTCGTTTACCTCGCAAAAGTCTTCTTCATGTTGCCCGATTAGCAGCGATCCGCTTGCATCGCCGCTACCGTCCTCAAACCGATAGAGATCGTTGTAGGCGGACCTAGGGCTAAGGCCGGATCCTGAACCCATCGTGGCACTGTGCCCGGACCCGAGTCCGAGGCCAAGACCGGGACCCGAGCTCACTACATAGCTGGTGTGCATAATTTGGGACTGATTCTGCTGCGGCGACTCGGGCTGCAGCTGATCGCCAACGTAATTTGGAGGAGCGTAAAAATGATTAGTGTACACCACACTGGCTGCCGTTATGTCCATGGTGGGTAAAAATGTTGCTAAAACCACTGATTGTGGAGCTTTTAATACTGATCAAACACGAACCGATTCTATTGAAATAATAAAAACTACTGAAATCTTTGAAACTGTCCAAGACACTTCGAAACGTAAAATGAAATGAGTTTGAAGGCTCTCTCAGGCCTGACATGATGCCTACTCGCCTGCTCGGTATCGGGGATTTCGAAAGCACCAAATCATCGCTGGTTCATAGAGTTGTAATCTCAAAGACTTTATGGCTGTATTTGAAAAAAATAATCAATAAATGAGGCGACTAATCAACACAACACAAAAGAGAAAAATCTGAAGCAGACAAATAAGTTGGGAGCTCAAACTTTTGGCCATATTATTTCAATCTTAAACACTTCATATAATTCACTTTATTGATTAACTTAATCATTTTAATATCAAATACAACCACAGCAGTTCAAACAGATTTTTTAATTATATATTGCTCTGAAATTTCAATCACATAATGGATAGAAAATAAGCAAATAAACCCAATAAGTACGCACTTTCACTCCAAACTTTTTTCTGACATCTGACCTGATTTTGCAATTGGCAATAGTCACCGGGCCGCGTTGGGACGCACAGGAGAACTATGCAAATTTTAGTGATTGACGGCTAATATTGGGCCTCCTCTTTTCGTCCCCCACTTGTGCAGTTTTCTGATGATGATGACTTTGCACTTTGCTTGTGTCCACTGGAAAATTGATTCATAATTTTCCTGCATTTTCACTTTAATCAGAAAACTTTGATTACACTTCCACGGCGAAGGAAGTATAGTGGACACCTGAGACCAAATGATAGAACGAGAACAAAAACGAGCCCAGCTTGAAGAAATATATAATGTATGTAAGTTTAAATTTAGTTACATAATTTCCATAGATATTTCCTGGCAGAGAACTTGCTAATGTTTTCAATGACAGAGATTATTATCATTAATTCAAATGATGCTTTAAGAAACTTTGGGTTTCACACTACTAAAGGGTTCTAGTTAATATTTCCAATGATTTAAGCTACAGTATATATCTTCTTTTTGTAATCCCTTTATTCGTGATAAACCTTAAGCAAAATTTACAGATACATTTTTATTGCTTTGAAGTCGTTTTATTCTGGACGTAGGGTCGCTGCAATTCCAATCAAGCTGGCCGGCCCTCATCAAGCCAATTAGCTGCCAATTACCTCACTAATGACCGACCACATTAACCCCTCAATGGCCACCGAACTGGCGGACACAAGAATAATGCCTCGGCCACCGGAACGTGGACACTGAAGACATGTTTATTAATATCCCGGTCGTTGGCCCGGAACTGGGAACCAGGGCCAGAACTTGGATCCTGGACCCGGAACCTGATAAGCGGAACCGTCGCCGATTGTCGCCAAGCTCGCACGCCATTTTCACCCGCAATTCGCTTTTATGGCCGCCTCTTTACGAGCCACGCCCGGTGACCTTATCGTGGTGTCCACAAGTCCAAGAGTCCAGGGACAGACGGAGGACCCGGGCTTCATTAGCAGCCCTCTCGCTGGGGTGTCAATTTCTCCGGAAAGTGGACAAGGGGCTGGTTTCAGGGTACTCAAGTCCAAGTCGGCAGGACGCTCATTAGGTCAGCGTGTCTCGTTTAGCTCTATTTTTGCGCCACAAGTTTTGCGTTAACCCGTCGGATGTTTTCCCAGAAATAAAGTAAGCGGAGCTGGCATTTTGGCCAAGGCAACCACCGCCAACATGAAATTAAAAATCAACTGTCTTGAGGGGGAAGATACATACTATATATATATACGCAACCCGAGATACAGCGAAATGGAAACTGTTGCTGGCAAAAGTTCTGCCGGATGAAAGGGGAACTTTGTGCGCTCATAAAAATCGAGACAGCGAAAATTGTCTCGCAGGATAATTGCACAAAAGTTTGACTTTGAAGCTCGTCGGTAATTGAAAAGACAAAAGCGCAGCTAGCTATGGCAGCGAGTGAGACTAGGAGCGGATTGGGACTGGCACAGAGGGAAGTGACTTCATCAGCATCTCTCAGTGCACACACTCTGCAGATCTCGATGCAGCTGCAGCTATACATAGCTTTCATGTTGTCCTTTGGAGGAGCAGCTAATGAATTGGCCGCCTGCCGGAGCCAGAGTAAACACGAAGCGCAGCTCAGCAATCTGGCTGAATAAACTGACACGAATCGGAAGGTGGATTGGATATCGAGTATCCTGCTGCTCCCACGCCCACTTCAACTCTCACTGCCTCTACCCCCAAAGTCCAATTAATGGAAACGCACGAGTGGCGGCGGGGGAAAATCAATATTCATAAAATGTAATCCACATTTAATTGAGATAGATTACCCGCATTCGTGTGCAGGCGTATGGGTTTAATGAAGGGGTTAACTGTCTTCAAACTGAAACCGAATCAGGAACAGTCACGCCTCATGACTCCCGAATCGAAACTCCTTTGGAAAAGTGTCATATGTCAGATAAAGGAAGCTTGCTTGCGATAATTTATGTGGGAGTGCAATTTATTGAGGAAATATAAGCAAGAAATACTTATCCAAATCCATATGAGACTAGGTTCGCACTTCCTTCTAGAGAAAGTAAGATTTTCCTTTTAAAATTGCACTTTTTTCTAGAAAGTTCAAGTTCAGGGCCAAGTTAAGGGGGTAGCTAGGTCACTATTGTATTTTTTCAATGATGACAAAGCTTGAGAAGTTTTACGGTGAGGATTCGTATCACTAAAGATCAATAAAAAGAAGAGCCTTATACAATTCTACAAGGCCGAAGCCTGGATTTAATTTTACTGGCCTTTTTTTTGGCTTATGCAACTGCCACAGACATATTACCCACAGTCTCACCCCCGAATACACCCGAACACACAAGCCATAAAATGTGTACGTGTCTAAATTTTAATATGCTTGCCAGTTGCCAGTTGGATTGTACGAGTTGTGCGAGTTCCGAGGAATGTAAGTACAGATCCTGTACAGCTGCGGAATGTGTGTGGGCGCCTGTGTGTTTGCTAGTCCCTGTTTATTTGACTTGCTACTTATTTATTACGCAGCATAATGAAATTTCACGTAATCCTCATTAAAGCCAGAACAAAGGCACCAGACCTCAACACGGGCAGAGGTTCTGTTTCAGATTCGAATGCGGATTCGGGTTTGTGCAAACAAGTTGAAGACTCCACCGAACGCGGCATTCAAATCTCAGTCCATGACTCAATTTCAATGACGGAGAGAAACTCCGAGGACGAGGACGAGGACGGTGCTCCACAGATTATCGACTTTTGAAGCACCGGCAGCGCAGACACAAAAGCCAGTCAGACGTCTCCATCGCCCACACGTCCAATACAAATAAATCAGACAAAGCATATAAATCTAAATTGTATCGCATTGTGGCGCATTTCGCCTCACCTTCGGCTGCTTTATTGGCAAATTGGCGATAGGGACTTGAGATGAAGGGGGGAATTGGCCTTTGTGCGCCAATCCACTGGGCTCCACCGACCGAGTGTTCCGTGCACCTGAGAGTCTGGGAATCGGGTTTGGTTTTGTATTGAGTATCGGTTCAGTTCGCTGCCACGTTGATTTCCCATCGATTTTGGGCTGCTGCACTGCAAATACACTCGGCTCTCACCTCTCACTCTTTTCGAGTGCTGACAGAGCAATTATCGAGCTGAAATTTCACCAATCACTCAAGTAACCAAGGAGCCAAGTATTCCGGGAACAAAGTAACCAAGTAGTCAAGTAACTAAGCTTAGCTATTGTACTGAGGAGAAAGGACTAAGCCACCGATCAACAGACATGACATTCCCGGGTAAACTTCACGACCAACTCCATCGGCTGACTCTGGTTAACCAAATTCCCTGCATCCAGAATCTAGACCACCATATTGGTCCTGGAACTAAAATCGAGTTAATAATCGATTTGCTTATAGGTATTCTCTATTAAAAACCAATTTACAGCATATTCTGTATCCATCTTTTATTTCAGAATGGTTATAAATTACGCAACTCACAGATGTGCATATTTTATGTTATTAAATGTTTACTCATTTCTAACCCACTCTTCACTAATTAATTATTAAAACAATCAATATTGTTTATTATGTATGAAGCATAATTGTATTTTTTCACTCAGGGAATATAAAAACACGCCAGAGGGCATTGATATTTTTTCCGTTCCGGGCTCTCTCGCTGTTTTAAACTTAAATATATTTATCCCGAAAATAAAAGCGTGATATGAGGAAACCTTGTAATGAACCGATTTATGGACAACAATTAAATCGCACAAGTTGCTGAGTTGCTAAGCTGCTATGAATCGTACCTGGGGACATTACGCATACGCCACCGAATCTGAGTCTACTGTTGGGGCTGTCGTCGTCGTCTCGGGGCCATTGTGCAGCCAGTATTAGCCGTAATTCACTGGGGCTAATGCCTCGTTTAACGCTCCGGAGTCTGTGGTCCGTAGTCCGGAGTTTAAGCGCTTTCATGTCGCTCACAGTTGTGGCTGCGCGTACAAATCCCCAAATTGCGTAATAAATAAAATGCATTTGCGTGGAAAATTAGGAAGTGGCAGAAAGAGAGAGAGACGGAGGGAGAGGGGAGACCCAGAGAGATGGAGGAGGGAAGAAATTCAAATTTCCACATTTTCATATTTTCACATTTCTTACATTTTCATAATGTAAGCTGCAGACTCTGCCATCTCACAGAGAGCATAAATCTTGGCAAGTACTCAAACGCAGACACAAACAAATCGCCTTGGACATTTCTGCGTGTGTTTTGAATTCCCTTTTTGCATTCACAAATCGAAGGATTACCCAAGTTGTTTGTTCTTCGTCCTTTAAAGCCACGCGAAACGAAATGAATGCAAAAATTTCTCAATTCAAAACTAGTTCGTTCGGCTTGAACTTGAGCGAGCTCCTTCCGCCTGTCTTCGCTTGACAGGATCCGAGGCACTTCATATCCAATTTCAGGCTATTGACACAATGGAGCACCCTTGAGCAGTGCCGCTCCTCCCCCGAGGCGGAGAGGAACATAAAACGAACTAAATAAATAAACTGGAAACCTCATTTGGAGCCATAAAAACGAACTTTCGAATGCAAACCAAAAAGTTAGAGAGTCGTCGTCGCCCCTTTTCCAATCAGAGGCCCATTTGGAGAAAAGTTTTGCGACATTTGGCAGCGCAATGAAATCCGCTTGAAAATCCCACCATCCTCCCGAGAAATCGCAACTCGAACTGTCCATCAAAGGCTTACCTCAGAGTCTGTCGGCGCATTCCATTCTAAGCCTTGGACGCTGTGTCCTGTTGCCACGCGGCTAAATAGTTGCCACAATTGGGGGAATGCCTTTCATCTCGGCGGCATCATGAAGAATGGAGCATTGAGAGGAGACTGCCGGCGTAATTATCCGCGCAAACTCACTGTTCCCCCATTCAGCCGGAGAGCTGAATTAGTGAGAGAATTCTGCCGGAGTCACTTATAAACAAAAACAAAGGCATGCAACAGATAGGAGCTTTATTAGCACGTGGTAATTAATAATAAGGTATGTAAAGCTTAGGTGGGTTAAGAATAAGAAGATTTTACTTTTAATTTATTGAATAATATTTAATATGAGTCCGATATTAGTGAATATATTTGAATATTTTTTAAAACTTCTTAGAGGCTCACTTCCTCTAAGGGTTTGTGTTCCAGATAGACCGAGAACACTAAATGGACAAAATTTAAGTTCTAGTAATGGTTTGTGTCCTTACACCAGTGAGAACACCTTAAACACCCAATACAACAACCCATAGCTTAGGAGAGAAAATGAATTTAAATCAGCACTTCCTTATCTGTATCTATTTCAGAGTAAATAAAAATAAAGAATAAACTAGAAGCAAAAAAATTAAAATAAGAAATTGCAATTCCATTTTTGTATTATTGTTACAAGTTAAGTGATTTTAAAATGCTGAATCTTTTTTACTTGCACCATTGAGTACTTTTAGATATTATTACGCTAATATTTAGTCATTTTGTATAATTAATTCAAAGTAGCTCATTAATAGCCCCAATAAACTTACCTCTAAATTTTGTCCTAATACGAATAAAAATTAATAAACAAAACACCTTCAAATTCCAAGCAGAATCCAAAACAGGAACATCGCTAGCCACTCCATCAACCCTCATTCAAGGACGACCAATCGGAACGCGCCGAACTGTTGCCCATTCAAAATGGCCTCCAAGCAGATGCCGCCATCCGGAGGGGAGGAAAATCCAATAAGCAAAAGCCGTATCTGGACCGAGCTGACTTCACAGTTCGCGAGGACAATCAGAATTTATTGCAACTCAGTCTTCCAAGCAGAACGGACCAAAGGTCTTCCAATTGCAACACGATTAGCTACCAGATCGGACAGACAGTCACCATGCAGCATCCGCATCCGGGTGACCAGCCCACCTACATGCCAGAGGTTCCCTTCCAGCCACTGTGGGGCCAGGAAGCACCGCCGCCACCGCCCATAGTGCCCTACCAGGAGCTCATCGCTGGCTTTCCCTGCACCGATTTGTGTGAGTAGCCATCGCCTAAAGGATAACCAGACAACAAATTATTCAAGAACTATATTTTTTCCAACCTACAGCCCTGTGGCAACGTTCCCAGGTGGCTCCCTTGGTGCCGCAACGTCCGTCCACCAATGGCAGGGCCAACGGCTCCTCCAGTTCCTCGAAGAAAACTCGCCGTCGGGTGGCCTCGATGGCTCAGAGGAGGGCAGCCAATATCCGTGAGCGTCGGCGGATGTTCAACCTGAATGAGGCCTTCGATAAGCTGCGGCGGAAGGTGCCCACCTTCGCCTACGAGAAACGGCTCTCACGCATCGAAACTCTCCGGCTGGCCATCACCTACATTGGGTTCATGGCGGAGCTGCTAAGCGGCACGCCCTCAAACTCCCACAAGTCCCGCTCGGATGTCTACGGTGGGATGAACGGACACCATCAGGCGGCCCCACCCCCCATCCATCCGCATCATCTCCACCCGGCGGCGGCCTATCAACGTGACTTTGCCTCGCCGTATAATCATAGTTTGACCTGAAGAGGTGATGTTTAAAATCAATTATTATTATATATCAATAACCTTTATTGAAGCTTTAACGGGATTGTTAGCCCAAACAGCTTGACCTTTGTTTTTTTAATATTTAAAAATATCGATATAAATTAAAACAATAAATGAAACTATCTTAGAGAAACCAAAGTTTGTGTACCCTTGCAGTAAGCCAAAGAATCATGTACAATCAACTTGAACTAATCATTAATCTCAATTTGGAATCCCTTTTCTGTGTTGCCTTGTATTAGATACCAGCATATTAATATATGCTAATTTTTTGGGTAAATCAAAGATTTGTAAATACCATAACTAAGTCAAAAATAAATTAATTTAAATTCGGAAAGCGTTCCTGAGCTAGTTTTTACAGGCTTTACAAATCTGCATACTGGGTGTCAAAGTTTAAGAAATTCAATTTTTTGTCAAATTTTGAATATTTTAATGATGTAACCCCTTATCAAATTTTCGATTTTTGGCAAATTTTCTAAAATTTTTGTTTTCCTTCGGACATGGCTAAATCGATTCAGTTTTTGACGCTGATCAATAATATATATGGGATATGGAGTCGAAAATGACTCCTTTCCTGCATTTTAACCTTCCGACTGAAATAATAATACCCTGAAAGAGTAAAAAATTTTGGTAACAGTTTAAAGTTTTATCGTATATCGTAATGTTTTTATTAAGGGATAAATATGCATACTTAGTTTTTGATTTATCTCTTTTTGATTCCTTTTTTTAATACCTTTTAAATAGTTTGGCTTGGAACAATAATGCAATCTTTTCCATCGAATGTTGTATACCCAAGAAGTTAGCCATAGGACTGTATTAAATCGATATATATATATATGCAAATATTTTGGGTAATTGGAAGATTTTAAAATGTTATAAGCGTTTTTGAGCTACTTTTTACAGACTTAACAAATCTACGTACTGGGTAAAACATGCAACATTTTATAAAATTTTGACAATTTTAATGATGTAATTTAGAAAAAATTTCAAAAATTTATTTTCTAGCCAGACATAGCTAGATCGCCTCAGTTTTTGACGCTGATCAATAATATATATGGTTTATAAGGTCGGAAATGACTCCTTAATTGCATTGCAGGCTTCTGACTGAAATTATAATACCCAATAGAGATCATTATTAAACCCAATTAAATCTAAAATTGGCTAATGTTGTGACTTTAAAGTCAAAAGTACCACCAACATACACCTGATAATCCCCTTAATTCTGACTGGCACAACCCGCACTTGTTTCTAAAAAAAAAAACCAAGTGTAACCGAAGCAAACCATGTCCTGATTTGCGTGCGAATCCTTGCAGCTGCTTGCAGGGAAGGGAACACATGTCGGTGAGCTTGATGCGGTGGCCTCGATGAAGTCACATTGCATAAAGAGGAGGCTTCCTTAACGGACCCCGAAACAGAGAACCAACTATTATACAAAATTTGACAAGGCAAACAAAGCGTGAAATTATTATTAATAAATTGATGCGCTGGCGAGGGGAGGGTCGGCAATTCAAAGTCAATTGTAGCAACCCCTAACCGAGAACAACAACAGCAAACAGCCCAGGAACAAGTGTAACACTTGAGGGATTGCCTAAATACCAAGGAATTTTTGCGTTCAACGCCCATTTCCAACAGATTAGCGCCCCTTTCTTTTTCCGGGGGAAGAAATTAATTCGGAACGGATATTGCAAGGACATCGGGCTACCTGGGGAGGGTTGCTGCTCTTGTTTTGGTAGTTTGGTCTACAATATGTTTTGATGAATTTGTGACACTTCATGCCGCATTAAATCGTATTCCATATGCACATTCGACCCTAGGGGTGGCTCACGCCATCCCTTTGGCTTACAAAGTGGCCTCACGTGTCAGCGATTAGCACAGCAGTAAGAGATATCTCTAGATATCTTTACATCCTGATCTATTTTGATATTAACTCGTAGAGATGATTCTTCCGGCACCTTTACAGTTTATTAAATATTTAATTTAGATCAGATTTAACACATCTCTCCCCAGCCACGTGCAGCTTATTAACCGATTCCCATAGAAAATCGAGTGAATCAACCCACAACTGAGATTGCATGACTTGGTGCAGTCATTCTCCCTTTCGGCTTTGTTTGTCAAATCGCTATGACAAATTAATTGAATTTCGTTATAATTTCTGACATTTTTCGCTATTTTTCGACACTTTTTTTGGGACTCAATTAGGGCAGAAACCCAATATATATTAGGTCATGATAGATGGGTCTTAACATAGCAGATGTTCGAACTGCCAAGGGGAAATTGTCTTACTCACTTTGTGCGAATTAATAGGGTGTTCCTCCTAACTTATCTAAGATAACTTGGAAAGCAACAATCATGTTTGCCTACTGACTTCATAAATTTCAACTATACAACCTACATTCCCTATCAATACGCACTTATCGATTCTAGACCTGCTCGTATGAGCGTAGAACTTGAGTTTAGTTTGCAATCGGGAACGGAGGAGAATGTCGAGTAAAATTCTGGTAACGCAGCTATCCCAAGAGGTCTCCGTGCCCACCTGGCTGGATCAGCAGGAGCTGGAGCATGTGTTGAGGCAGGAGATTCCCGAATTCAAGAAAATCGAGAGCACTCGCTGCAAGTGGGAAGTGCAGCTGTCGCAGCCCGCTCTCTGTGTTCAGCTTCAGGTTCTTACTGCAGGTAGGAAATCTAATATAGAAAACTGATTTAGATATACCTCTCTGATCATCCCCAATTTTACAGACAACAAGAAGCGCCTTGTGAGATACCTACTCAAGTCAGAGGAAACCACCTCAGGTGTCCTTAAGTTACCCATTCAAGGAGACTTCTCAGTGGAGCGGTACATGTACGAGAACGTGCTCCCCGCCCTGGAGGAGCTGTACAAGGATGTGGACAAGGTTATCCACTTTAGTCCTATGAGCTACCAGTCAAAGCAAAAGTCGAACTGCCTTTACTTGGATTATATCCTAGCCAAGGGTTACTCCGTGGGCAATACTCAAAAAGGTCTGAATGTAACCGCCATGCAAGCGGTGCTATCAAAACTGGCGGCTTATCATGCTGCCACAGCCTGCTATATAGAGAGGAATTCTGGGAAGATTAGGGAGCTTCCAAAGCTCAGCGGAAAACGAGTGGGTGCGGTGGCCGAGCTCAAGAGCTTGTTGCAAATGAAATTTCACGAGAGTCTCCGTGCGAACAATGCCCGCGAGTACGAAGATAAGGTGGTAAGTAATGCTTTTTCTTTTTGTGTTTGATACTTTTTTATTAATTTTGAAATTTGCCCACCAGAAATCATTTCAAAAGTATGTACAATCCCATACTGAAGCTCTTGATGGAAAAACGTCTTTCAATGTTATCCTCAATGGATCCTGCTGGCCCAATAATTTACTCAATCAAGTTGATGCCTTTGGCAATGTAAAGGACTCTCTCTTCAGTGACTTTCATGCTGCTAAATATGGTCCAGCGGTCAACGACCTTTTTAGCTTGCTCCTAACTGCTCCGGCTGAGAAAACAAACCGATTTGATGGGTATGTCAAGTACTATCACGATCAGTTGGTAGCTAATTTGAACCTCCTAAAATACCGGGGAAAGAAGCCCAGTCTCACGGATCTTCAGTTAGATTTGCTGAAGTACGGTCATTGGGGTAGGTCTTGAAAGTCTATTTATTTATTTAATGATTAAAAAGTGACCTTTTAATAGCTTTTGAATTTGCTACGGAAGTTCTGCCAGTACTTCTCTCGGATTTTGATGCCAATGATGACATCGATGAGCTCTTCAGGAACCCAGTTTTTGGAGAGCAGTTGAGGGAGCTACTGCCCTGGCTGGAGAATCGTGGATATTTCGAAGAGGACTAGGCACACATTGTTTTAAAATGCAAATAAAACTGTGTGAGAGAGTTCTGTTGTTTCTATAAGGAGCATCTTAAAGGAATGACTTCTTGAAGGGAAGATTACTAACATTAAAACCCAAAAGTTGATTTTGATTTTACCACTGCGAAAACTGTTTGTATTTACGAACTGAGAATCAACATCAAAAAGAATCGTATAGGGTAGTCAGTCATATATTTAGTAAGTAGCAACGAACCTCAAATGAAAGCAGCACGCGTCTTGATTAACTCAAAAGCTTCAAAACGCTCTTCAAATTGTTTGCCAGGGTACAATTTTTATTAGAGCTTTGTTTGAGAGAATTATTATAGAGATAAACAAACTCACATTTCGCAAGTCATGGGCAGAAAATAAACAGAGTAACTGTGAGGCAACAATAAGTCATTTTGCAAACTTGCTCGTCCGGGGTTCAAGCAGCAAGATCTGGTCTATAATAACTGATTAGGCACCTAAATTTGCCAGCTAGGCATGAATGTGGTTCTAGTACCGCATTGACGATCGACGATCTGACATGTGAGGAAACAGGTCCACCCAGATCAGAAAGTGTTTCCATCCCCAAGATGGGGCACTTTAGCCAGCCAACGAAATTGAGGAAAAGAGCTTTCGGACGAGAGAAAGCTCCTAATGTTTGGGCCAATAAAAGGCAGGTCTCGATCCAAGTGGCGCAGATTACGGTTCTAACAGGTCGACGGAATGGTTCAAGGCACAGAAGAAAGCACCACCGAGCAGTTCCCAGTGTGGATGACGCAGGAGCTGTTCCGGGAGTTTCTGGACCGCGATTTTCCGGATCTCAAGACTATCAAGTCTTTCCAGCTTGAAACTACAGGAGGAAAAGGGGAAAACTACACAACTCTACTTTTGAGGGCCAACTTCGAGTTAGAACTTAAAGGTAAGACACCAAAAGCAACTTTATAGTGTCAAAAAATTAATAATCTAATGTATTGCAGATGGCTCCCAGCAGAGCACCTCCTACATGGTCAAAATCTTGCCCAACAACGGCAATCGGCAGAATGTGAAAACATGGCAGTTGTTTGAGAAGGAGGGAACCACCTATGGACAGTATGTCCCCGAGTTTGAGCAGATGTACAGGGATGCTGGCACTGAAATTACCTTTGGAGCACACTACTACGAGTTCAAGGAGCCACTGGACGAGGAGGTCATAGTGCTGGAGGACTTGGGCAGACGGGGATTCCGGAACGTGAACCGACAGATGGGTTTGGACTTGGCGCACTCCGAAGCCGTGTTGGCAAAGCTGGCACAGTTCCATGCTGCCTCCGCCGTGCGATACCAGCTCAAGGGAGCCTTTCCGGCTGTTTACGATCGGAACCTTTGCAGCAAGCAGGATGACTTTAAAGAATTTCGAAACACTCAAATCAAGGCTTTTGTCGAAGCGATGCCTCTGTATGAGGCCTCCGATTTGGCCCAGTCGGTGGTGAGTAGTGGAAATACATTGGTTTCGATATAGCAAATACTAATGAGTTTCTCTAGGAATCCTTTGGCAGACAAGCTGAGGATATGTTCCAGCAATATGCTCCCCAAATCGAGGGAGAGTTCCGTGTCCTGAATCACGGAGATGCTTGGTGCAACAACTTTATGTTTCAGTACGATGAAACGACGGGGAAACTGAGCGAAATATACTTTGTGGATCTGCAGATGAGTCGGTTCTCTTCGCCGGCCCAGGATTTGCTCTATTTTATCCTCTCCTCGACGCAGCTGGACATTAAGATAGCCAAGTTCGATTACTTGATCAAGTATTACCACGACAAGCTCACGGAAAACCTGAAGTTGCTGAAGTATCCCAAGCAGCTGCCTTCGCTGAGAAGCCTTCACCAATCAATCTTCAGATATGGCGACTGGAGTAAGTTATTTATATACATAGGTGTTACCATTGCCAATTGGTACTTACTTTCTCTCTACTCCTATACTGAACAGTTCTCCCCATTATCACTGTTTTGCTGCCCATTGTCCTGGTTGATGGCAGCGATGATGCCAATATGGACTCCATGATGGATTCAGAGGGATCCGGTGAGAAGTTCCGCAACAATCTGTTTAAGAACCCTCGTATTATCCGAAACCTGAAGGAGATTCTTCCCTGGGCCCATCGTCGTGGGGCATTTGAAATCACCAAATAAAATGTTCAAACTGTTAAGATTACTAAGTAAACACAACAATTTGTTATCAGTCTATATACCTTTATCTATGAGCTTTGTTTTGAGTAAAAAGTTTATCGTCCGAATCGCTGTTATCAACCACAGACTGTGAGTGGTTCGAAGATTTGAGTGGAAACCGAACAACACTCGCCAAACACTCAAACACTTGTCTAAGCTCTGAAACGCAAAATTGTCGACGCTGATGAAATAATTGAACTATGTGAGCACCGAACCGAGCGCCATAAGTGGAGGGGAACTTTGGCTGGCAAACATCAGTTCGTAGCCGTTTCCGCAGTTGAACGGACGTAGAAAAAAGCGCTGTTCTAGTCAACCATAAACATATATATTTATATATTTATATACACGCGATGGGTTTGCGAGGTTCCAAGTCAAAGAAAAGCTACCAAGTAGCTGCGGCCAACTCTCAAAATCAGAGAAAGGCTTCGATTAAGGCCTCTAATAAAGATGACACGGTTGCGGAGTCTATTACCGCAGTGCCAACGACTCCAACCCCTGAGGCTGACCCACCCGCAATTGAAAAGGCCAACCTTGGCCCAGAGTGGTTGAATGAGACGCAATTTGAAGAATTACTCACTGCGAATGTTGATAAGTTCTCAAAGATAGTGGGATTCCGGGTGAAACCCGCTATGGCGCCGGGAGAAAACTATGCCACTCTTATGCTGAGGATCAGCATTGATGTGGAGCTCACTGGTAAGTCTCGGAGAAGGGTCAAGACAAAAGATATGGTCTAAGCACTAGCCTGAATCCACAATCTTTCTACCATATAAGGAGCATTTTATTCGTGCCGGCTATCAGCGATAAGTAGTATCTAGTAGTTTATTTATAGGCAGTAGACAATAAATGCTTGTTATGTGTGTCATTTCACAATCATAGCAAGTGCATGTCTAAAAATAATGGGTTAATAGCAGGCTAATCAGATTTTAAAACAAGTAAAATATTTCCGCTAACTATTTTCGATCTCACTATCTAGACAAGACCACCAAAACGGTCGCCTTCATGATGAAGGTTCCCCACAAAACTCCCCAAATGGAACAGATGCTAGCCATGGCCAACTTCTTCAATACCGAGAATGCTGCCTACACAGAAATACTGCCGAAACTAGAGGCTCTCTATAAGTCCAAGGGCCTGGACATTACCTTTGCCCCCAAAGCATTTAGGTTGGACGCCACGAAGGAACCCAATCTGGCTAATACTGTGCTGATGAATGATTTGGGCCAAGATGGATACAAGAACCTGAATCGCCTGGAGTGCCTTAACTTGGAGCAAACTAAGTTGGCCCTGAAGAAGCTTGCCCAGTTCCATGCAGCTTCGGCAGTAAGCGTGGAGGTTAATGGACCGTTTCCGGATGTTTTTGTCAACGGAATGCTGGGTGGTAACAAAGAGGCCATGTTGGCTTTCTTCGAGGCTATGATAACCCCCTTTAAAACGGCTTTCTTGGCCAATCTGAAGAATTTTAAGAACGGAGAAGAGTTTCGTGAGAAGCTGGTAGGTTACAGGTATAAGGTCTCCCAAAGAGAACTTTAATTTCATTATTTTCTTTCAGGTCACGGCTTTCTCGCAGGTCGCCTCGGACTTCGAGCATCTAATTAAGATCGATCCATCAGAGTTCAATGTTCTAAATCACGGCGATTGCTGGATGAACAATCTGCTCTTCAAGCTCGACTCGAAGGGCGATGTGGAAGACGTAGTCTTTGTTGATTTCCAAAATCCCAAATACGGTTCTCCCACGCAGGATCTGTTCTACTTTATCATGACCTCAGTGCACATAGACTACAAGCTGGATTACTTTGACTTCTTCGTCAGGCATTATCACGAACAGCTGACCAAACACCTGGATCTGCTGGGTTTTAAGGGAGCTCAGCCCTCTCTCCGGGATTTGCACATGATGATGTACAAGTACGGAAGCTGGGCCCTCTTCCCCGCTATCACGGTGCTGCCAGTGGTGCTCCTGGATCCCAGTGAGTCGGCCACTTTTGACAATTTCCTAGGCGATTCCGATGCTGGTACAAAGTTTAAGAACCAACTATACGAAAACAAGCGCTACCAAGGATACATCGAAAAGATCCTGCCCTGGCTGGACAATCGGGGATTTATGGAGGCCTAGTAAGTCTGAAATTATTCCCTACAGAACGTAAAATAATCCTTTCTTTTTTCCTTCCTCTAGCGTTCCGCCAGCACCAGTTCAAACCCGGTCAACGAGTCCTGCACAGCAGTCCCAGCCTGAAAATTCCGAACAGATCTTGAACTGGTTGAGTGTGGGCGACTTTAAGGAAATCATTGCCTCTATTGAACCCCAGTTTGAGAAGATTTTAAATGGCACTTGGATATCAGCAACAAAACCCGGAGAACACTTTGCATCTTCGCTATTGAAGATTGACATACAGGCCCAGTTAAAAGGTATAATCCGAGCTAAACTTAAACTAGTAACCAAGCCTAACTAATCAGGATTCTCTCAACAGACAATAGTACCAAACCGTTCTCCTACATTCTGAAGGTGCATCCACCCTTTACCGGCATTGATAACTTCACGGACCTTAACATGTTCCCCAAGGAGATTGAGATGTATAGCAAATATGTGCCTGCGTTTGAGAAGCTCTTTAAGGACGCCGGCTGTTCGGTTACCTTTAGTGCCAAGTCCTTTGTTTTAACTAAGCCCGTCAAGGAAGAGTACCTTCTCATGGAGAATCTTCAAAGCAGTGGCTTCAAGATGGCCGATCGCATGAAGGGACTGGACATGGAGCACATGAAGAGCTGTCTGAAGAAACTGGCCCAATGGCATGCAGCTTCCATTAAGTACAAAGAGCTCAATGGACCGTATCCCCCACTATATAAGGACGGTATTTATATAGAGCAAACACGTGACACTTTCCAAAATATGTTTGCCTCGGCTAAGAAATCGTATATTGAAGTCTTGGGAAAGTTTGACGGGGCAGAGGAGTATGTAGGCAAGCTGGTAAGAATTGGTAAACGATTTTTTATCTCATATGCTAAGCTAAACACTTTTTTGTTTACTGTACAGTCCTGGATCCTGGACAACCATGTGGATCAGGTTTTGCAAGATGCTGAAATCGACGAGACAGAGTTCAATGTGCTCAACCATGGCGATGCTTGGATCAACAACATAATGTTCCAATACGACGCCGAGGGGCACCTCAAGGAGACCTTCCTGCTGGATCATCAGAATGCCAAATATGGCAATCCAGCCCAGGATCTATACTACTTCATTATGAGCTCGGCGGAATTAGACCTTAAAGTCGATAAGTTTGACTATCTGATCAGATACTATCACGAGAACCTCACTGAGTACGCCAAATTGTTGAAGTACAATGGAGTTGTTCCCTCGCTGAGTGAACTGCATGCAATTCTGATAAGGCATCCAGCTTTCGGTATGTTCAATAGCGATAATATTTAAAATCCTTGTTGTCAATTTTATATTTATCCATATTTTTGTAGCTGCTGGCACTGTCATTAGTACACTTACAGTCTGCCTAAGAGAGAGCGATGAGGATTTCAACACCGAAGCATTTTTCACAGAAAACGAGGAATCCGAAGCCTTTAGACTAAAGTTATTCGGTAATGAGCGTTACAGGGCCCATATCGAACGCATTATGCCCTGGCTCAATAGAAGAGGTCTACTCGAGGCTTGAAGGAGTTTTCCCAATTTGATGTGTTCTGGCTGGGACTACCGAGTAGCATGCCTTTGAATATCCTTGCTGGGACAAGAGGATGGTATTACTATTACTATTATGTATAACTATTTTTTTAATGTTATTTTTGACTTTGTTAAATTATTAAATTGATTGAAATATAAAAATAAACGAACCTAATTTTGAAAAGGTTAAGATTGTATTGGACCACAAGGAAATTGGTAATCATACGCAATGAAGGAGTCATTTCCGACCCTATAAATCATATATATTCTTGCTCAACATCAACAGGCAAATCTTTCTAGCTATATCCGACAGAAAAAAATGTTTTCAGAATTTTCCCATTTTTTGAATAACAATAAAAAATTCACATTTTAAATTTAATTTGAATTTTTGCATTAGTTATGAAATTTTTGAATTTTGTTTATTCGAAAAAATTTGCATATAAAAATTTAGTTAATATCGATTAAAAATGTATTGCACCTTCAGTCAGAGCTTAAAAGACAGTGAATGAGTCATTTCCGACTCTTTAAATCATATATATTCTTGATTAGCATCAACAGGCGAATTTTTTAGCCATATCATACAAAAATGTATTTTTTTTTTTAAATTGTCAAAATTATATAAGTGGTTACATCGTTAATATTGTAAAAATTTCACAAAAAATGTAATTCCATTAAACTTGAAATTGAGTATACAGATTTAAAAATCAAATACAAATTAGCATAGAAAAGCATAAATAAACTTTTGGCGGAGTTATTTGTCGTTGAGTTGATTTGTCGCAAAAATTGACATATAAAAAGACAGCACATTTGATCCTATCATTCTATTACAAACTGCGAGGGTATATAAACTTCGGTCTACTGAAGTTAGTTTCCCTATTTGTTAAGTTAATTAATCTGAAGGAGTTATCATTTAATAATTTAAAAAATATCAAGAATGTAGATAGTTTATAGTCTGAAATAACTCCGTCACTGCGTTGCATAAATATAATAAGTATAAAATAAAATGTTGGTATGTCCTTTTATGATTATATCCCTTACATAATATGGGGAAACTTGAAAAGCTTCTAATAATATAATTGTTATTTTATTAAAACGTAAACGTTCCAGGTGTTAAAGTCTGTTTAATCTATTTCGCATATAAAAAGATAACAAACAACATTCAACTATAACAATTCCGAATATAGTAATCAGCCAAATCACTCTTATCAATGAAGTTAAATTTGTATTCTTAATGGTAACTACAAAAGCGTAAAATTCTTAACGCTGATGAAATAACATGAAAAACTTAAAGCTAAGTACTTTGGTCGTTATCGATCAGCAGAGTGATTAGAAAATGCATATCTAGGGAGCCGTGTGGGGTTCCGAGTATCAGTTCGCCACCAGTTGCCCGATCGAACGGACGCAAGTCGCTTGTCAAGACATTACTATATAGTTTCGTATATTTTCACTCAAATCAAGCTCCACTATGGGTCTGTGGAATTCTAAGAAGAAGAGTGAGGAGGAAGTGAAAGTGGAGGCTTCAGAGCCCGAAAAACAGCCAGAGGTGCCAGAGATTGACCAGAGCCACTTGATTCCCAAGTGGCTAAATGAAACGCAATTTGAGGAATTACTTGCCGCGAACGTTGCGCAGTTCTCCAAGATAGTGGGATTCCGGATGAAGCCAGCGATGGCACCCGGAGAGAACTATGCCACTCTTATGCTGAGGATCAGCATCGATGTGGAGCTCACGGGTAAGCCTTGAGGTCTTTGAACCTTCCAAACTATTTATAGAAACAATTTGGCACAATCTTTGAGAGCTAGATAATGACGTCGTTGGTGGGTGGGGTCTTTATGTATGTACGTTGGTTCGCGATAAGTAATGGCTTGGTATCAACAATTAATTTATAATCAGAACACAATAAACGTTTGTGGCTTGTTTGGCTTTTCACAATGACAATTGAAATTGTATTTATATTTTTATTGACAACGCAACTGACCGACACAACTGGTTTAAGTTATGTAAAAAAATAAATGATGCAATCGGGGAACTCAAGTATAGTATTCTTCTCTCCTTACTAGATAAAAGCACCAAGCTGGTCTCGTTTATGATGAAAATTCCCCACGATACTCAACAAATGCAACAGATGCTACAAATGGCAAACTTCTTTGTCTCCGAGAACTTGGCCTACATTGACGTTTTGCCAAAAATGGAAGAGCTCTACAAGGCAAAGGGTCTGGACATTAGATTCGCTCCAAGAGCATACAAGCTAGATGCCGAAAAGGAACCGAAACTGGCCAACACCGTGCTGATGAATGATCTCGGCCGGGATGGATATAAGAACTTCAATCGTCTTAACTGCCTGAACCTGGAACAATCTAAGTTCGCTCTTAAGAAACTGGCTCAGTATCATGCAGCCGGCGCCATGATGGTTCAAGTGCATGGTCCCTACCCCGATGTCTTCGTCTATGGATCGATGGGAACGAATGTGGATCTAATATTACAATTTCTGGAGGGTATGATTGGATCTTTTCGAACTGCATTCCTGGCCAATCTGAAGAACTTCAAGGACGGCGAAAGCTATCGGGAGAAGCTTGTAAGTCTTGGCACGGAATTATTAAATTTCCTAGCTGGCTAACTGTCCAACCTTTCTTGTCAGGAAAAATCTCTCGGGGCACTATCAACAGCTTTCATACAGGTGGGCACAGTCGATCCCGCGGAGTTCAATGTGCTGAATCATGGCGATTGCTGGATGAACAATCTCCTGTTTAAGGTCGGCTCTAATGGCGAGTTGGAAGACATGGTCTTTGTTGACTTCCAAAATCCCAAATACGGAGCGCCCACTATGGACCTGCTTTACTTCATCATCACCTCGGTGAACATCGACTACAAGTTGGAGTACTTTGACTACTTCGTCAGGCACTATCACGAGCAACTGACCCAGCATCTGGACCTTCTTGGTTATACCGGGCGACAGCCTTCGTTGCGTGAGCTGCACATTGGCGTGATTAAGAACGGTGGCTGGGCGCTGTTCCCATCTATTGCCGTGTTGCCAGTGGTGCTTCTGGACTCCACAGAGGCAGCAACATTCGAGAATTTCATGAGCGAGAACGAAGCAGGCACCAATTTCAAGAACCTGCTGTACTCAAACAAGCGGTATCAGCGCTATATTAATCGGATTCTTCCTTGGTTGAATAATCGGGGTTTCCTGGAAGTCAGGTATTAAGTAAAACATATATATATCGATGAGTTTAATTAATAATAAGGGTAATTGTAGCAATGTTCCTATGGCTATCCCAACGGCATCAGAGCCTCAAACGGCTCCGCAGCCTATGTTGGAGTCTTCCCCAAAACCTGCCCAAACTGAAAATCCGGACCAGATCTTGGACTGGCTTAATGTCAACGACTTCAAAGACATTATCTCTCAAGCTGAACCCGATTTTGAGAAGATTATCAAAGGAACCTGGAAATCAGCCACTAAGCCAGGGGATAACTATGCCTCCAGTCTCCTACAAGTCGACATAGAAGCGCAGTTAAAGGGTAAGAAATAGTATATTCTCCCCTAAAATCATTCCTTACTATTTACTTTTCAACAGACGGCAACATCAAGACCTTCTCCTACATCCTAAAGGTGCAAACATCCAATAACACGATCAACTTCTCCGACTTTAACCTGTTCCCCAAGGAGATCGAGATGTATGGTAAATATGTACCTGCCTTTGAGCAGCTCTACAAAGACGCCGGCTCACCGATCACATTCAGTGCCAAGTCCTTCCGGCTCAGCAAGGAGGTTAGCGCCGAATATCTGATAATGGCGAACCTGCAAACTGAGGGCTTCAAAATGTGCGATCGCATGAAGGGCATGGACATGGAGCACAGCAAGTGCACTCTGAAGAAGCTAGCCCAATGGCATGCCGCCTCCCTGAAGTACAAGGAACTGAATGGGCCGTACCCGCCGAAATACGACAATGGCATCTTTACGGAGAAGACAGCGAATGTGTTTAAGAGTATGTTTATCCAAACAAGGAGCGCATTTTTGGCTGAATTGGCTAAATTTGACGGAGCCGATGAGTACCTGCACAAATTGGTAATATATATGCAAGGATTTAGTATCATTTATATAATATTAATAATTACACTTTTTCCAGCCACCCCTTATGGACGCCCATGTAGATAAAATCATAGAAGATGCCAAAATCAACGAAGCAGAATTTAATGTGCTTAATCATGGCGATGCCTGGCTCAACAACATAATGTTCCAATACGACGCCGATGGACGTGTCAAGGAGACCTTCCTGCTGGATCACCAGGTCACAAAATATGGGAATCCCGCCCAGGATCTTTATTATTTCATCATGAGTTCCACGAATCTGGATATCAAACTCGATCAGTTTGACTATTTAATCCGTTGGTATCACGAAAACTTGGAGACTCATACCAAGCTACTGAAGTACAACGGCTTTGTACCATCTCTTAAAGAATTGCACGTCATTCTGCTAGAGCATCCCATTTATGGTGGGTTATCAATACTTACATCATTCCTTATATTATATTTATATTAATATAATCTTTAACTTCCAGCTGCTGGTACCGTGCTTAGCACCCTGACAATTTGCCTGAACAAAGCCGAAGAGAATTTTTCCACAGATGCCTTTTTAAAGGAAGATGCGGAAGGTGAAGCTATCAGGGCAGCGCTTTTCAACAATGAACGCTACAGGGCCCACGTTGAGCGCATTATGCCTTGGTTAAACAAACGAGGCCTTCTCGATGGCTTTGGCGATGAGACTACCAAATAAAATATTAAGGTGACGTGAAGATCACAATAATATGGGGAGTATTTAATATTTTAACAGCCTAAATATGAGAGTCTAACCTACTGGGAGGACCTAACAGTGCATTCCCCTGATTGTCTTACTTAATAGCTAATTTGATGGCCAAAACAATACTAGTTACGAAGATAGCGGCAAGGGCCAGCTTCCTGAGATTGGCTCGATTAACGCCCTTGATGGTGCGCACTACCTCAATGTTGAAGCGAAACACGTTACGACTTTCCTCGATGAAGGCAGCACGCAATTCGTCGTCAAAGGCTCCATAATGACTGTTGAAAACGCGTCTAAGCTTGGCCTTCAGAACAGAGATCTGAAGAACATATTATGTCAGGATTAGAATTTAAGTAGTACTGACTAGAAATGTATCCTACCAACCTTTTCGGGAAAATATGTGGCTTCGCAGCCACGGGGGCAGATTGTGACCTGTTCAGGCATTGGTCTAGCCTGCAAATCCTCCTGATTCACAGCAGCGTCTGCCGCCCTAGCGGTGGCCAGTTCGGCCTCCTTTTCGGCATGCTTCTGCAGCTCCTCGTCGTCTCGTTTGGAGAAGATCCATAGCTTTCTAGCTATCATACGCTTCTTCTGCAGCATCTGCCCGCCGGACATCAGGGCCATATACATTTGGTAGGCGTAGGCGAAAAGAAGCAATTCATTCTGAGCGGCAACCTTCTCCAGATGCTCGAGATACTTCTGGACAGCAGGGCGAATTTCATAGGTCTCCTTCCAGTCGGCGCCGTAAAAATAAGCGAAATCGCGCTCAAAAGCTGCTGTCCTGTAGAACTCCATCGGCAGCAGGCGCTCCGGTAGATGAGTCTCGAAGAACTTATACAACTCGTAAAAGGCCAGCAATCCATCGTACCAAACCTCATCGTCCGAAAGGGCTAACGGAAAAAGGGGAACCATTCAGTAACACAACTAAACCTGGCATTTTTCACGTACCAAAGGCGAACTTTGCATTTACGACCGCATCCGTGAGCTTATGCACATCCTTTGTTGCTTTACGCAACTCTTGCGTGAACGCCATATCCACAAATTCCACGTCCTCCACGTTCTCCGCAGCTTTGGTTGTTTCTTCGGCCGAAGACATGGTGCTATTTCGCAGCTATGAGAATTAATAAGCAAGAATTTGTCTTACCTACGTGATATTTAAGAAAATACGCCGTCTACGTTTTGAACTTTTGGCCAGTGTGACCGTACTAAGAACTATACCAGAAATACCACATTTACTTACATGTACTATAATTTGAATTTAAATTTGATATATTATAACTAAGCTAATTATGAACTAATTTTAATTCGGAAAGCTTTCTTATGTTAGCTTTATTTTAGGTTAATAAATCTGCACACTTAATCTAAAATTTAAAAAGGATACCATTTTTATAAATTTTTGATAATTTTAACGATGTAACCCCTTATAAAATTTTGAAAAAATTGAAAAAAAAAATTTGTTTCTCCTAAGGTAGCTAAATCGATTCAGCTTTTGATGCTGATCAAGAATATATATTATTTATAGGGTCGAAAATGACTCCTTCACAACTTTAAATGCTTCTGACTGAAATTAGGTATGATGGGAATAACGTTAAAACTATTTAAACACTCCAATCATACATTTTTAGCTTTACACATCTTTGAACTAATTTCCGATGCTAGTACACATATTGCAGTTTATTTAAGCTAATCACAGTTGAATAATTAAATACTAGAGTTATAGCGGGCTCACTTCCACAGCTTGATGACACCGTCGCGCGACGCCGATGCTATGTAGATCTGTCCCTTGTCCTTGCACATCAGCAAATCCGTGATGGCATCGTGGTGGCTGGCCGTGGGCATATCCGGTCCTGACCGGGGATTCTCCTCTGTGGAGGCGCGCAGCTGCTGTGAATCGGCCGTGTTGCTCATGGAAATAATTTGCTCCTCGATTACCTGGCTGCCATCGATTAACCGAGCGCTGAAATGTATAAACATTTCATAAATTTACAAATATAACATGATAAATTCGAAGTTATTTACCTGTAATTGAAGGCCACATCCGCCAGGTTGTCATTGGCCGCCGGCACTTTGAGCGAGGAGTTCTTTGGATTGGCTATGTCCCAGTACCGGATGCGCTGGTCAGAGCTTCCGGTTAGAATGAACGGTGAACCATCGACGACGCCACTTAAGATGCCGCACGTGGTAGCCGGATCACTGGTACTGGCGCTAGACAGAGCCGCCGCCGGACTGGCCCACAGCACTGTCTGCCGCTGACCCGTCTCGATGTTCCACACGGACACCTCGTTGTTCGACTGTGAGGCCGAAATGAGATATGATGGCTCCGTGGGATGACAGGCCACCTTCCGGATCCACGAGTCGGCTGGATGTTTGATCTCGGCAATGGGCAGCCGAAAGCGCAGATCCCAGCAGATGTGCTTTCCCCCACTGGTCCCTGTGGCCAGCCACGAGCCTGTTGGATCTGCACAGATGGTGGTAATCACTCCGTGCCGCAACTCGTTCTGCAGTCGCCAGGCACTGTGCTGCATGCGTGTGTCCCAGGCCACAATTCCACCGTACAACGTGGCATACACGATGACACTCTGCGTCGCCTGATCGTAGGCATGCATATCCACCACAGGTCCGTCATTGTGATCGCTACAAAGAGAGGAGAATTAAAGAATTGAACTGAAGGACTGCGTTGAAGCTTACTTCTGATCCAGTGCCTGCTGGAGCGTCATCTTTGCGGAGTTTCGGTCAATCCGCATCATCAGCATGCTGCCATCCTTGCCGCCCACCGCCAGCGACTGTCCGCTGTCACAGGCGGCCAGAGCATAGATGGGTGTATTTGCGGAGTATACCTGCCTTGACTTATTCACTCCTTGGTTCCCATTCAACTTGCCGCAGTCCCACAAACGCACAGTTCCGTCAATGCTGCCGCTGGCAAACAGCGATCCGTGCGGACGCAACGAGGCCAGCTTGATCACGGATTCTGAATGCTCATGGAGATGCGCCACCAAAGTGCCATTCATCCGCCAGCCAGGTGGATAGGGGGTAACCAGCTTGTCATAGCTGCAGCGCTGCGAAATGGCCAGCACATTGTAGCGACTCTTGATCTTCGACGTCAGCGACTCGAGGTCCTTGCGGCACTCGGATGATCGCTCCAGCCAGCAGTTACGCTCCGGCATCGTGTATTCGCCAAGCGAGGTAGCCGCACTCACGTTGGCCGTTGGAACGCCCAAAACTATAGCTCCGGAGGCTGGACTGCCAGCTAACCCGCCGGCACCCAGCGGTGTGATGGCTGCATCTGAAGCAGGCGATACCAATGCGGGTCCTTCGCTGGATCCTGAAAATAAATGAAAATTAGATAATATTTTTTTATGAAAAACACTTGCTAATTAAATAAACGTATTGATTGTTATTAAATAAGGAGCTTAGGAATTTTAGGACTAAATTAACATTTAAAAAAAAAAACAAATTAAAAAAATCTACACAAGTGTTTATAGACAATTTATTGGGGAATTTTCGTGTTACTACACATTTTATTTATTTTTTTTAATCAAGTTTTATTCTTATCTGAAGAAGCAGAATCATTAAAAAATAAAAAAGCACAAGAGAAATAATAACAAAGGAGTTAAATATAATAATAAAAAACAACGAATTTGTTTAATTCAAACGATCGGAACAGGAAATAGTATTATTCTTCAACGTATAAACGACCAAACACCAGAACTAAAAAAATCTAAGAAATTTTGATAAATAATAATAAATAAATTACGGAAAACTTTTTCGGTAAAATAAATAAAATTAAGTCAAGATAATGCTGAAAGATATAAATGTAAGACTCACGATTTTCTATGGGCATCTTTGTGGCCTTGTCCGCCAACGGATATTCATGACAAGCCACTTGCTTGCGACTGACCACGATGCGTCCATTGCCAGAAGCAGTGTCATCCATATCCTGCAGTGCCTTGTGCTTCAGGGAGATCATGAACGGATTCATGGCCAGCAATTGCATCTCAATGAGGTCCGTCAATCCCTCAGAGGATAAGCGTCGGAACAACTGCAAATATACACAAACACAGAAAATATATAGAAATAAACTTTGGGAATGAACCCATACTTTACTCACATTTCTTAGTGTTTGTCCCATTTCCTCGTATTGCGGCAGTGCTCCCTGCCTAGTCTGACTGCGAACTCTGGACCGATCCTCCAGCGCTCCAAAGAAGTGATGGATGTCCTGGAAACGCAGCACGCTGTCGAAAATCTGCCGCGGCACCGGCGGCTGTAAGCAGTCCAGTAGGATGTGCGGTTTCTCCACTTGGATGAGCGGAACCTTGAGAAAGGCGCCAATTGCAGGCATTATCTTGCACTGGACATCGATGGCGCTGAGATTGCGAGCGGTGGTGGCTATCATGCCGCAGATTTCGTGGCGAACCCACAGATTCGGGTGGCACAAGTAGCAGGCAGTCTCCTTGACGATTTCCGTCACCGCTGGCTTTTTGATGTGACCCAATTCGATGAGAATAGTCACCGCTCGGATGGCCTTGGCTATGACGAACTCCTCGCGATCCGTAAATCCCTGCTGCAATAGCGGCACCAAAATATCCGATGCCTGCCAGCCCACATAGCCAGCGACGCCGGCAATGTTGTCATAGAAGGCTCCCCTCAAGTTCTTGTCCTCGTCGTTCAAGAATGTCATAATATGCGACAGGATCACATCGTTCGCCTTCTCCTTCCCAAAGAAAGCGCACAGATCGCAGATGCCTGACTCCATCAGGGTTTGCTTTACCACCGGCTGGGAATCAGTCAGCAAGCTGAGCACCGCCTGCCTCACAATGTCATGAAGAGCATTTAATTCCGCCTCGTATCGTGGCGTCGGCATCTCATTCGGTGCATTACGCTGTGTCTCCTCCAAGAAGTAGACAGCGCTCTTTGCCAGTGCAGCAATATTTCGGGCAAACGCTACACGAACAATTACTGCACTTGCCTCGCTGGCTAAGTCCGTGATGGAGGGCAGAATGTATTCGGGAAAAACGTTGGCATCACTGCGTGGAATGTCCTTCACCATACCCAGGCAAGCGGTCAGGGTCTCAATGGCCTGAACTTGCACCTTGGCAGGCGATTTCTGGGCCAGATGAAGCTGGAAGGAATTCATTATTTTCAACAAACTAATATCTTTATATTTAATAATACAAGAACTTACGATGTAGGGCAATATCCGATCCAGTATAGTCTCCGAAGTCGTATATTTCGACAGCTTTTGCAGGAGTTCCAAGGCAGCAATCTTTGTATTGGACTGCTTAAGACCGCGGATGCAGGAGGTTACCACTGTGATGATCAGTATGAGGCCATCGTGCTCTGGCGGCAGTCTTGATGCACACATTGTGGGATCCTTCTTTTCCGTTTCGTCCTCTTCAGGTGTGATATCCTGCGCCTGTGTCAGAACCTTGATGCAATGCCCAATGTCCTTGTGCAGGCACTGTATCTTATCGTCCGGTGACATGATAGGCGTTGAGGAGAACATTTGCAAGTAGGACTGCAAGAAGGAGTAGAAGTATTCGGGAAACAGCTCGCCGCGCTCCTGATCCAAGTAATCCTCGGCACTCTTTCGGTTTATGGAGTGAATGTCGATCATGGAGGCCAGCAAGTTGCGCAAACGCTCGTTTTCGATACCCGCCAAGTGCTTCTCCACCAGATCACGTTCACCGCGGCGATAAGCCAGCAGCTGAGAGAGCTCAAAGGGAGCTGTTCCCTCTGTCCACAGTTCCAGTAAGGCGCAACTATGACAACAATTTATGAATTAATTAATTTTTAAAACAATCTTCTTTCTAGACTCACCCTGCTGAAAATATATCCATTGCTGGCAGCAAAGTATTTCCCGCATAACTGGGTGCCAGACGAATAATGGAATCAGTGTGAATGACCGACATGTTTCCATTGCTGCCGTCGTCATCCGAGGCCAAAGTCTTAACAAATCGCTCAGGAGCTATGTAGCAGGTCCTCCTTCGACTCGTATCAAAGAAATAGGTATAGTCGGCGGGATTATCCTCCGGCAAATAAGTGGGCTTGAACGACGCAAAGTCAGAGAGCAAAATCCAGTTCCAGGACGTGATTAAAATGTTCTCCAGCTTGATGTCTCCATGGCAGATTTTCTGCTTGTGGCACTGATTAAGGGCACACAGAATCTGGAAGGTAATCCACTTCTTCTCCAGCACGGTAAGAAAAGGCCGCGTTGAGACCCGGTCATACAGACTGTGCTTTACATACTCTCTCATAATGTAGGCGGCCTTGTCGATTAGCTAGGGAGGAATTAAGAATAAATAATAACAATAACAAAATAAAAAGTTGTATGGATATTTTCTGTTTATAGTTTACTTCCTTATCAGTGAACACCCATTATTGGTAAACTATGATTCACAGAATTAATAAACTCTGACCCACTTTGCATTAAACTTAAACTGAAAATTCAAACCTCAACTCGTTGAAAGGGCAGACAGTTGACTGCATTGGCCAAAGACAGTGTCTTCTTTATGCCCTCCAGGCGCTCCTTGTGGTCCTCTAGTGGCAGAGTGGGGTCGTGCTTCACAAACACCTTGACCACGATCTGACCCTCGTCCGTTTTTGCCTTGGCTACCTTGAAGAAGCGGGTGCTACCCATGCTGTGGAAAATACGTAGTGAGTGTCGTCAGTGGTCATTAATTTTCACTGCGCCTCCTTTTTTCATTTCACTCACTTGGAACTGAACGTGATTTCGGAGCCGAATTGGCCAGAAAAATAATGCTCCACCGCATAGATCTGTGAGGGGGCGATGCCCACCAGTTGATTCCCCATTTTGCACTCGTCTGTGTCCGCAATTAGTTAATGGATTTTTCGTCAACAATAACACAAGAAATGTTCGTCTGGTAAATATAACAGGTATCGATTAATCGAAATAACCAGATGGGTGTTATCGATTTATAGACAATAAGTCAGCTGTTTCGAATAGAGTTGCCAGATAGTTTTTTCTATATTCGTTTGCTCGTTAAATTTAAATCTTTAAATATAATCTTATTTTACGTGAATAAGTACTTACTCACAAATTAAATTAAGCATTAGTCGATTGTCTATCAAAGCTCCATAATTCTTAAATTTTTAAGTGTTCAAATAATATTTTAAGGGATTACATTTATTTCAGAAAATTTAATTTCAATTTATAAGATAAGTGTACTTATTTTTGTTTCTAAATTCAATTCTTTAGTAAGAATTACTTTTGGTTTAATCAGATCTTGATAAAACAAAATACATTTACAGTGTACAATGATGAAAAGTAAATGTTTATAAAAATAATATAAATGTAATTTAGTTCACATATATGTAAATAACAGCCCGAAATTGTACTCAAATATGGTTTATTCAAATAAGAGCTTTATAGGGAAAGGTCACCTATTTCTAGAGTCGTGAAGAAAGAAAAGAAACAAAAAAACTAAGAAGAGAGCATTTTAGCATAGCATGACGGATCCATTAAACTTAATATTAATTTATGTAACGGGCACAGTGCAATCCATTTTTTGGAGTCGAATAAAATCAAAATGGGCCATGACTACTGTCGAACCGAACCCATAAAAAAAAGTCCAGATGACAAATGTGCTAGGTATTTAATTGGTTTGCATTGAGAACTATGAATTAATTACGAAGTTTATATACCCTAAATATCTCAATAATAAAATTTAAACATTTCCTAGAATACGTTTTTAATATTGTATAATTTTGAATACAAATTAATTTAAAAAAATTGTTCAGTAATCAAATAACTTTTTTGAAATAACTTATTACGCATTTAAACATATAATCCAGTACAAATATTTGTACCCTAATTTTGGTAAATAAGCTCAAGCCCTTTAAAATTCTTGGCATACCCATTGAAAGAGCTCCAAAAAAACTCAGGTTTGATACTCAAATTTACATAAAAAGCCCAAAGAGGCGACATTAAGGAAAACGCTGTGTTGGATCCGAGTCCGAGTCTGACTTCCAATGTCCAACCCAACCACCATTCCGAGAAGAGAACTTTCAAAGCGGACGGCACGACGATCGAGTGTAAAAAGAAAGTAGGTGGGTAGGTAGTAGGTAACATAAACAAAGTGCGAGCCGTAGAACCTGGAGCACTGAAAGAAATCCATATATTATTTGATTAGTTCTTAACATTAAACTTAAGTATATTTCAGCTAAGGAATTAGTTTTGAAGTGTATAAATATGTAAGGTCTTCAAAAGACAAGTGTATAATGAATTTAAACTATAATTTTCTAATTCATAAAACAGATTATTTTTCATCACGTATGTATCTTCTTTAGTAAATGTCTTCTAAAATATCAGAACTGAAATAAGAATATTTAGTTTACAAATAAAGTTAATTTTTTGCTGTGGAAAGCAAATCAAAGCGTTTTCTTCTCTCTTTTTGTCTCATTTATATATTTTTGTGGAGGCAAAGACGGCAAAACCTGACGTGTACACAGCGCAGGCGTAAAGAATTCCGCGAGAGCAGCGTATCGAAAGAAACAGGTGAGAGCAGGAAGAAATGGAGAAAGAGAGAGAGAGTATAGCTCCAACATGTTCGAAGGCCACGAAGAATCGGTGGCTTAAGAAGTGTTACAAACTGGCGCAGCGCTTCAGAAGAAAGAAAGTTTTCGGCTGTGCTGGCTGCCTTTTACTTGCTCCTCCAACGCAGATCTTGGTTTAACCACCACTATTACCACAGCACCATCACAGCTCCAACAGTTCAAGCTATTCTCCATCCGTGTGCTCAGTGGAGCGTCTTCCGCGTTTTGTGGCTGCGTCGCTTAATTGGCCCAAAAGTATCTCAAGTGTGTGATTGTGAAAGTTCCTGAGCAGAAAAAGAATCAGAAGAATGTACGTGAGACGAGCTCTGCTCTTTGCCTGCCTGCTGTGCCTCCAGCCGCTGGGTCCCTCGCTGGCCAGCGAGGATGAGTCCAATCCGCTGCTGGATATGGCCTCTATGTTCTTTCAAGAGGCGCTGTCCAATCAGAACGGTGGCAATAACGGAGCAGGCGGTGGCGGAGGAGCTGGTGCTGGCCTAGCGGGCGTAGCCTCGCTGCTGGGCACCTTCATGCAGGCCAGTGGAAAGTCTGGAGGTGGTGGCGGCGGCGCCGGCGGTGCCATGCAAATCCTTTCGGGCCTGGGCAGCCTTTTGGCCAACAATGCCCGTGGAAATGGCGGTCAGGGCGGCGGCGGCGGATTTGATCCCTCAATCATCGGCAATGTCCTGGAGATGTTCACCCAGGGAGACGATGAGGAATCCACCTCGAGCCAAAAGCGCAGCAATGGCGGAAACGGCGGTTCCGAGTCTGGAATTGGTCTCGACACCATACTCCAAGTTGCCTCAGCTTTCATGAACACCCAAGGCAACGACAAGGCGTCGCATCATCACCAGAAGCGATCCGCTGGCGAGGAGCCTGAAAGCGAAAACGGACTGATGAATCTTCTGCCATTGGTGATGCAGGCGGTCAGCTCCTTTGCCGGTCCCGAGGGTCAAAGCACCCAGGAGAAGCACAAGAGTCATGCCTGGGTACTGCCACCGTTCCTTGAGCACATTCACGTACTGTGGGATCACTTCTCCAACTCCGAACTGGCCGATGCTCTCTACGAGAAATCTGGAGTCAACAAAATCATGAAGGTGGATTACTAAGATAAAACGGGAGTAGATATAAAAAAGATAGAGAAGATATAGACATAGCATCAGAGAAATATATTCAATTAATGTTGGGAATGATGGATTACAATTTTAAAAGAACATTTTATGATGTATATGTATATAAACATTATATATCTCAGAATTGATCTAGTATTTGTATTTGAAAAAAAAAACTAAAGTTCATCCTAAACAAAATAGAATGATTAATTAATTAATTTTTTAAGTTCGAAAGATCGTTATAGTTTTATTTGACATATTTAACCTTTTATATTATTTTCCTTTGCAGGGATTCAAGGGCAACGATGGCAAGCTGGACTATGACAAGCTTTTCGAGTCGCTGAACAACCAATCCTTCCGCCGGCGCTGGATCAAGTCGGCCACACTCTATCTAGCCGACTGGGCCAGCTATCTGGCCAATCCCGATGTGTACCTCAGGTGAGTTCTCAGCTCAAAGCTCCGCATAATACGTGGCTCAATTGTGGAGTGACCAATATGCGTGTTAATTGTGGATCACGTTTTGTTCTGCAACGGTGTCCCAATGCAGTTAGCACCTGGCTGCGATTCTCGCTACCAGTCCCCAGTCCAAGTCCAATTCTGATTCGGATTCGGATTCTGATGCCGAGCGGGTGCTACTCCTCTACTGGTGCTAACCATTTCCCGTTAGCAGCACACACAACAACCCGTTTGCACATCGAGCATGTTCGATGCGGCTACCTTTTGACCCACTTTTTTCGGATCTGGCGCTTTTAGAACGTGCCTGCTAATCCAACTGGTCAACAGTCCCAGTCCCAGTCCCAGTGCCAAGTCCAGGCTCTGATACAGTTACAGTTGATATGCAGAAGATATGCCGAAGTCAACGGCATCGTTAAAACAAACAAATAAACAAAGGGGGCCAGAAACCGGTCGCCAGTTTCAGGCAAGGGGAAGTGGCTTAAAGCCAAGCAACCTACACTTGGCCAAAAACATGAAGTATATCTTATTTTCTTTGGAAACAAAGTATTTTAAGTACTGAAATTTAACTTGACAAAGATTATTTGAGAGAAAAAAAATTATAACAAATTATAACTAAATTCTGCACGAATTCTACAAAAATAGCAAAAGATCAGTAGACTTGTGCTCCAGTTAGGGGTCTATATTTTTTCTTGAGTGTAATATTTTGAATTAAACATTTTTGCATGATTTTAAAGTGGGTCAGGTTTCTCAGACTTCTTACTCTTCTGCCATTTTATTTATTTTTATTTCTATTTCGTTGCTCCATCATTGTTAGATAGCAACAACAATGACCAAGAGTAGCAGTGGCAGCAGCACAACTTCCACTTTCTAGCGAGACCCTTTCACTTGACTCGGTCTATGCTGCGTCATCGAAACTCATCAATTGTCCGCTCTTTCTCCACACTCTACAGGTACTTCCAGACGGCACAGATCATGTTTAACGGACTGCTGAAGTCTCAAGGTTACCCCAAGCAGACTCACTTCGATCCCTCGCGTCCGGGTGAGACCATCTCGAATCTGCTGGACCATGTGGCCAAGCATCATCTGAATGTGAAGATTGACTCACGGCAGTATGTAAAGCCGGCAGTGGGCTATGCCAAGGAGCTGCTGAAACTCGGTCAGGCACGCGGATTATTGCAGTTCAATGCCACCGAAATCAGCGATAAGCTAACGGATACGCTCAACCTGGAGGTAAGTAGATGCTCCAATCGATCTGGGAACTAGGTTGCTGGGCAATTAGCTAGAGCTCTTTATCTACAAATAAGATACAGTAGTGGTTAGAATAATAGCATTGAGTAATTGTTAAATTCAGTTAATCCGTTTAATAGGTAATTTTATATTTCAATTTAAACGTGTCTTAACGTTTGAAGTCCAATTAATATATAGTAATTATTACTGCATAGGAGCAGTAATAAACATAAAATTTAAATTAACATCAAGTATCAAACTGTAATAGAAAATATAGGTTTGAACTCATCAAAAACATTAAAAGTACTAAAAAACACCTAGATTTTAGTGAATGACTATATATAAAAAACAACAATGCTATTATTCTCACCACTTCTGTTTCGAACCACATACTAAACTGGACACAAATTAAATTAATTACGCCATTATCTATCTTCGCCTCCATTCCTTGGCTTAAACGCACTCGAATCGTATCTAACAAACGGATGCCGAATGCCAAACAGGTTATTGAACCGGTGCTAAAAGTCCACCGCGCCTACAGATACATCTCGAAGACGCCGCAATGCGACCGCTACGTGCTCTGCCAGCTGAATGCAGCAGCCCTCGATCTCCAGCAGAAGCAGCAGCAGCATGACCAGTACCAGCAGCACCACCAAAAGCAGCAGCCACGGCAGTCGGCGGCGTCTGGTCTGATCGCCGGAGTCAGTCCGAAAATCGTCAAGATCGGCAGCATGGGTGCAGCGATCTTCATTAGCACGGAAACCGGTACGCCATTCTGGACGCTATTCGGTGTGATCAATGCCCCATACAATTGCGAGGTGAGTGGCACAAGATATAGCTACTGTGTTACAGTAGGATAAGTTTGAATCCGTTTTGAATAATATTAACGATTCTTATTATTATATTTTGATAATCATCTTTTAAAATGCTAGAAAATGCAATTTGCTTTTTTAATTTACAAAGATGTCAAAAGCAGTACTATTATAAACTTTTGGCAACTATTACGGGTGTCTCCCAATCATACGGTTTTCTGATAGTTATTTTTCTCAAATGCATCACCTTAACTTTCTTTAAAATAATTAAAAAATTCACTTCTGATTTTTAAGTACATCCAGAAATGTATCTCTAAAGTTTTCAACAAGAAATGAACGTTTTCAAGATAATCCCAAAAATATTTTAAATATTTTCTATGACAATACAAAATCCACTTACATTCAATTTTATTAATTTATTTCTTTCTCTGCACTCACTTTTTGTTGCCGCTTTCTAACTGCTATTTCTGCGAATCTATGGTCCGCCAACACTACAGGCCAAATACCCCGTCGACTGCAATGGTTTCCACGAGGGCGAGGCCAAGGTGACCACGGAATACATCCACAACGAGTTGTAGTCGCCCCACCACTCTCAGGTGCAGATCACGATCCGGATTGAGAGACAAATAGGAGACGAATATGCTCATTAAGACGTCGATTTAGCTGTAATTGAGATAAAGATTTCGTGTGTATATAGTATTACGGATTGAAATATATTTAAATTTAAACCCTATATAATAAAAGGTATTTTTCTGTCGGGAAAGGTACCAACTAATTTTCAGGTTCTAAAATTTCAAAAACAAAAGTGCAGCAAAATAATCAAAAATGCTGATTGCTTAAGATTAAAACATCTTATCTTATCTTATTCGGGGGCTCATGAAAAACAAAGAGGCATCTCATCATTTATCTTTTTGTAATGATCGTTATTATGTTACAGATGGCTCTTTGTGGTCAACGAACCGCAAGAGAAATGCTTTTCCAACTACAGTCAAACTTCCCTAAGTAAAAACGTTGGTGATTTCAGTTAAACCAGGTACAAGAAACATATAGAAAGTAAACTAGTGGCCATTTTCTTAAAAACTGCTATTATTTCTCTTTGAATAACTCAAAAAATTGAATTGAAATTATTAAATGAAAGAATTCAATAATTTGTTTAGGGGGAAAGTTATTATCGAAGTTTGACTATGTTAAATCGCTGGAAGTTGCTTTTTTCAGTGAAACCAGTTAATGTGTTTGTGTGAAAACTCGCCAGGGGCATATTTTCACCATTTTCATTTCAGAGTGGGCTCTCAGCTTGCACTTGACTTCACAGTGCACTGTAGATTTTCGGGCACAGCAGACGGTTAGGTTTTGATTTGCCATGCAGCTGATCTATCGCGAACTAGAAGCGGACATTGTCCGGCGTACGAATGCGGTTTTCCCCGCCCAAAATTGCTTTGTGGAGGTACTACCCGACCAACTAATCATACCAAGGAAGTACATGGAACTTGGCGAATCCATCCGTTCACTTCCCGTCTTCGAGGACGATGTGTGGATGGTGTCCTATCCACGTACTGGTTCTACCTGGGCCCAGGAGATGGTCTGGCTGTTAGGTCAAAAGCTGGACTATGTGGCCGCCGAGCAGGATTTGCGTTTACGTTCTCCGCTGATCGAGCTATCCGCTCTATTTAGTACGGATCACCATGAGACGGTGGCGTGAGTATCGCAACGGTTAACTTTAAGGACGGAAGCCATAGAAAAATAGTTGTGTAATTATCATGATACTCTTCATCGTATATTGTATTTCCTAGAACGAAGCAGAACTAGGAAAACATAATCTCAGAATCGCAATTATTTGAGTTATTGTAATACTCACCCCCAAAAGGCTTTTCTCCACTTCGATTTAATAAAACTATCTTTTTCGGACAGTCAAACGTTTGGAAATACTGTGGATCTGGTTCGTAATCTGCAACGCCCCCGCTTCGCCCGTTCGCATTTGTCGTGGCAATTGCTGCCTGAGGAATTCGAGACGGTGAAACCTCGAATTGTATACACCGCTCGCAACCCCAAGGATCTTTGCGTGTCTTACTATCACTACTGCAAATTGCTTCACGGAATTAATGGGGACTTTGAGCAGTTCGTGGAGCTATTTCTGGAGGGCCACACTCCGATGGGCTCCTACTGGAAGCATGTGCTGCCATTTTGGAAGCGGAGTCAGGGGGAGAATGTGCTGTTTATCAAGTACGAGGACATGATCAAGGATCTACCGAGAGTGGTCCGTCGCTGCGCCCGGTTCCTGGGTGTCGAGAGTCTATTGACAGCTTCCAGTGAGCATAAGCTGTTCGAACATCTCACCTTCGACAAGATGCGGGCCAATAAGGCGGTGAACCTGGAGAAGCTGCTGCCGGAATCATCGTCGAAGTTCATAAGGAATGGCAAAATTGGAGATTGGCAAAATCACATGGGAAATGAGATGTCCCAACGATTTGATGACTGGACAGAGAAGCACGTCCGCGGGGCTGGTTTAACTTTTGATTACGAGTGAATTTTATTTGTTTTATTTGTTTATATTTTGTCAAATATTACATGTTTTCTATGGAATACACTATTGTGCGTTGGCGGCAAAACGATAACTAGGGATGGGAAAAATGTATTAAACCAATATCAATATATCGATATATCATGTCCAATATTTATGTTCTCGCAATAATATATGAATTTATTTTATTTTTATGTATATTTCTAAATATAAATTTCAAAAATTCCACTTAAGTACTTTGAGAAATTCAATATATTGTCGTCCGAGTAATCGATATTGAAGTAGTCGATTATTTTTGATAGAGCTATCGACTATTGCGGCCGAATTGTTCCCCACCTCTAGATCTAAATGAAATTCCATCAAATTGTTTTTGCAGGTGAAGAAAAGCAAGAATGGCGAGCGATGTGGGCTCTATACGCTTGCCATGGCATCAGCACAGATTCGGGGAACAGTTCTGTCAACCATTCCCCAACATGAGCCGGCCGAAGTGCATTGGATGTTGCAGCATTACCGGCAATCGGGACTATGCCGACGATGCCAGGAACAGCAGCTATTTGTTCGGACCACCGTTCCCGGATCTGCCGCTGGACCTTAATGCCGGCATCGCCGATGTCATACGCAAGCAGGCGGGCCATGAACAGAAGGATTTGGAGTTTGTGCTCCGTTACATAGAGCACCACAAGGCAGAGCTACTCCGACCAAGGAAATCGCAGCCAGAGACACTGGGTCTACGCACTCACTTCGTCACGCTGCGCGGCATTCTCCGGCAGATAATGTGCATGCAGTACGGACGGAACTGTGAGTTCCGCATCAATGCAACACTCCTGAACGGCACCATATACATGGCCAAGGAGGAGACAGAAACTCAAAAAGTACGGAATGAGAAAATGACTGCGAAAGATTGGGACATGTGCTCCTGGGGCTTCAAATTCGAGCAGTACTTGACCTGTGATCATCCGCAGTCTAAGCCAGTGACCGATGTGCCGGTCAACGAGTGTGAAGAGTTCATGGCCATGTTCAGCAGCCAGTTGAGCGGAATCGACTTGCTATACGGGGCCGAAATGGACTGTGTCGCCAGCCAAGTTCCAGTGTAAGTGGGTACCTTTTGGCATCCCAGGGACTTTTCCTAATTAATTATTATCCATTCATTCAGTGACTTTAAGGATCCCAACGTTCTGGACTCCCTCAAGTTTGTGGAGCTGAAGACCAGCGCCATCGACAAAACTGGTGGTCAAAAACGCTCCTTCGACAACTTCAAATCGGCAAATTGGTGGAGCCAATCGTTCCTCGTGAACATTGAAACTATTTTCGCCGGCTTGCGGGATCACAGGGGAATGGTGCATGACATCCAGGAGTATAATGTAAGCCAGTTAGCACGCAACAAGCCGTGGAGTCCATCGGCAATGACCTTGTTTCTGGTGCAGTTCCTCAACCAGCTGATGGGTCTACTGCAGGCAATCAATGATCCACATGCCGTGATTCAGGTGGATTTTAATACAAACTTTAAGGTTGCAAGCTACAAAGTATTGAGAGGCGAGAAGGATCAGATTCTGCCCGACTGGTATCGCGATATCCTCAAGGCGGGATAATAAATCTTGACAAAACGACGGTGGCTTTTAGGAAGATAAACTTTAGCTTAAACTTATAAATAAATAGGGACTAGTTGCATTTTTGGCTGGCTCTTCAGAAAAACTCAATATTAATTTGTTTAATATTGAGTATTTACAAGGTAATCTTAAAGCTATATGTATGCACACATCAGGGAAACATCACTTGAGGTCGTTGGTCAGTAGAGGAATGGCACTCTGCTCCATTCTCATGCCATTGCTGCTGGTCGGACCGCCGTAAAAATAAAAAATACATTTAATTTGTTGCTTCAATATTTTTTTAAGTCTTTTAGTAAACTGGGCTTAGGACCTACGTTAATAACTAGCCTATTTTGATTAGGGATTTTATAAAAAGTACATCGTCGAACTGCGCAATCGAGCGGAAGAGAAGTACAAAACTAATTCTTTTTCAAAAAGAGCATTAGGAGATTGCGTATTGGAAGCCCGAATCGACCGGCGACTTAAATTAAAATGTGCAAAACTATCGATAGTGCAGGGCTGCCATCGATGGCGGTGCGATAGCGCCAAACCATCGATAGTTCTTCACCTCTAGTTAACTTCTGTTTTGGTTTTAATTGTTGCGAATTGTATTATATTTCTCAATTTAGCAATGTCTAGTGAAACCACCGATGCCCTCGCTGCCCACATGTGCGAGCTAGTCGAGTTCTATATGCTGCCAGAACTGAGGGAGGATCTGGACAGCGCTCCGTTGGCGGAATCACTATTCGAGAGCTATCATTCACTACTTGTACAGGATTTGCCAAAGCTGTACGATTTGGTTCAGGAATTCCTGCAGAAGGGTGGCGAGGCTGGACATGACGAGGTTGTAGCTTATTAATTTGAAATTGATTTCTGAAAACCCACTTCAATCTGTTTTTAGCTAAGAGTTAAGCTCCTCCTGTTGCTCTGTGAACTGACAGCAGCTCCCACGATTTACCAACTTAAAGGTGGTCATGGGCATCTATTAAGAAATGCCAATGAGTTGGCCAACAAGCTGTCCTCTAGCTGGTGGAAATCCACGGATGCCCAAATCCTGAAATACTACGGAACGAAGTTGCACAAGGATTGCTGGAAGCGACAGCTGGGAGCAGTCCATGGATTTGCCAGATATTTGGAGGTAAATCGTACAGCTATCATTGATTTATTGTATTTATATTAACATCTCTGCAGCTCCGATACACGGAAAAGTCTAGAATGTCCAGCCAAATGCTGGCTTTTGCTTTGTCCGTGGGACTAAATGTAAGGGAATGCTTTGAACCTGCCTACAAGCAACTGGGCTTCCAGATATTTTCAATTATGCTGAAATTTAGCGTGGGTTGGTTGTTCAAACAGCTTGATAGCAATATTTAAAATCTTTGCCTTACAGGAGCCCAAGGATATTCAAGAGTTAAATGTGCACAGCGTGATTTATGATCATGTTCTCAAGGATGCCTACAATATGGAATCCATTGAGGCTATAGACGCAGTTTGGAACTGTTTGTATTTGTGCCTCGATCACTTTATTGACTTGGATGCATATACGGTGGGATAGCTAAGTAATCTTCAAATTGCGAACTAAAATTACCCTTACCTCAACCTTATTTCAGTGGAATCAATGCGACGACATGCTGGACCGTTTGATTCACAATGTGAGCATGAGTTCAAAACCAAAAGTCTCTATTTGCTTGCTGAAGTTCATCACCCGACTTGGCTACTACTTCACCATCAATCGCAGCGCTGTGGAAGCTGCTCTCGCCACGGATTTAAGTAACCCAGATAACTTGGCTGCCTGTCGGGACGAGTGCCTTTCCCTCAATGCCAGCACTAGCTATCGATGGGCCAAGGCCATACTTCAGATGTTTGTTTTGGAATCGGAAAAGCTCCTCCAGGGACCAGAAGTGTGTGTCGAGCTTTTGGAGCAAATGCAAAGATGCTATCTGGTCTGCATTATGCCCATTCCTTTGGAGGCCCTGCATCCCCATTTGCCCGAGTTCTATGGAAAATTTGTGGCCGTGCTTTTGGAGTCCCTGATGGTTCACGAAAGGGCGCCTGCTGTTGTAAAGGTAATTTATGTTTAATCTAATGCAGATTCTTAAGCTTTAGAAATGTATTCAATTTATAAATCTTTTTTAATTCCATTCCATTCTATTATCAAAAAATAGATAGCTAAATTTACTGCATCTGCTCTTATCTCCCTCAGATCGTTCAGCGATTCACGAATATATTCAGCTTCCAGTTGGCTGAGAAGAAGTTACCGTCTCACCTGGCAGAGTTTCCGGAGGCTTTAAGTATAATACAAGTTAAGATTTCAGAATAAAAACACAATAAAACCTATTATATTACTTATTCATTAGGCAGCAGACGAATCGCTATGGTGACCAGTATGGTGTTCGGAATTAGACTGATAAGGCCGGGTTTCAGGCCAAAAAAAAAGCCTTTGTACCCATGTTTCTTAATGACAAGTCGGCACAAGTATCTGTAGGTGAAATCACTGTATCGACAGTGATTCAAGGCCATAACGGACAATGTGTCTATCGGAGTCATCATGACATTAATGATGCTGCCTGTCAACGCCATTCGGACGAGTTTTGGGACCCAGTTCTCTTCTTTGTAAATGTGCGGCACAAGACCTTCCACATAATTGCTCACCGGACTATACAGCCCAGTCATAACGGCGTTAGTAACGGCATTCATCTCCCATCCAACGAATAGGTAGTTTACACCCCCCTGCGATACATGCACTTTAAGCCGGAAGTAAAGGGTCCGTAGCTGTAAGATAATACATGTGTATAAGCCACTGCAAATTGATTAAATAAGGCGTGCTCTATGTAAAATATTAAAACTCATTAGAAAGATCACTGTAAGTGATCACTGTATAAGTTTCCTTACTTGCGCCTAAGGAATCCCCCGCGCGTGAGGTCCGCCTGCCGCATGACCGATAGCTTGGCAAAAGGTGTGGACACAATGCCGCCTACTAAGCTGCACATTGCCTTAAGGAATTCTGTGTCGTACGGTCGCAGCATTTGATAAACCGGATGCTTGCACACAAAATCGTGCAGATTGTAAAATAAATGATATGTACAGAGGGATTGGACATTGCACCGAGTTACAGATGTGGCGACTCCATAATAGAAGCCTGGCAGGCCGTGTCGAGCCATTCTTTGAAGCATATGTCCTATCGTCAGCCGACTATGTCTATGTGCGTTCGCCTCAATATTTACACGGATTAGATCTATGGGATGCGACAACAAAATCGAAACCATCTTCACCATACACCCTTTGTAAATGGGTATAGTTGAAAGGGCATCCATCGTTATTTCCGCATCGTGATTAGTCATTATCTATGTCAATTTTTATATTTCTGGAAATTTTCAAGGGTTTTCTAAAGTTAAAAGCTAAGACTACTCGCATTCGGCACGAAGCTTGATGATCTCCAATTGAGTCTTCTTCGCCTCCAGCATCGTCACCGTGCGCCGCAGCTCGGCGATCTCGTTCATCTTGTTGAAGTAGATGGACTTGGTCTCCAAATACTCAGTCTCCGCCTTGATCAGGTCCTTTTGCAATCGATTGCTGTCGGATGGTAGCGGGGCCACCAGCTGGTCCAGATCGATGCGCACCAGTTCGTCATCCTCGTCCAGCAACTTCTCCATCAGGCTGGCCGTAGAGTTGAATTCGGTGTTTGCAGGAGCATCTGGATCAACATCAGCAGTTGCCGACGGTTCTGAATTGATGCTTCGATGTGCCGTTGATTTCCGCAAACTGGCTGCCTTGCCAGACTCAACACCAAGCTCTTTCGTAAGATCCTCCCGGAACGTGGCGCAGGATTTCCTGGCGTTGACACACATCGGTTACAAACTACACTCGGAAAAGGCGGCAAATATGGGACACATACCTGTGAATAATCAGCCTTTCTATGCTGGTATTGGACTGGTATTTCTGGCAGTGGATGCATATCGCTCGATATTTCTTCGGGTCCCCGTCCTTGCCCTCCTTGTCGGCCGATAAAAACCCGAGCCTCTTCCAAGTTGCTTCCTTGGTAAGTCCAGCGCGCTTGGCTCTTTTGGGTTGCATCTTCTTCGTCAAAATTAACAACAATCAACAAACTCTACGCCGATGCCAGCGTCGCTATGAAGCGATATATCGATAAACACTCGATTTTACACAAATAATACATACACAGCTGTACATAAAATCCAAGCAGCTCGCAGAGTACATGTAATAAAATGCCACGAAAAAAAACCGAGGAGTTTTACAAGTAAAAATTATTTAAATATTAAGTGAATGTCCATATTACTAAATATATATTATAGATTACACGGTTTCACGGCCAACTGTGAGCGCGGGAAGTACACGGCAACCTGCAACTTCTGCGACAGAGTGCTCCAGAACACCGCTCTGACGCGCTTAGCGTTGCATAGGTAACAACTTTTGGTTCTCTGATTGTAAACATCATTAAACATCACACCAATTTAAGGCAAAATTGTAATGAACCGCCTTTCCTCGTAAAGACACGTAAGGACACCCAAGCCGAGTACCTGGACGAGTATATTGAGAGCCAGCACCAGATCAAGGTAAATATCGAGCTGTCGGGACCGATTTCTGCGCTTTGTTCCACCCAGCTATTAACTAAAACAGAGTTTAAAATATCAATGTACATACGTTTGTATATAAAAAGTACATATATGCTCTTTTTTTGCATTATCCTAATCGTAAAAAAGATTCACTTAAACTTTTTTTTAAAATAAGTTTATAACTTTTCCAGATCCAAAATATGTCGGATGAAGAAGACGACGGTTTGGCCAGTGACAACGAAGGAAAAGAGATTATAGTTAAGGTAAATAGCTATAAACTCAAAAGTCCCAAGAGAGAATATATAATTTTGTCTCTTTAGATACAACAAATTCTGGATGCAGCCGATGATGGGAAAGCTAAGCAAGCCCTGGTTAAGGGGGAAACTTATGAAAGTGCTGACGCGGAGCAAGAGGCAGTGCAGCAAATGGAATTCGAGATTTCCAGCGCCGATTTCATAGACGAGAACAAAGAAGTAAGATATTTGTATTTGTATATGTATTCGAATGCTGATGAAGCAACATTACAGATGGAGGATTCAAACAACGGTTCGACAATGTTCTTGGAGCCCAGGCCCAAAAACAATCTTGCTTCCCTTAAGGCGGAAAAGATGCGAGCGGAGATCCGGCATTACCAGAGTAAGACCAAGTTCCTCAAAACAGAGACCGACAACCTGAAACTCGAGCGCACCCTGGCTCTACTGAGGATTCAAAAGCTGAGACTGGAAATCGACGGCCTACGCAGCTAAATTCCGTGTCCCCTAGAGTTTAATAATCAGCAATAAGAAAAGTGATGTGAGATTGAGACTTATATGCCACTCTGTAATATCTATATATTATAGAATTAAAAAAAGATAACATTACTATGTATTTTTCAATTCTTCATATCTGTATAAATAATAAATGGCTTAAGAATATATATTGGTTTGAACATCGCCTTCAAAATATTTTCCAGTATTTTAGTTTATACTTATTAAAATATGCCCGTAGTGTTTTTAAAGATCATAGTTGTTTAATTAAAATGTTGTTACATATATTAAGGCTACTGCAGTAGCCATCGAGACCATCCAATAGATGATAGATTTCGTCGTAACTGGAAGGTTGCACTGCCCAGATACAGTTAGGGCTGTTGAATATAACCATATAGTTGATATCCAATTAGTGATAAATACCGAAAATTAGCGATAAATATAGCGCTCAAAATCAAAAAGATTGTAATCTAATATATATCCTTTTGATATATTAAAATATCTTTTTCGGTACCGACATTTTCTGCCATTCCTATATCCATAGCTTTTGTTTTAAATAAAAAATAATTACATATTGTCTGTGCAACTTGTAAACGTTTACAGTAGCGTATTAATAATCACTAAACATGAACATGTATACTTCGTTAAATAGATTTCCACGTTTCCTATAAATACGTAGATAGTAAAACTAGAGCTTATCTTAGGCACGTAGAGCGTCGATTTCCAATCGCAGCTTCTGAATCCTCAGCAAGGTTAGGGTTCGCTCAACCTTCAGGTTTTCCGTTTCCGTCCGGAAGAACTTGGTCTTGCTCTGGTATTGCTTGATCTCCGCACGCATCTTTCGTGCCTTGAGGGCAAGCAGGTTGTTTTTAGGCCTGGATTCCATGAGCTCTGCAGATTCGTTGGTCGACTCCTCGAGCTGTTGCTGCAATATGCAAAAATGCTGTTCTATAAGAACACAACTTAACTATCTTACTTTCTTACTTCGTTGCTGTAGTCTACAAAATCAGAAATCTCGTATTCTATATGATGTTCAAGTTCTTGGCCCTCGTTCGCACTTTTTCGAGTTTCCGATCTTACTAAGACAGGTGTTTTGTCAACATTTCCATCGTCGCCCGAATCAATAATTTCTTGTATCTAATAAACGGGAGAAAGTTATATATCCTTTATCGGGGATTCAAGTTCTAAGAAACCTACCTTGACTATAATCTCCTTTCCTACGGTATTGGAGTCATCATATTCGCCGGAAACTTCCTGGATCTGCGGAAAAATTGATATTTAGGCGAGTTTTAAACCTTTTCAAGGACTAGTGGTGTAATTATATTCCCAAATACTTTTTACATTGACTTTACCTGAGGTGTAAATTAAAAAGTTATTAGTGTTCAAATAATGAATTGTTAGAACCGTAAAAACAGCAAGAAATTAACAAAACAAACCCGTGGGTGCTCTTTCACAGGGCTTCCCGAGACCGCGATTCTTACCTTGATGTGGTGGCGGCCGTCTATATCCTTTTCCATTTTGGTAGTGTAAAAAGGTACAGCTGCAGTGCTTTGACTCCTCCGTTGATCACATACTTGCCTAAAATTTATACATAAATTAGTTCTATGTATGTATATTATGTGTTTACATTTTGTGAAACCATGGATGTTACCTGTGCAGCGATAGGCGACTCAGCGCGGTGTTCTGAAGCTGCCTGTCGCAGACATTGCAGGTCGCCGTGTATTTTCCTCGTTCGTAGTTGGCCGTGAATCCGTGTAATCTATAAGTAATCCTGTAAAGGACATATTCATATAGTTAAATACGTTTTTACCTGTAAAAGTCCTCTGATCTCTTTCGTGGCATTTTATGACATGTATTAATGCAAGCGACTTGGATGTACAGCTGTGTATGTATTATTCGCGTAGAACCATGAGCCTATCGATTTTAATAATTGCTGGCCACATAAACTATCGGAGTAAAATTCTCCTTGTTGGTTTTGACAGCTGGCTCAGTCATTTAAAAATTTGAATATATACACAATTTAATACAAGAAATATAAATGTATATATATATCTATACGTCAATTTAATTTAATTAATATCTAGTAATTTTTTCAGCTATTAATTTGATACTAGTATTACAAATAATTTGAAATTAAAGGAAATTTGATTTACTTTTTCTGCCATTATTTTAAAATTTTTACTGTATGAAAAATATAAAAACATTTCAAAATTTCATAAATTAAAATACATTTTAATTTTATAGTCGATATTTTCAACTAGTTGGCAACTCTGCCCGGTGGCACTCGATAACTGGCCGCTGCAACCCTATTCATCACATGATAGCCAGGGAGAAGTCTCGGGGAAGAGAAAAGGTTTTTCTTTGCAGTCGTTTGTCATATGATTAAAAGTCCAGCGGAAAACTGAAAATGTTGCGGAATTGCGTGATTTTCTCGCTGTTAATTGCAGCCAGTAAGTAGAGCTATCAGAAATAAGTGTAATAATTGCACCTGCAATCTGCCGCTGATAAGAAATATGCGAATCTTCTGCGTTCATCGATTCTTCGACTGGGGGTGGTGACTGAGACACCCAAAAGGCTAGAGACTGATGAGTGTCCCTTGTGCTTGCGCAGAATCACGAGCAACAGAACACGGAGTACATCTGGTGACAATCGAAACTTATTAGAAACTATTCATTTTCCACAGTCCATGCCGCTGGAGAATTCACGGTGCTGAACCGTCCCAAGGCGATCAGCTTCAAGGGCAACGATCCACTGGAGAGCCACTACGTGGGCGATGTGCTCTACGCGGCCATGGGCAACGCAGTCGTCGGCGACTCCAACTGGAGCGGCATGACCATCAACGATCCATTCAACCTGGCCAAAGGCGTCATTCTGGTGCACGTTTCGGGCATCAGCCACGTGACCACCGCCGGCAACGCCAAGTCCTATGAGCTGACCGGAGCCAACACTGACTCCTCGCTTAACGCACTGGCTGCGGAGTTGGAGGCCGCTAACGAGCCTGTCTGCGACATCAACTTTGAGCAGTTCGACAATGGCGTAAGTTGGTCTTTTCTTGAGCCTACTTTATTCTTTATACATCATCTAACTAAAAAAATGTATAACCTTAGGTTCAAGCCTGGAAATCCTGCTTTGGAGACTTCGAGGCCCCAGCTGCCAAGCCCACCAAGAATTTAAACCCCTCTCTGCACTCCGCTGATAAGCAGTTTCTGCAGGAGGTTGGCTTCATCAACGGTGCCGCCGATCATCTGGCTGAGATGAACAAGCCCTCGAATGTCCTGCTAATGCGTGTTTCCGTCGATGGAGTGGCGAAGGCTCATGGCGAGAAGTCTGTGGCCGTGGATGAGGCCAACAAGTTACTGTCGGCTGCCATCAGCCGCCTGCTGGCTGCCTCTCAGAAATCCAGCGACTCTGTTCTGTTTATCCAGTCCACAGAGAAGGATGTGGCATTGTCGCGTGCCAAGCGTGAAACTCTGGCTGCCGATGCCACCAACCCCTTCAACCTGGCTACCTATTATAACAGCGACTACCCAGTGATCTTCAACATCATCCTCTGGTTCATGGTCGTCTTCGGTCTGTCACTGCTGGCCATTTGCTACGCCATTGCTGCCATGGATCCCGGCAGGGACTCTATTATCTACCGCATGACCTCCACTCGCATCAAGAAGGACAACTAAGCGGCGGAGAGGAATGAACTAAGAGCATCCCTTACCCCTTTTGTTATTTCGTCCTCTTTTTCTTTGAGTTAATAAGTTGATCTGCCAACTTCTACTTCAATCCAAAAAAAGCGAAGAAAATGTGTGTGTGTGTCGCTGTAGTTGGTTTTATTATCTATAAATAAGTATTAACAAACTTATCAGTTTTCGAAGCAGTTGCGGCTGAGCAATGTAATTCCATAGTAATTTGTTACATTTTTCCTCTGTTTTTGTTGTACTTTTTAGGTTCATATATACATTGATACGAGAGAATATGCACAATATACTCGCCAGATCGATCAGTCACTTCTATGTCAAACTAATCATCATATGTAAATTATCAAAAATGTGAAGTGTTAAAAAAAGTAACGTTAAATATATATAGCCTAAAAGACAAAGTATTATGTTTTGACTTGGTTTTTGGGAAAACTTAAGCACGTTAGATAGATTTACTGGAGGTCTGCAGAAGTCCTCATATTTATACCCTTGCAGAGTATTATAATTTTAGTCAGAAGTTTGCAACGCAGTGAAGGAGGCACCTCCGACTATATAAAGTATATATATTCTTGATCAGGATCAACAGCCGAGTCGATCTAGCCATGTCCGTCTGTCCGTTTCTACGCAAACTAGTCTCTCAGTTTTTAAGCTATCTGAATGAAACTTTGTAGTTAGCCTTCTATATACTCTCACTCGTATATATGTCGGAACGGGCCGGATCGGACGACTATATCATATAGCTGCCATAGGAATGATCGGAAAATTTTTTAACTTTTTCAGTTTTCAATAGAATTAGATCAAATTTAAGATATAGCCATTTTACTATACTCTACAATTTTGTGTAAAATTTTATGAAAATCGGACTAATATATCATATAGCTCCCATAGGAACGATCGAGAAATTAATACAATTAAATTTATAACTTTTTTAGTTTTCAGCTGATTTTCATCAAATTTGAGGTATAGCCATTTTATATAAGTCTTAAATTTTGTGGCAAATTTCATAAAAATCGGACGACAATATCTTATAGGTGCCATACAATCGATCGTTTGATGTAGAGGAAAAATGCAAATCTGTGTATGTAAAACTGCAAATATAATATGTATAGGTGAATGAAATGAAAGCAGCTATTACTTCATTGTTTTTTAACACAAATATATATAATTTATATTGTATGGATTCCTATTCATAGAAGTTCTATCTGGAAGGGTATATAAACTTCGGCGTGCCGAAGTTAGCTTTCTTTCTTGTTTTGTTTTGAGTTTACTTTTATAGATATATAAAATTATGTATATAAATCCAAGGTAATAAGAGAATTAACAGGAAAATAAATGCATAGCTAGAAAAACTTATTCTGGACCTAGGTCAAGGCCTAGTTCTGATCCCTCCTAAAATAAACAAAATAATTATCATTGTTAGGACTTACCGTAGGTTGCTTATATTTCTGGTAACTTCAATTAGGACTATCATGGTATTATGGCAATCACTATCCCTACTACTATCACTTCAGATGTAGGAATCGGGGAGGCCGCGGACAGAATGAGGTCAGCTCGACGGCAGTACCTGTATTTATAGTTTCCGAGAGAAAGAGAACAGAGAAAGTGGGAGCGAGAGCGAGAGGGGAAGTGTAATCTCTAAAGAAATGCATAGAAAGAGAGAGATAGAGAGCAAGAGATATCTCTAGTGTTACACAGAGTTGTACATGCCAAACGAGAGGTAAACAGAGGGAGAGACAGAGACGGACGAACAGACGGACAAGGCTAGATCGACTACATATGTATGTATGTTTGCATATGAATTTTATATGGTCGTTGCAAACTTCTGACTGTAGTCTTTTTTGCTATAACTTCCAGCCCTACAAACTGATTATTTTATATTCAAATGATTTAATAATAACTTTTTTATTTCAACAAATATTAATTTTGGCTTCAATTCTGAGGAACTATTGATGTATTGGTGATTACCTCCACTTAAGTTTTTGGATAAATTTTCCAAGGTGTAAATTCGAAATTGTTAAATTAATTTATTTTAAATTTAAATATTCGAACAATCCTATACTATAAAGTTTGTTTAAATATTGAATAAAATTATTTTCATACTCAGATTTTAATAACTTTATCAAATCCAAAAACTATAAATCTTAATATATTTAGTATATTAGAAAATATACTACTTTTTAAACACAATTAACTTTAGTCGGTGACGTTATCACTGGGTAACATTCTATCCGGAGTTGAAACCGAAACTTAAATAGAAATTCGATCTATTGCAACATCTGTAATATTATTTTCAAGCTACGCTCCCCAATGATCGTTGCCGTGGTCATATGGTGAGCTACTTCCTCCGCTCCAGGCACAGCAGCCGTTGCCATTGCCATTCTGACCAACAGAACTTTCCCGCAGCATGGCCTGCAGGTGATTAATATAGTTGATGGCGATCCTAAAAAAATAAAATAATTTAATTACATGCCCTTCGAATAACCCTAGACTTAGCACTCACCTTAAGCTCTCGATTTTAGAGTACTTCTTTCCATTTGGTTTGGAAATGGGCAGCTTGGAGCGCAGTAAATCGAAAGCTCGGTTCATATCCCGCATTCTGGTCCTCTCTCGATCACAGGCGGTGCGTCTGTAGTCTTTCTCCATCTGCAATGCTTTCTCCCGCCAGGCCGGATTGTGCTCCTTGGATATCTCCACTTCTGAACTACTGGCCAAACTACTTCCACCTCCACCGCCTCCACCGTAGCTCATGTACATTGGTGGTGGCACTAGTTCACCAGGCTTGCTGCATTCCACCAGGCCCACGGGAGAGGCAGAAGGCACGGGCCCAGCGGCGTGCCACATCGACACGGGCTGGGGAATCACACTATATGTGGGCGGGAGCAAACCCATGGTGGGTGGTGGTTCCTTCTCGTAGCCACTGACCATCGTCGAGGGCGAATAGTTGTGCGGATGGGCTGGAGCATAGGCCAGTAGACCGCCTCCATCGGGAGTCAGGGTGTAGTTAAGACTGACTGCAGCTTGCGGAGCGCCTAGCTCGAGAAGCACCGGCTGTTCCGACGACTCTGCCTCACCCTCGGAGCCACCGCTGAGATAGGGTCCACCCGTCGAGGCTGGCAACGGCACCAGCACAGCAGGCGCTTCCCCCGGAGCGGGAGCGGTGGCCGCGGAGCTCAGCAGTTGATCCGTCATCGCCTAAGCCGATTTGCGCTCTGTGACGAAAGTGCTGCTGTCGTTGGGTTTACCTGGACTGCGGCCGGACTCGGACTCAATTCTTATTTTTATTTTTAGTGCATTAGAGGCCGCCAATCGTAATGAATGGCTCACCATCGATCCGAGACGTGACTACTACTCAGCCGGGGACAAATTGGGCCTCATCTCTGCAGAGTCTAGAAGGGCCGACCGCCTCTGTGTACGTGTGTCAACAGGTGATCTATAGAAGGTCTCTGTGGCTCTAAGGACCCTTTTGTCAGGTGCGCAAACAAAGCGGCTCAATTTCTCCGCTATTGTGCGATCGATCCGATCTGATCCGACGACGAGTGGCGATCGAGACGCGTGTGGCAGGCTGGAGTTGCGTCTCCTCTCTGGGATCAGTGATCGACGTTTGCGGATCGTCGCCACAACTTCAGTTTGAGTTTTTCCTCCACCGCTCTATATACAGAGCACCCACACTCGCAGGTCTGAGAGCACATAACCAGCGTGTATTTTCGACGCATGTAAACACAAGTGTTTTGACTTAATTAAAAAAAATACATATCCATATCCCCAGTTATGAATATATGGATATGGAGGTAAGAAAATAGAGTATAGCCTGGCTCTGACTGCAGTCAGGCAGCGCCTAAAGGTTTGCCCAAAATCTATTTTGAAACTAAGTCATTTTACGCCTAATTCCAACCAGTACAGTGGGCTCATAGTTAAGGCCGTTACGATCAAATTAAGTATATAAATAAATTCCTTTTTTTTAAATAAATGCTACATTATAGTTTAAAAGTTATAGAAATCTATATAAACAGTATTCTAATGCATTAGTCAACTAGGAATGTTACCTAGTGTAATTGCGTAAACACAAGGGGAACTCAAGATCTTTCCAAAAAAGGTCCAAACTTCTTCGCTGCTTTAACCGTTACAATAATAATACAATAATTTTAAATAAAAACAAAGCTCAAGCCTCAATTACCAAAGAATAACCATAGCTTTAACTGAATTAGTTTTATAAAATAAAATAAAATAATAATAAAGATAAAACGAAATCAGACATTTTATTATTGAAACGATTTTATAAATCCAGATAAAAGCGATAAGAAAACTAAAATACCATTAAGAAAATAATCCAAATTAAAAAGAATGAAATGAATACTTGACTCAAATAAAACAAGAAAGACAGCCGAAGTCTCTACACCCTTGCAGAATGCAACTTGATCATTAAAAATGACATAATATAAATTATATTATGTTAAAAACAACCAACTAATGCCTACTAGTAAATATGTATATATATAGTTACAGTTTTACCATTGCAGTTTTCCATTTTTGTTTACATTTAATGATCGTTTCTAAACATCAGAAAAATAGACCGATTCCAGTTATAAATATTTCCTGTCTATATTATCTACAAATTTTATTTTAGTCATATTTGGGATCAAATCCCTTTCTACGATTCTTCCAACTAGAGTAAATCCCCGGGAAACCCAATTCATGGCCGAGGCGTCGTATTACCAGCAAACTCACCATTGGAAATGGGAAATTACTTACATTTTTGCAAAGCCGAAAGCTATTTTGTTAGCTGGTTTACCAGAGAGAATGGCTTGTGGAGAATCGGAAATTAATATGTGCAAAGTTCCGCGTAGAGAAACCGAGAGAAAACCTCAATAGGCTTGTTTCGCTCGACGACTCTCCTTGGGCGGAGGTGTCGAGTGACAGCCTGAGAAAAGTTTGTTGAGCTTTTTATAACTCCTTGAATATGGGTCACTGTGGCTGCGATTGCGAATCGAAGGCATATTTATTGTTTCAGCTATATAAAAAATAAACACCGTGTGTGTAAAATATTAAAATAAATAGCGAGTACAACGAAGCATTAAGTGGGCGCCATCCGGGCTCAGAGCCTCGGCATAGATCAATTCATTAGAGCTATGTACATAGGAGTGCCTGGTGAACTAATCGCACTTAGTTCAAATTAAGCGACAGAGTAAAGTTAATCGTTGTCAAGAAAATGCTGGTGGTCACTCCAACTCAATTAGAGTTTTAACTGCTAAACTTTAAGGGTCGCAGCTCAAAGTACTTGTCCAACACTTCGTCCGTTATCAGCTTGCGGGCTGCCTGATGCTGCTCCACAATGGGCGTCAGTGTCTTCAAGAGGAAAAGAATTAAAAATTAGGTAAGACTTTTTTTTAAAAAATCTCTAAAAATATCAGCATTGTGCAACTTACCTCCACGGCTAACTTTTTGATCTCGCCCGTGAGCAGCTCACCCTTCCTATAGGCCTCTCGGACTTCCTCCAGCTTAGCATCATCTTCTAAGAAGAATTTGAGCAGCTGATAGGATACATCGACTTCCGGCACCCCGCCCAGCTTACGGTGCTCCTCTACAGTAGCGCGTCCACCGGAGAAGGCGTACTTGTTTATCTTGTTCTTGATCTGCTTGGGCGTGTCTGTCAGATAAACAGCAGAGTTCTGGTCACTGGCTGACATTTTCGTTTTAGCACCCTGGAGCGCCGGAAAGAAGGTGGAGTGGATGAGCGCGCACTTGGGGTATCCGAGGCGCGGAGCAACATCACGTGTCATACGGAAGTACGGGTCCTGGTCAATGGCGCACGGTATGAGGCAGTGAACCTTTTTGTTTCCAAACAGGAAGGGAAAGGTGCTGGAGATGGCAGGAGCTGCTTGGGCGGCCGGAAAACCAATCTTGCCAATAATATCCGAGTCGCCGAAGCCGAAAATTCCCTTCACCTGGTTAAAGGTCACACACTTTTGGATGCGAATAATGTTCTGGTACATGGCGGGACATTTTCTAAAATAAAAAACATTTACTTTATGAATTGAATACTCAATTCCGTATGGCAAAACCTACCCCATGAATTCCAAGTTATTGAATATAAATGTCTTGTTAACGTCAAAACCCATGGCCACAATATCCTTGGCATTCTCGCGAGCCAGCTTAATGGCGTCCTCCACTTTCAGATCCTTCCACAAAGTCTTCTCATCGTCAGTCAGTTGGACGACCAGCGGCACATCGAAAGTCTCCTGCAGCCACTTGGTCATTATGAAGGGCACTAAATGGCCCACGTGCAGGGAACCAGAGCTGGGGCCGCGGCCAGTGTACAAATAGAATGGTTTTCCCTGTTCCCGCAGGGATAGGATGCTGTGCAGATCGCGGTGAGAGAAGAACATGCCCCGCTTGATCAGGTGGTGAGCGGGCTTCCCAGTGATTTTCTCGAAGCGTGCGATAAGCTCATCATCGATTTTGCTCGAGCCAAAGCGTTCTGCAACGTGTCAACATGGGAGATACAGATTAAGTCAGAGGACTTAATGTGGTCTTTTCGGAGGAGACTCTGTTCCCGCTCCCTGCACTTACTTATCAGTTTATCGTAGTCGACGCCCGCGTCGTTGCTGCTGGCCACATTCCACGGATCCACAACATCTTCAACTCCGGCAGCGGCACCATCTTCCCCTGCTTCCTGCGCCTGGGCGTCTGTGCCAGTTTCCACGGGCTCCGCATCAGGTTTTCCATTCAGCGTGAGCGCCTCCACGCCTTTCACTACCGTCTCCTTAGTGTCCGCCATTAGGTTAGTCTTAATTCAATTGTTTAACAAATAATTTAATACTGGCTAAATTTTTGCCTTCACATGTGAAATGCTATTAGAGTTGCGGAACCAGAGCTGCCCTATTGGCTAGATACTGCCGTTTTCATATTTTATGTCTTTGATCAAAAGTCTTTTAATAGGTATCCACTAAAATGTATTAAAAAAACGTTCAGATAAAAATTAATTTTGTTTATGAATGTTCTTGATGGTTTTATAACTGTTTGCTGTTTTTATTTAAAATTTTTAAAAATTGTAGCCGTCCCGATTTACTTTATAGAACTTATCGATATCAAGCCCTACCGATGGTAACAATTGTTTTTGGATAGCGACAACTCTGGTAAAACAGCTGTTGCATTGCAGCGCAAATTGTGGGTGAAAAAATGCACACAACTTGATTGTTTCTTTCGGGCTATTTTGGGTAATTAAGAACTAAGACACCATGCCTATCATGTACAACACTGGCGAGTGGTTCAAGGTGCGGCCGGACTACTACAGGTGAGAATTAACTAGCTTGCAGAGAGCTAAAACGCTGTTAGGGATACGCCCACCACCCCGCTTTTCCGCTTGCAGAAAAGTGGAACTGGCTACGCCCGATTGGCCCATCGATCTAGACTTGGAGTACATGCTGGTAGAGGCAGCGCCCTATGGAGGTCCCATTGCTACCACCCGTGATCCCACCAAATTGGTGCCCGTGAAAGGAAGCGCAAGACCAATGATCCGCATCTTCGACACCACCGGCCGGGAAACCGGACACATATTGGTGGGTAAACAACTTTTTGAGGTCCAAATCTTTTATAAAGTATTTAACCTCTATTAGTGGAACCACGGAAAACTAATTGCCATGGGCTGGTCGGACACAGAGGAGCTTATCTGCGTCCAGGAGAACGCCACTGTCTTTGTTTACGACATGTTTGGTCACGAAAAGGAGACCTACAGCATTGGCGACGAGGCCAGCGTAACAAAGATTGTGGAGGCCAAGGTGTTCCAGTCGACAGCAGGCACGGGAGTAGCCGTCATGACTACATCCGGTCGAATTTTTCTTAAGCAAAATAGCACTAAAGCGGAGCGGAAACTGCCAGATATTCCCAGTAAGTTTTCAATGCTTAAGAAGTCATGAAATTAGTCTAATCATTCCATCAGATTCTAGCATGAACTGCTCCTGCTGGGATATCGTAACGGAGGGCCGCAACAGTTATTGTCTTCTGGGCAGGGACAAAGAAGTGATTAAGCTGTTTCCCGGTGAAACAGTGGGCACAATCACCGCCAATCTCTTTGAAAAGCCCCATGAGCGAATCATCAAGATATCTGTGTCGTACAACCACCAGCACTTGGCTCTGTATACCAACACTGGACTCCTCTGGCTGGGAAGCGTCGACATGCGGCAGAAGTACTGTGAATTCGATACTGGTCGCAAGGATATGCCCCTTCAAATGGAATGGATCATGAACACGGACAACACCGAAGCGGATGCAGTAGTCATATCTTATCCCTCGTATCTTTTAATTGTAAATCGCAATGCTGATCGCAGCGATTTCCCCTACGATCCGATCATGTTTCTCGTGGCCGAAATGGATGGCGTGCGCATCATAACCCAGAACTCGCACGAGATGATCCAGCGCCTGCCAAAGTGCGTGGAAAACATCTTTGCGGTGAATAGCCAGGAACCGGCCAGTTATCTGTTTGAAGCACAGAAAAAGTTCGAGGAGAAGTCCTACAAGTCGGATGAGTATCTAAGCATGTGTCGTGAGAGGATTGATTTGGCGGTGACCGAGTGCATTGAGGCAGCCTCTTATGAGTTTTGTCCGGAGACCCAAAAGAGTTTGCTCAGGGTAAGTAAATTGTGTTCTTAACCTTATTTATTGATACTGTAACGAACACACCGTTTTTTGTTTTTAATTTAGACAGCCAACTTCGGTAAAGGTTTTATAATCGGTCACAATCCTGACGAATACATGCGCATCATGAGAATACTGAGGGTCCTAAACACCCTAAGGCACGAACGAATTGCCATGCCACTTACATTCAAGCAGTAAGTCTCAATTAAATTAATTTTAAAATGATCTCTTAATACACCAATCGATTTCTACCCTAAACAGGTTTTCACATCTTAATCCTGAGGTGATACTCAGTCGTTTGGTGTTTCGCAAGCACTATGCTGTTGCCATTCAAGTGGCCAAGCATTTAAATCTGCCCGAGTCCTGGATTTTAGAGCACTGGGCCTACCACAAAGTGATCAATGATCCCAGTGAGTTGTAATAATAATTGAACTTTTTGAGCCAGCCATTTCTTACAATTTAATTTGTAGATGACATAGAAGTAGCGCGGAAAATAACCGAGAAGTTTAAGAATCCTTCTGTGGAGGGTATTTCTTTTTGCAATATAGCGGCAAAAGCTCATCAGGCTGGGAGGGATGACCTGGCCATCAAGCTATTAGAATTGGAGCCACGGGCTTCGCTCCATGTCCCCCTGCTTTTGAAAATGCGCAAGTTCGATCGTGCGGTAGGCAGTGCCACGCAGTCGGGTGACACAGAACTCATTACGCGGGTACTTTTGGAAATGAAGATGCACATGATGTTGTCCAATTTGCATGTATGTCTACGACCTTTAAAACCATTTCTTTTCTTAGCTTAATTTTTCATATTGTTTTCCATCTATCAGATGACCATTAGGGATCATCCATTGGCCCTAAATATGTACAAGAAGATCATGCGGGAATCAAATAGAGCCGGCCTCTATGGCATCTATAACACTGAAGATGACCAGAAGGCCATTGCGGAGTATCATTTCCAGAACGCCATAGAAAGCGAAGGGCTGGAGTCGAATTTGTCTCTGATTGGCAATGCCTATGCTGCAGGTCGATGCACACTGGAGGCGGAACTTTGTGCCGATACCAGTCGATTGCTGAAACTCCAGAAGACTCTGAGCACCAAGTACAATGCCAGTTTGAACGGTTTGTCCGTTCATGACACCATTCTGGGATTGCTGCAGATCGGCGAATTGAAGGAAGCGGAGCGCATCAGGAGCGACTTTAAGGTGCCTGAGCGCCGATTTTGGTGGCTGCGAATCCTCATCCTCTCCGAACACCACAAATGGGAGGAACTGGAGAAGCTGGCCAAGAGCAAGAAGAGTCCCATTGGCTACGATCCTTTTGTGGAGGTCTGCTTAAAGCAGAACAATACAAGTGAGGCGCTCAAATACATCCCAAGGTGTCGGGACAACCGGAAGGTGCACTGGTTCATTCGGGCGAAGTAAGTTAAAGCTAGTAACAAGAGGATTCAAAGGAGTAATGAAATACATTTTTCTTAGCTTCCTGAACGAGGCCATAGATTGCGCCTTCGAGCAACGGGACGTGCATAGTCTATACGAACTACAAAAGAAGGAGGGAGTGGTCAACGATCGGACGTTGCTCGGCAAGGTATGCAACTATATCTCCACGTTGGAGATGAGGAAGTAAATCGCAACATTCCTATATATAATGAATAATAACTCTAATAAAAATATTTATTGATGTATATATTCCTATAAAAAATGTTGGATTTCTTGTAAATCGGATTGTTATATTTGTTTTCAATCTTAGTTCGACTTTTTGGTTTTGCAATGGAGCCTTCCCATAATTCAGGGTGGAATTCTATCTTTAGGGATGCCATTTTTGTTGTATCAATCCTCCCCGGCTTTAAATAAATGCGATTACCTTTAATTAAGTTTGTTTTTGAAGGACATTTTTATTATACATATGTATATGTAGTATGTAATAGATCACATAAAGCAAAAAGAGAATATTTTACTACATTTTTTGTTTTCTTTATTTTGTTGATGTGTTTTTTTTTATGTGGCTTGTGTGGGGATGAGTTGCAAATCCCTTTCGAGCTGTGTGTAAAGGATTATTTGATTTGATGTGGAGGATGCTGTCAATGATGATGATAGGTAATGTTTAAACTTTAGTTAATTCTCTACTATAATTACCATTTTAGTAAATTACAATTACAATACATTATATATATATATATATAGTACATAGTAGTATGTAGGTAGGTAGAGATGAATAAATTAACTATTCATTTTATTATTATTCTTATTTTTTTATTTAAAAAGTTATTTCAGTTTATTAATTTTTTCGGTTTCTGTGTGTGATTTTGTTTTTCGTTAAATTTACATACATATATTAAATATATTTACGAACATAACAGCAGTCTTATATAAGATGACATACTCAATTTATTGTTTTCATTTAGAGGGGTTCTTTTGAGTTCATTATCCGTGTTGAAAGTCTGAATGGGAGCGTCCTGGCAGGGGATATTTTTGGATATTAGCGTAACCCGCTTGCCAAAACTCTCTTCCGGGGAAGGCTTCGGTGAACCGAGGACGTGTCTAGTGGCTTTCGTTTCCGTCTATATAAAAGTTGTTTGACTAAAATAGGGCGATCCGTTGGGAGTCGCTTAAGCGTGAGGTCTTAAAGATATTGTATTTAGATGTACATATCGGTATCTATGTAGGTGTTTATCTAGATTCTATTAGAGATAGATTTGTTAGTTCTATTTTGTTTAGTTGTGATTAATTTTTAAGACGCTGGGCGTCTGCAAAATGCGCTCTGAAAAGTTCCTATCTTTCTTTATTTTGTTTTGGCGGCTGACTAAATTGATGTATGTTTTATGTATGTATGTATACTTGATGTAAATATATATCGTAAGTTAAAAATTTCATTTGTTTTTGAATGCTTAAGGAACCCGATACGGCGAATTGTGAGGCATGCAGAGAAATACAATCGGGAGTATGCACAAATATATATAATCTTGTATTATTTATCGTATATTTTGTATTTCTTGGGGGACTTTTCACAATTAGGGACGTTTGAAAAACACTAAAAACTAAGACATTACAATTACAATTACAATACCCATGCACTTGGACATACACTCACACAGATACAGACACAATTGTATATATAAATAATATATAATAAATTTATAATTATAATACTATAACTACTGTAGAGTTATTGGTGGCTCCTAAGCGCTGAAACGCTCCTGGCCGTTTCGCAGCTTCAGTTCAGCTTCGACGGTTCGGTTCGGTTCGGCACGTGGGCTTCCCCACAAAATTTTTAACTAACTAGAGTTTCGGTTTTTGAAATATTCGACATTCAATTTATAAATTTTTGCATATCTTAAAGTTCTCAATTTACAATTTTGCTACATCCATTCTTTCATTCTGTTTTGTTGATCTCTGACAGCCAATAATTTAAGACTTTTAAATTTTGAAAAGTGATTCAACCAACTGGTTGGGGAAAGACCCCAATGTTTTGATTTCACTGAAATTGTACAGGGGAAAGCTTGTCAACTTATAAATATAGAAGGTTATATGTGGGGCCGGGGATTCCCCGTCAACCAGTTCTCGCGTGTTTTATACATTTACGAAAATCATAGATTTAATTTAACTACAATAATGACTAGTTGAAGAGCGAGCTTCAAATATGTATATTTACTACAATTTCCGTATTTCTTATTTAATTTTTTTCTCATTTTTTTTTTTTTTGTTAGATTTTTTCATTTATAATTATAGAATTATCTAAAGCTGTTACAGAGAAGCTTCTGGCCAATGTATATGTACAATTAACGTAGTGGGTAAAGAATTTCCAGCTTAATATTGTTGAGATTAGGTTTTGGGTATTGTGTTGATTTTGTGTTTTTTTATGGATGTGATTTTTCAATAGTTGCGAAATGCATGGAATTTGTTTTTAGCATTTTGTTGCGTTATAAATATTATTGTTATTATTATTATTATGTTTGTTTTGCATTCATTTTGGAAGCCAATGGAAATTCTTGCTTCTTGTTTTGGAAAACTTCTCTAAATATTTTATGGGGCATCGCCCAGCTCCTCTTCCCTCTTCCTCTCACTGCCTTCTGCTTCTGCATCCTTTTCCCATCTGCCTTATTAGCGAATCCTCTTGCTCCGCCTCTCGTCCAGTTTGTTAGTCAGTTTAGTTACTACTTCATCACAGCCAACTCTCTTTTGCCTTCAGCGACGCCCAGCGATCCGCTCATCTCATCTGATCTCTGATCCCACCTCCGCCAGCATCTCTCGTCTTCGTTTCGGATCAGTTGATCGTTTTCTTGTAGAGATTATGGTGTATGTGCTCGTTCTGGAGCGCGCACATTTGGCCGACAGCAACGGCCCGCAAGCCAGCACCACCGCCGCCTACTCCTCCAGAAATGGTCACATCCGTTGGACTGCAATCGCCTCTCGATGGACTCGTCTTGGCGGCTCGCAGGTTGGAGAAGAACTTCTCCTTGATGGCCAACGCCGAATACTTGTGCTCAATAAAGGTCGGTGAGATCTGCATAGGCGTGGTGATGCTACTGGCTGGTGCTGACGGCGGTGGCTTGGCAGGAGGCGTTGCTGACGACCTCTTGGCGGCTGACAGAACCGTAAGCGTTGGCTTGATGGAATCACTGCTGTGGTTGCTGTTCTGTGAGCAGGAGTAAGAGGTTTCTGCAATAGGTAGAGAGAAAAGGAAAAGAAGTAACGGAAAAACATAAAATCAAAATAAAAACAAAACGATAAGCCCGAAAATGTAAACAGAGAAGGATGTAAATTGTAGAAAACTAAGCCATAAATTAGGGAAAATATACATATATTGCACCGTCGTCGTCGTCGTCTTAACTTAATGAGCTCACCCAGTGTAGATGCGATTGGGTGTGTCTATAAATATACATATCGTAAGTATATATCGTACAATTAAATTCAATTTACTAAAGCTTATAACATAAATAATACTTGGTTGTTTAGTCGAATACAAATACAAATAGTACACTAAAACTAGAGCCGGAGAGCTGAGATTAAATAAGTTGTAATTGCTAATTGGTAATAATAATAATAAAAGTGATCGCTTGGAAATGAATTTGAAGTATGAATTTTTCTGCAAATTTATTACAATTGTTGATCGTGTTTCGTTTTATATATAGTCTAATTAAATTAAGAGGAGATCAGCCGTTGTAAATAGTTTAATACAAGCATGATGATAGTCATACATACAATTATAGTGATTAATTCTCTCATAAAATTATAAAAATTTGTATATATTGCACAATCAATGCGATTCGCGTATGTGTGTGTGTAGTCGAGTTATATGATACAATTTAGGTTTGGGGACTAAAATTAAAACACAACTTAAGTTTCTGGTCTCTAAACAAGTAAGCAGTCTACGGAAATCTTTCCAAAAATGGTTTTTTTGGTGAGTGAGTGAGTGAGTAAGTGAAGGTCTGACAACTTGGCGGCGCCCCCTCCCTCTAAGCTTTCGCATTCTGCCGAGTCAAGAATACATGTCTTGCGATCCCCCTATCCTCGCGAAGCAGGCTAATGCGGCGGCTTAGGCGGTGACTCCTGTCCAGCCAGCTTTCGGTGCATCAATAGCTGCTTGAGTATAGGCTACGTCTCTTCGTTGACAGCGCCCGCGCCTATAACTTCAATGCCCGCTACTGATACTGTCGCTGATGCCACTCCGATTTCCTCTTTACTCTCCGTTATACTGGCTATTGCTGCCGCTACGCTCTCCGAAATGCCATCGCTCTGCCCATCCGTGTCCGTGTCCATGGGCTCCACAAGTTCCACCAGCTTGCCCTTCTTCATGAGCACCTGTTGTTGTTGATGGGGCGTTGGCGAGCTGCTTTTGCTGCTGTTTCCGCTAATGCTGCTCGTCGGACTGATGGGCAACACATGGTGTTGTTGCGCCTGTTGTGCCTGTTGCTGCTGTGCATGCTGAAGCAACTGGCTCGGAGTTGTGGGCTCCTGGAGCAGTAGTATGTTCGTCTTCTTAGCTAACGAGGCCACCAGCGCCTGCTGCTGGGTGCTGTTCCCATTGGTGGTGGTGGTGAAGGTCAGCGTCTGAGTGTTTTTGGTGGGCGAGGTGGCCGGCGTAAGAATGCCCAAATTAACCAAATTGGGCAGCGGTTTGTTGCCATTGTTGCCGTTGAGAATGGTTTGGCCATTCGTTATTTTGTTGTTTCCGTTGTGCTGCTGCTGCACAATGTCCAATGCTGAGGAGCCACCGTTGGCCACGTTGGTGGCCAGCTTGAGTATCTTGCTGGCAGTTGCATTGGCTGCCATTAGGTTGCTAACTGACTTGGCAGTCTGCGTGTTGTTGCCATTATTGTTGGCTTTAATGGATACTAAACCGAGTGTGCTGCGCATTAAAGTGTTGTTGGTGTTACCTGTTCCAGAGCCGCCGTTCTGTTGGATCTGCTGCTGTTGGTGTGGCTGCTGCTGGGTGGGAAGATTGGTCAACGTGACTACATTCCCAGTGCTGAGCTGCTGCAGAACACTGCCATTTCCGGTCAAAACGGCTGCTGTATTGCTGGTGCTGCTTATGTTGCCGATGTTGTTGGAGAGGCTGCTACTGCCACCTTGGCAACTGCTGGCGCTGCTCGACATGTTGCTGATGCTTGAGGGACTTAGCGAGCCCAGCGATTGCGATGGGGAATTGCTGCGCTGGATGACGGGCGGCGGGGGATTAGAGTTGTTACTCCCAACAGTGGCATTTGCAGTGGCTGCTGCCGTTTCCAAAGCAGTGGCCAGCTGGGCATTTAGCACACTCTCCGGCTGGGAGTTGTGCGTGTGCAGAGCATGGTTCTTCAGGCCCTGGGCCGTCTTGTAGCTCTTGCCGCAGTGACACTTGTAACCCTTGCGCACTCTGTGGAAAGTCGAGCTATTAGTTAGCTTCCTGTTTTAAAATGTAGCTAACAATCTAGGCAATGATTGGTTACCTTCCATCCTTTTTGTGACCATTCTTTGAATGGTACTTGATGCCGTTGACGTTCTTATAACGCTTCTTGCATCCAGGAACAGGGCAGGCGAAGGGTTTCTCATTGCCAGGCGTGCCGTTACTTCCGCCACCGGAATGCCTGCAAAAGTTGACCAACTTAGCAACGAGCAACAATAGTAACTTTGGCTATAATACCTGCTGCCATAGCGCATGATGAACTCTGAGCTAAACTCTTCAGTAGTCCACGAGTCGTTGCTATCCTCTGACTCTGTGACCACCATTTCATCCTCGTCCATTTCACTGCCTGCAAATAATGAGTAAATCAAGTATTGAGTACTAGTCTAACTTAGTTTCACTTGTCATAGCATCATACCTGTTGGCGTTGTGCTGCGGTTGGACGAGGACATGCTGTAGCTATGGTGCTTGATGGCCAGCTTACGCTTGAGCTCCACATTGTTGGCGGTTCCATGACCGGCGTTGTTGGAGCCGCTGTTTGTTGTTGGTGGTGCGGTGTTGCTGTTGTTGCTGGCTAGGTAGTTGCCCGCCGCAACCGCCTCCTTTCGGTTCTCCTCGGTGATGAAGCGCAGGACATAGCTTAGGGGCAGACAGGCAGGCTGGGCCTGCTCCTTCTGTTCGACCACCTTTGGATCATAGTCTAAAAATAACACCAGAGATAGTTTAGTTAAATATGTGTACCGTCTACTAGAAAAGCGGTTAGTTCTTGACGAGTACAATATTAATAATTCTACGTTTCGAAATTAATCTAATCATTCTAGCATCATTTTAATTGTTCGCTCTCAATTTATGGAATTAATTAGCAATAATAGCAGTCAAATTTATTAACAGAAAATTATTATTCCCCCACTTGCAAATGAGATATAACCCAAAAAATTCCAAATTACCCATTGTAATGCTTTCTAAACGAAACTGGATTCAATTACGGGACGACCCTGTCTAGAAAGAGACCGAACCGGGATTGACTAATTAAAAATTCCCTTTTGCATAGGATACAGAGAATCCGAACCGGAATGCGGGCAACCAGAAAACCTGCATCCAAGCTGTGTTTGCACTGGAACAAGTTCAGAGACATACGGCGGAGAACTCTGTGGATTTCAAGCCAGACCAGACCAGAGACAGAGACCCACAGCCCGGGCAATTTATTATTAAAATGTCGAAATAAGTAAATAAGCGAGAGTGCACGTAGGGGATATTATATGGCGGTGAATTTAGTGCGCCTGCTGACGCATTTTCCCTGGGTTTTCGAGGGTTATGCGGGGGAATACTCGTGGCAGGAGCACATGGCTCTCTGTGCTGCCAGTGTGTGGACACTATCTTATCGCCAAAGCAAGCATAATAACAGGTGCTCCCCTTTTCTGCGTCTCTATTTACTCTAAATCCATGTGAGTGTGTGAGTGTGTTTGCAACCTAACCTCCATAAGCAGACAGCGAGCGGAGCACGCTTTATTTCTCAATTAAATCATTTTGGTGCGTAACTGTGTCAGCCGACCATTCATCATCATCCGCGACACGGAGCACCCTATAGACGGACGAATGTCACCCGGTTGGAGTAACCAGTTAACGGGCGGATGCTAAACGAATAATTAAGATCCATAGATCAGCGGATCTCATAAATTGATGCTTCCACTCGTAAATTGTAGCAATCTTTTCAGTTAATTTATTTATAAACTCAAAAAGATGAGCTCAACAGTTTAAGAAAACATTAAATACAAGCAAGCACAGGGTTTAAAACAATTTCTTTTGTATCTTAAGGATCCCGCCACTTAAATTTTTGATAAGTGGTATGCGCGTGATCCTACCCAGACTCAAGGTTTGAAATCTGTAGAAAAACTGCATTTTCGGTAGCTACCACCCACGCAGATCCACAGAGACAATAAGTGTACGATAACGTTGCACTTTAATTGCTTCTATCTGATTCGAATCGTATCTGGTATTGGTGTGCAAATAGAAAACATATGCCGCAAATTGGTTATTATGCCAAACATATGCTTTCATTTAGTCCGCTGCTCCTTTTTGGCACACATTACTGTGCTGCTTATCAGGGCGAAATGCGATTAAAAACATTTGCGGCAATGATTGCGGTGGTGGTGATGTCTACGTGCCGTCCAATCGATTGATGATGACACATACGGACATGCACATAGACGAGTTATGAGTGCGTATGCCCGGAGTATTATGTGCGTAATATTTCCACGTACTCTAGCGAGTGTTGTGCATTTATTTATTTGCCTTGAAAATTTGCAGTTGTAAATCGCAGCACACATTCTTTTCGGCTGATGAAATCAACTTATACTTGAAAGCACGGCGCCATTTGTTAACGGTCAAATCAGTTCACTCAATTCTGGTAATTTGTGTATTTTTTATTTTCTCAGCTCCGCCTTCATATTATTGTTATTATTTTGTTGGTGATAACCCGTGGTGCCTCTCTCTCTTTCTCTCTCTCTGTAGGTGACAATTGCCGCTTGTCTTGGTGTTTGTGTGTTTATCAAATCGAGTATTTTACAAACAACTTTTAAACAAACAGCATCTAGCTACGTATTTACACACACACACATCGGTCCCTGCCTGTTTTCGTATTTCAAAAACAAAGTAAACGCAGATCCCTCTCTCTTTTTTCGCACTTGTGACTCATGTGCACTTGTTGCAGAACTCAGAAAGATAACACTTGTCTTTCGCCTGAACATGCGGTTTCGGTTTGTTTTTATTTTATTCCACCGGCAGCTGTCACAAAAAAACTTTCCAATACTTGCATTCCATTCTTGAAATTTGATAAATAACCAAGTCATTGACTGTTGTGAATTTATGTTGACAATGCAAGTGCAAGGAAACCTAGTACGGTGTTAACCCCTATATGCTGAATTTATTCCTTTAACACATTTCAACTTTAAAGAATTCGAATTTATGGAACGCTTATCGCATTTATTGTTTTTAAAAGAAAAGTCATATTTAGTATAATATATGCCACAAATCAAGCGATAGAAAAATTCCCGGAATTTAAAGCCTAATCATGCATTTTTAATGGTACGTCACTGTTTATTCTATTGATAAAATGTGTAACTGTTCTTGATAAAAAATTAATTTGTTAACAAACATATGGGTAGCCTGTTCAGTTGTAGTTCTTGAAATTTTTAAAACAACATAAAAACGTTAGACCAAAACCTTCTTAACCTCAAGATCTGTATAAAATAAAATATTCTAAAATTATAACACTAGTTTCTTGAGATTTCTTATGAAGTGTATAAGAAATCTAGCGATTTGAGATCATTTAGCTATGGTGTTAACTGGTTGCTTCTCATTCTAGATTAATGGGTTAACTTCTTTATATCGCATTTCGCACATGGCTATCAAGAGTCAATTGCAGTGGAGATACGCGTACACACATACATATGTATGTACTGGCACACACACAAATTCGGGACACACAACAGGTGCCTGGCAACTGTGAAAAGGACAAACCTGAAGGTCTTGCCCGCTTTTTTTTTTGTTTCAAGCTGCCATGACAACCGAAACGTAACGAAGACAACGCCCAGAGCGGCGGCATGATAAGGAGACGTATATCCAGCCGTATCCATTTAGAGCCCGGCCCACGCATCGAGTGTCCTTCGAGATAATGAAATGATGGGCAGCAGCTCGCTCACGTAATGGTTACGGATATGGCTACACGCATACGGGGATGCGGGCATTGGGGTTCCCAGCTCGTTATGGGTGGCTTTTTTGGGGGTGGCACTCAGCACAGTTGCCATGTGGGCGTATGCTCGAGCTTCGCTTCGGATTTATGTAATGCCACAGCCCCTGGGCAAAAAGGGGGTGGCGCAGGGGAGAAAGCAAGCCTGCCCGGGCAGCCGCCATTGCTGTATGTGTGTGCGTGTGTTGACCGTTATCACGCAGCAGTGCGGCAACAACAAAACAGCTGCCAACGTAACTGTAACCGAGTCAGCTGAGCCACCCCTACACTCGCCTGTCTCACCCTCACGCCATGCGTTACAGCGGGAGCAAGTGAGAGAGAAACAGAGATGTACATAGACGCACTGCTCAGGCTGAACATAAATAAAGCCCCGTTAACCGTTAAACCACCCCAAACCCCAACCCCCTTTCTGGAATGTGGCAACACTGGGCTTAAATTTATTGATTTTACCTCCCTGGAAACCCCAGGTGCTAAAATTAGAAATTGTTTATTTCAGCCGGTAAAAGTCCACTCACACACATGCAGTCACTCAAAATGATTAATTGGGGAGAGCCTCAAAGTCACGTGGATAGGGATTTAAAAAGAAATAATATTGATTATGCGAGGGTGGCGAGGCAGTCGTGCAAATTAGAGCGCGTCTCCAGCTCCAGTTACCGGATACGGACACCCATCTACCTATCGGATACGTGTACACCTGTCTCGCAGACGCGAAACTAAAACCCAAGCCAAGCCATGCGGACAGGTCAAAAAAAGGGCGCTCAACTCGCCGGTTCCATAGTACAACAACAGCCGCAACAACAACAAGATGCTGTGTTGGCCTCACTCACACACACATACTGACAACATTGAATGGATCACCGGCTTTTTGCTCGCTTTGTTTTGCTTATACTGCCTTCTTGCTCGCACCCGCACCTTCCAGCGTACAGATCGTCGGTTCGAATGCTGTACGCGCTTGGAAGTTGGGCGTGTGTAGTGAGCTCGGTGTGCGTATGTGTGCGCGAGCACAGGTAGGCGCTGCCCGACGCCCGCCTATTGAGAATGCTGCTGCATCGATTTTTAGAAGCCATTCGAATTGCCATTAATGAGCAACAACAACTGTTCTGTTCTAGCCGCACTGCTGGCCGTACAAACTGCAATTCATCCAATAAAAACAACATTCAATTCACCACGAAGCCACTCACGCACGCACACTGTCAAACACACGCATACACCGTTAATTCGGTTATTTATGCCGCCATATATGTATATATGTATGGCAGGGTAAATAAATAGAATAAACAAAACACACCGACCGACCGACATCACGCGACAGGAAAATGATTAGGAAACTGCAATCAGCGTACCTATGTGGGTGTCCTCGATGTGTGATATTAAATCGCCCAAGCTTGGAAATGTAATGCCGCAGCCATTGTACTTGCAGACGTTGATCAGGAACACGGCCATATCACTCGAAACGTACGAATGTGACTGCGATGTAGGTTTGTAGTTATGTAAAATTGTTCGGGAAATACTGTTGTTGTTGCTGGTGGTGGCAGTGTGAGCGCCTATCGATAGTCAGCAGCGCTGCATGCTGTCGATTTATCGAACCCGGATGTGGTAAACTTTTTATTTAAATCCAATCCTGGGATCCAGCCTGGCGTATCCTCATTAAATGCAGCAAAAATCGAAATTCCAAGTGATTTCCGGTTCCTTCGTTCTTACTGTCGCCTTTCGCCGCGCTTCTACTGCTGCTGCGTGGTGTGGTGTGTTTCGGTCTCAAGCGTGCCCACACACACACACACTCATGCGCAAGTGCTGTTATGCAATTGAGGGCTGCAACGATAGAAGAGGGGGCGGCGGCATGGCCGGGGGAGTAGGCCTTTTAGACGGGTTCGGAGAATGTTTGGAGGAGATAGTTGGGCGGTACTCACAGCATTCTGGGTTTCAATTGAGTTCGCAATTGCGGGTAATTAAAACATTGCCGAACCGACGTGACGTAGACAGCAACGACACGACGACGCGTTATGCTGCGGCTGTAGTTGTGTGAGTCGGTGTGGTGAGTAGGCCAGAAACGGGCCAGCAACCAGGGCTGCGGTATCCGCAACGGGCTAATTGAGCAATCGATAAGAGCAATCAAATGGAGAAATATAGTTCTAAAAATTAGCTTTTAATTTTAATTAGACTTGAAAGAACTAGTTTCCCAAAATAATATTCTTGCCATAACTGTAGCTATCGGTAGTGGCCATTCCAACATTTTCAAATTTTCGCGCCAAACTCGCCGAATCATCTCTGTGTCTTCTAATTTGACAACCATACTTTTAGTCCTAAAAATACTTAGATTTAGGGTAAGTATCCTGTCCTGTTCAATTTTTCAATAAAAATTGGCATATGTAGATTGCGAACATTTCAAATGTGAATAGAAGACCAGTACCGGCACCAACTTCAAACTTCCCCACGAGAGGAAGTTGCCAGTTGGGACAAAAAGTGCTTACTAAAACGATGAAGACGGTAATAATAATAATTAATATATTTAATAATTAGTAATTACTAATTAGGCTTTTAGACAGTCTGTAATTAAGAAACAAGCCAAGATCCTGATAAGGCCTATGCGCGCCTAACGCTTTCAATTCACCACCCCGTTTTGGTATTTTTTTTTGTATTTAAGATTATTGGTGATAAATCCAATAAATTTATTGTTTTAAAATATTAATCTAAATCTGTAAGGATTTCCCAAGCGAATCGTCTATTTATTTAACAAAATTCTAATCTAGTGGGTCTTGGATTAATTCGATTATCCACAGTAGGATCCATGTTCCAAGAGAGGACGATTAGGTTTCTATAATTCTATAAATCACATAAATTATCATCTCTGAGATTAAGAAATCTCTTCAATCGTCCTAAGATTATATTTAAGATTATTGTATACATACATTTTTTTTGTATATATATGTAAATATATTTAAATATATATATTTTTTGTAAAACATTTGTTACCAAAAAAAGACAGATTTATTATGTAAGATATTTTAATATTAAGGCTAACCATAAATTTAGTACAAAGCAAATTCATCATTAGTATGTTGTTATTAAAAAATTAACGTGAAATTTTGTTAAGAACTACCAGTATTAAATAAAGACACATGAAAAATTAGTTATTAAAATCACTTTCTAAAAATACTAGATTTTGGACATATGTAAGTATCTTACAAATATCATAAAATGTATTTCAAAATAATACATTATCCGATATATCAGTGTTGGAAATATTTTTCTAAATAAGATGTGATCGATATATTGATATTTTAAAAATAAATAACTATTAGCCCATCTTTACTTTAATTATTCTATTATTTCACAAATTTTTAAGACTACATTTTGCATTTTTTGTATTACATAACAATATCCGTATTAGAGTCGGGCTTATCTATTTTTTTTGTATTAAGTATATATCATACGTTCGCGAGGTCCGATTTGTATCCGCGTATCACGATGTAAAATAAAATTCACCGGCCCACCCATTCCTTGTATACTTCAATAAATACTGGTTTTGCCCCAAATGGGATGGAATTAGTCCAAAGAATAATTTCTGAATGTATATAATAATAATATTTACATTTAAAAACAAATTGAAACGATACAAGTATTTATTTTTCGCAGAAATATCGATGTATCGATAGCTACAGGCATTGCTCACATCGCCCAGATTCTAGGGGTACAATACTTCCACCAAGTCCACTGTGAAGGGTTTGTTCGAAGTGAGTTGACGGTCTGCTCTGATAATGATAAAAATTTGTCCCCCGCCCAGCGGAGCACCCCCGGCCTGCTGATTGGATAACCGCCGTGGAAAGCGCCTCAGATTATCTACAGAATCAGCTAACCGTGTGGAAAAGCGCGATTATCAGTGCGAAAAGATGAAAACCGAAACGTGTATAACTGTCGCCATCTTGCGGCACACACACACGCATGTGACAGATTCAGAGTGTGCGTGTGTCTCGAGTCGTTGCGTCACTGAAAAAGTAGGAAAATTGCCAGAATTTCCCTGAAAAATGCAGTAAATAGTTTTTCTGTTTGAATGGGAGAGATTTGAGTGTACTTCCAGTGTAATCGCAGCTTTTTCGCACGATGTTACGTAACTTTTCTGAGGCGGCGGAGGCGGCGTTTGACACTTTGCAACTGAGCAACCAAGTACTAATCGATGATCATTATCCCCGTCTATATCTTTTGCAGAGCCGTGCGCTAGCTTCAATTTTGTCGTAAGCCAACAAAAAAAAGAAAATCATCCGAAAATGTTCGTGTCGACAGTCTCTCGCATTGCCCCCGTTGCCAGGAGCGCTGTAAGTAGAGCCCCCCTTCTGTGCGTGTGTACCACTGTGAGAGATAAAATTACAAAAGTTACATTTTAATTTTCCGATTACATAATTTGGGAAAAGTGCATCGATTTTCTTCCATTTCTATGCTGGGAATGCCGCTGTGGTGAGCTTCCACGGGCCGCGGTGAAAAAACACGGATGGCACACAGTTACATAAGTTGCGGGTTGAACTTTGAGGTTATGCGCACATTGCGGCTGGACGCGAAAAAATAAATGCATGTGCGAGTTTTAAAGGGATATAATTAGGACAATTAAGTGTAAAATTTAGTTTGTTTGGCTTTTACAGTTGCCCACAGACTGCCTCACATGGCATTGTATAACATGTCGGTGTTTCTTAGGTTGAGGTTAGAATTGGCAAAAGCTTTCCAATGGCTGAGTGGGTGAGGGACGCGCACGGGGTATTAGCAATAATTATTCAGTTTTGTTTATAATATAATATTGACAAGAAATGGGAATCTATTTTCATTGAGGAGGCAGAGAACCATTGAGGACCAAAAGAACAACAAATGACTTGGCCAAGTTGCCAATCTAATAAAAATTACTTAACGATTGCATAACTTTTGGCCAAATGCTTCACTATTAAACAGGGACAGAGCAATGAACTTGCAAGGCAACTAAAGGGGCTTTAAATTTTGTAAATTTAAGAAATTTGCAAATTTATGGAGTTAATGGATGCAACAAAATGTAAATTTTAATCGGAGGAAATTTAATAGTTTTCAAAATAATTTAATGAATTTATTAAATTTTGTATTAAAAAAAAAAACGATAATATAAAAGTTTCTATCAGTTCTGATATTTCTTATGGCTGAAATTTTCAATACATACTTTACTTTTTATCTCAGTCAAATGTACACTCAAACCCTCGTTCTGTTTTCCTTATATAATAATCAACATCAACTTTCTTCATCGATTTGCAGCTCCTCGCCAGCTCCAAGCAGTACCTGCGACCATTGAGCAGCGCCGTCATCAGCCAGAGCCAGACCTTGGCCGCTCAGAACACAACCCCAGTTGCACTGCTGCCACAGATCCGGTCATTCCAGACCTCGCCAGTCACCCGTGACATTGATTCGGCTGCCAAGTTCATTGGTGCTGGTGCTGCCACAGTCGGAGTTGCTGGATCCGGTTCGTATTGGTTTTGTTTTGTCATTCATTCTCTAGTAAATCTAGTAAATCATCATCCATCGATCAGGGGCATCTCCAGAGTCTAACGCCTCAATTGGCCGTTCTACCAAGTCAGTTACAATCTAGCATCTGGGGCACACACAACGAGTATCTGATTACTCTTCAAATCAATTGCCCCGGGAAGGTCTGAGAATTGGCCAAAGTCTAATTTGTGAAGACTTTCATTTCCTAGCAGGAGACCTGTGTGATTGCAGGGCGAAAGTACCAGAAATCCTGTGACTAAGGTGTTGCCGAGCCCACCAGCGAAAGCCGCCTGGTTGCATTGAAAGCTTTCGTGGCCAGCCGTTTAAGTGCGATGTGCTTGCTGCCCCGTTGGGGGCAGAACTCAATTCAGACTAATCTGTGACTGACTTACCAGGCGACAAAGAAGCGACAGGCAAAGGAGAAGTCTCTGTAAATAGAGAGCTGTGTTTATGCTTGGAAATTGCCAGAAATGAAGGATAAGCACAGTTCGAAGCTTCGGCTTTCGACGAAGATCATCTTTCACTGTTTACATCTAACTTGAGATATAAGACTAATGCCTTGATTTTTGTACTCTCTTTTCTGATAACGACAACGAACCAATGCAACAGGTGCTGGTATCGGAACAGTATTCGGTTCCCTCATCATCGGTTACGCCAGGAACCCATCGCTGAAACAGCAGCTGTTCTCCTACGCCATTCTGGGCTTTGCCCTGTCTGAGGCCATGGGTCTGTTCTGTCTTATGATGGCCTTCCTGCTGCTCTTCGCCTTCTAAGCGCGCGCACTCATCGAATGCTCGTCCTTGTTTCCTGCAATCGTGCGTGCGTGCGAGTGTGTGTCCTGTCGTCTGTCAATCGATTTGGCAGTTTTGGCAGGCGTGCAGCCGCATCCGCATCCCAGCGGTGGCAGAGCGAATGAATAGTAGTAACCAACAACCAACAACACTTCAACAACCAGAACAAACAACACCAATGTTCGTTTTTCGATTATTATTGATAAAAATGATTGAATAATTGATAGCAAACAAGAACATCCTGTACCACTATCTAATTATAAATACCAACAACCACATAATATATGTAATTTTGTTTTTAAAAAACATCCGAAAAAGCAGTAGTAGTCGCTTAAGAAGACGAGGAGAAGAGATCAGCCCGAAACACATACTTTAAGTTGAACAACGCGAGGAGGAAGGAAATTGGATAGACGACGGCGACCTTGGCACATTCACGACCGCGATTGTAACGAAATGTAAACGAACGGAAGATTAAAATTAGATTTTAATTGAAGTTAGCTCACCTTCAGTCCCAACCACAGCCACGGATGGAGTCCATAGAGCGCAACGCACGACCGCCTCTGAAAATTCGGCGAAGGATCAAACACGTCCGCGGATCAAGGCTCTCTCTCTCCCCCCGAAGTACTTGGACATCAAATATCCAGCGGCAGGCAATCAGACGTGACCGAATCCTTTGCCCTTCGAACATCTTGGATTTTAAACAGTCGCTTGCGTGGCTTTTGCATGGACATAAATCTGGTGGAATGTGTGTTGTGGACTGAGCGCGCGTTATGTATGGTTCTGCAAAACTTTATCGATTTTATGTGGCGTGTACTGAGAAAAAACCCTTTGTTTTGAGTATTTCTCTTTTTTGTATTGAAAGAAAATTAGTTTCCTTAATGTACAAGGAGTTTATTTTTATTGCCACTTAAATTTATCATGATTATGTACCAAAAAAGTTGAGCAAACGTGCGGAGCTGAATTGTGAAATAAAGGAATAATGAATGTGTAAAGGAAAATGAAAATCTTTTATTTTGAATTTTTTTGGGAAATGCACTTAGGAGTCTTATCTTGTGACTATATTTAAAAAATAGAAATTCTAGGCGCCCGAATGCAGCTCTGTTTCTTTAAGTAGTTATCGGATTGAAGAACAGTGCAAATTACTCTAAGGGGATTATCGATAACAATTGCATTCTAGAATACCATCTCTAATTCGTGGCCACACGTGTGTTTACGTTTTGAAGAATCTTAGTTTTAAGAGATTTTGGCATGGATTTTGCCAAGAAAATACTGAGCAAGTATGGCTGGAAGGAGGGTGAGGGACTGGGCAAGAACAACACAGGCATTGCTGCTCCACTTAAGGCCAGCTTGAAGTTCGACAACGCTGGCTTGGGAGTGGACCGTGCCCAGGAATTCAATGACCACTGGTGGGAGCGTTGTTTTAACGAGGCGGCCAGCAACGTAGATGTCCAGGTGCAGCAGAATGGCAAGATCACTACCGGTCGCAAGGAGGGTGAGGATGCCGTGGAGATATCCACCAAAGGGTTCTCCGCTCGCAAGCTAAAGAAAGCGAAGGAGCAGCACGTCAGCGATGGCAAATCCACATACGACAACTTCCTGCAAACGGCACTGCTTACCCAAGGTGGCGGCGAGGTGGAGAACACGGAGCGCATTCGCGTGGAGGACATAGCAGTGACCAAGGTGAGCGTGCTGACGGACGAGGAGCTGTTCAAGGCCTGCGGTGGAAGGACAGCTCATAAGGGAGCTCGGCACGGTCTCAAGCTGACCGGAAAGATTGCCCGTTTGGAGCAGCAGGAACGCGAGTTGCTGGAGAGGATGCAGAGCAAACTGAAGGCCGCAAAGGAGCAAGCGACAGATCAGAAACAGAAAAAACAGATAGACTTAAATACAGAAGGGTCCCTAGTACAAGCAAAAGATAATTTGGAGTCCATAGAGGAGCCCATGGGGGCACCTCCGAAGTCAAAAAAGAAGAAAAAGGATAAAACTGAAAAGTTAGAAGAGGATGTTATCGTAGAACAAACGGTGCTGCCCGTGAAATCAAAAAGAAGAAAAAGAACAAAGCTGATAAAATATCTGAGGAAGAATCTGTAAATACTGTAAATATAGCTGATGACGAAGTTGAGCCTGTGAAGTCTAAAAAGAAACGAAAAACAGAGGACACTCTGGGCGAAACTGAAGCTCCGGTTAAAACCAAAAAGAAGAAAAAGAACAAGGAGGCAAAGTAGCAGTAATTCTAAGTTAGTCTTAGTATACGCTAAGTTAAAGTGTAAATTATAAAGAAAATGAAAACGTGTAAATAGAACCTGTAGGTATACATATTCTGCACATAAAACTGCATGTATTTATCGTTCTAAAAAATCTATACACGGCGCGGGGCATTGTAAAACTAAAGTTAACGTTTGGTCACCTAATTATAAAGCCACAATCCTCTGGCGGATTGGATCACTTTCTGCCCTTGGCCTTGATGCGCCGCGACTTGCCCAGCCGCTTGTTGACCGAAGCTCCCGCCTTAACTCCTCGTTGCCGACGCGAGGATCCCTTCTCGCCATCCAATCCCGCCGATGAGGACTTGGTGTTCCGCTTCATTCCCTTCTTCTTGCCACCAAAGCCGAACTTCTTGTTGCGCTTCTTCCGATTGTCGGCCGATTGTTTCTGTTTGGACTCTAAGGCCTTGGCGTCTTCCAAGAAGTCCAGGTTCTTCAGCTTTCCCTTGCGGAACTTTTTCAGCTTGTCCAGCATTTCCTTCTTCTCGGCTTCGCGCTGTACCTTGGTCTGCTTGGCCAGCATCTTGCCCATCTTGCGCTGCTCGCGGATCTGCTTGATGCGTTCGGATTTGGCCTGTCCCTGCTGCTTGGCCATCAGATTGGCGCGCACCTTCTGCATGTGCTCGTCGGACTTGGCCATTTCGGCGAAGTAGTCATCCGGACGGCGGGTCTTGATGCCCAGTTCATGCAGACGTGGAATGCCCTCCAGAACAGCAGATTGGGCTTGTCTATGAAAGAGCATTTCGCGCTTGAAATCGTTCAGGACGGGATCTTCTTCGGGACGAATATAAGGCAGCTTGTGGTTGCCCTTGAACAGATTAGCGCGCTTCTGTTCGTGCTTTTCCAGCTGAACCGCCAATTCGGGGGCCAAGGGAGCCAATGTGTTGACCATGTCCAGACGTTCCTGCCATGGTAGCTGCAGCCGAATGGCTTCTGTTTTCGCCAGGAGTTTAGTCTACAAAAGGATGGTAGTTAGTGAGGAATCAATAATTATGACTATATACTTACCACATCATTAACTGTGTCTCGCTGCTTGCCGTTAAACTCCACATTTAGACCTGGCTTCAAATCGCCACGCTCAAAGGCCGCTTGCAACTGCACATTATAAATAAAATGTTAGTGTTTGTCGGACGTACGTCCAAGTTTTATAACTCACCTCTGCGTCAGAGTTGTCACCCGAATCGTAGCCGGAGCCGCTGTCCTCCATTTCAAAGTCTGACATTCTTAAATTAGGTAAAATCTAGATTTGTAAATTAAGAAAACAGTTTCAACACGTGCGGCCCGATAGAGGTGGACCAATTCAATTGCAGATTTATCGTTATCGGACTTCTAATGTTTTGAAAACAAAGGAGATTCATCGATGTTTCCATCGATGTCTGCCGTCTCTATTTGATGCCGATTAAACCTATCGTTGGCTGGCTTCGCTTTTAAACACTTGCCGCTCTTAGTTTGTTTAATAATTTAACTTACGTGCCCAATAAAATGTCTACGAATCTGGCGAATGTGTACGCGGAGCTGATGCGCCGATACGGCGAGACATATACCATTACCTACGGCCCACCGCCAACCTATTTGGCCAGCATAGCTGGAGCTGCGGAGGCGGGAAAGAAGATAGTGTTTCTTTTTAGAGAAGAACGCAGTGGTGCCGCTGCGTCCAGGATTCGGACCACGCCTGTCAAGCGGGAGCGTAAGTCAGAGGTCACGTCCGAGCTGGATCTTACGGGAAGTCCCCTCAAGGATGACTGTGAAGTGGAAGCCATTGGAGATCAGTCACTGGATCTGCAACTGGAGGACAAAAACCCCTGGAAGCTGGAAGAGGAGTTCCACCGGGGAATACCCGCAAACACGGCGAGGTCCATTATCTGTCAAGAGTCCTTTCAGCAGACCGACGGTCTGGGTTCTGTGTGGTTCCTGTGCGACGCGCAAGACTTGGGCCAAACGCAGCTGCTACAATACGAGTTCGATAAGTCGCACTTCTCACGGGGAATCCTCAGCTATCAGGGTGTGGTACCAGCCTATACGGTGACCTCGCAGTCCCTAGTGCGGCAACACTCCTCTCCCGGTAGCCATCCAGCTGAAACTGTCATCGAAAACAACTACATAGTGAACTCCAACATGATGCTACGCTGTTCCTATTCCACCAACGCCCCTCTTCCACTCTTGATAAACCTGCACGACTGCGAAGTGACTCTGAATAACACATTCCACGTGGGTGATTGCAGTTCCCTGACCCAGGACTTTATGAATCAGCTACGTATCTTGGTCTACATACGCGAGGATATCGTAAACTACCACAAGGATGTGCAGCAGGGCATTACCAGGGATCCCAAGTACCGTTGTGGCATTGGGATCGATATGGACGAGTTGCGGGAGGCGATTAACAAGACCATGACAGATGTGTCGGGCTTTACGGATCTTCCCTCACATGGTCTTGGGGGAGACTCCGACCTCGAGGATGTGGTGCATCGGGCCAAGATCCGTAGGATTACAGATCTCACCGACAAACTCTGGGAGCTGCTCAAGTGTAAGATAAATGTATATGTTAACCGGATAAATGTTTTTAAGGTCGTGTTTAAGTCTCTCTACAGATGGTTAACTGTTGTTCTGTTTTTTAAGGTTGCGACTCTTATAAGGACCTAAAAATGGCCTTCAATATGTTATTCCAGTGCGCTGCCCGATGTAATATAGTGGTAAGATCACTAGTATAAGTAGTTTTCACAATTTCCTTAGTAATATAACATTTTTAGAATACCCCCACCAATAAAAATCGCCTGGCCGAGATAATCAAAGAGCTGGCTAATCGTCGATTAGCCATGCCTTGTCTTAGTGGCGCCGAGCCCTTGGAACTCCTTCTGGAGATTGGCCTAGAGAAGGTTTATAAGGACTATGAATTTATCTACACCGAAAGCAAAATGTGCAGCACAAACCTGCTGAAGCACACAAGCGAGGTGGCAACGGCAAATGATGATGATGACTCACCGCAGAATCTGCCTCAGCTGCGAAAATCCTTGCATAATGCGGTTAGGGGTGATCCCACGCCCGGAGCGGGCGGAATGCGAAAGACGTTGCTGCATCACAATGGTGCCGACAAGTCGGGGAATGCAAAGTATGCTAGCAAGGACGACGACGAGGCGGGATTTAAGAATAGTCATTTTGATGAGCATGAGAGTATGGAGCGGGTCTCCAAGCTGTTTCAAATACACTGCACTTTGGAGCATCTGTTGATGATACAAGTGCACCTCAATTTGCCGAACGGTATGACAATTTAGAAAACTTTCTCTGCATTAAATGAATGTTTCATATATTCTATTTTCAGCTTATAGCGATATCTGCTCCAAGCTGCTAAAGAAAACCCCTCGCCTGCTGGAAGCCATCGATGACCAACTTAGTGACGTGATGGATATCAATATCTCTGCTCACTGTGTCAGCTCCCATTTGGATGGCAAGGAGCCCTACTCGCGTCACATTACCATGCGATCGTATAATAAATTTCGAGAAATAAAGACCACTTTTTACTACAACTCTGACAACATTTGTCCCCCAAATCTGGCCGAGTGCTTTCAAAGCGATGGTGAGCATGAATATGAAGAAATATTTTAATTCTTATTCTAATTCTAATTTTGTTTTGATTCTAGACAAAAAACTTGTCAAGGAGCGAACCTATCATTCCTGGTTGTATCATAAGATTCGTACACTTCAGTGATTATATGAGTATGTTATATTTATTTGCACTTTTTGTTCTAAAAAATCAATTAAATTGTTCATTAAAAGCGGATTTAGTATGTATAATAAATTAATATTTTTTCTAATTAGATGTGTAAAAAAAAATATATCTAGGGATGTTCATAAACACTTTACTTCTCAGAATATCCGCAACATGATGCGAATTTCAATTCAGATTTGTATTTTATTTTATTATTAAATCTATAACCCTTTTTTATTTTTTAATTCAAATGTTTGGGCTTGTTTTACATGATGCTTTTCTCGCCATTTGCAACGCTATCGACGGTTTTCATGCGAACCCCGAAAAAACCCAGCAGCGCACACCGAAATCATGTTAAACGAATTCGTACAAGTTTTAAGCCGACCCAGAGGCTGCTGCCGTTGCATTGGGGCGAAAATCTAGACAAAAACCCGACCGAAATCCGCTTCCGCCCTGCTCGCACTTTTATTGCCGTGTTCTTGCTGGCCATATTCTAAACAAAGGCCAGATCCGCGAGCATTTTGGCCAATAGCAAGCTCAGTAATGATGCAAAATGAGGCGAGCGAGAGAACGTGTGTGTGCCCAATGGATATTGGGGTAAAGAGTGGCGAAGGCGTCTCGGCGCCGTCGACTAAACACAATATGTTACAATCCAATTAGCCGGGTGCGCCACTTGGCCAAGACGAGCGATACTGGTCCCGTTGCCGATTGATTTGCATTTTGTCAGACGTGCGTGGAACGCGCTGCGGTTCGGACGTGTTTTTTCCTTGGTAGCCGAACTTCCGTTTAACGTTTGGAACAAGGAGCCGCCAGGATTATTACGCGAGTGTCCTGCGCAGGAGCTGCAAAAATCAACTTGATCTGTGGACAGTGGACAGTTTGTGGCAGTTAAATTCAATTAAGTTCGTTCTAAATGCCAATTATCGCGAGTGCCTAATCCAATTAACCACAAAATGGTGTGTATTAATTACTCAACGAAATGGTCCCGCATCCTGCATAATCAAATAAAGATTTCTTGCCATAAAAAGGATACTCGATAGGCTGTGCGAGTAGCCCTTGAAGTGCTCAACTCTTGCGGCTTAGCGAAGCCCTAGAGAAGACGGACTGGATTTAATTCTTGTGAAACGAGAGATACCCCTTTGGTCTTAAATCATCCCTGAGTTTTTGCCAAGGATAATTAAGTTTTTATCCTCTTGTCGAGGTCTTTTGCCACTCATTTCCTAGAAGAGATGTAGGAAAATATATACTTTTTTAGAGCTAGAGGCAAATTCTTAAGTACTTGCCTTCGAGGCTCCAGTCTCAGTCTAGATTTATAATTTTAATTAGAAGCTAGTGAGTGGCTTTCATATACAAATTATTTTTATTGAAATTTAAGTAATCTAAGTTCATTAAAAATAGTATAAATATTAAAATTATTAAGTACTAAAGTCTTAAAAGTTTTTTCATGTAATTAACTAATAATTCGCATGTAATTGAGAAGAATTGAATTTTATGAATAAATTCAGTTAATAAAAATATTTGAAAATTTTTAAGAAAACTGAAATTATCAGTGCGAGTTTTTTTTCAAAACCACTATAATTTCAAAAAATATCAGACGTTCTCCTACTGAGCCAAGTCATTTTCCTTACCTCTAGGGCCTCGAGTTCTTCTTTAAGTTTGGCTATGCCTTCCTGACCATAACCCTTATGATCATGATCTGGATGTCACTGGCCCGTGCCTCGATGTTTGATCGTGAAATGGAGGAGACGCATTACCCGCCCTGTACTTACAATGTGATGTGCACCTGTTCCAAATCCTCTACGGATCTGGGGATTGTGCACTGCAAGAACGTTCCGTTTCCCGCACTGCCGCGCATGGTGAACCAATCAAAGGTGAGTGGGTTTTGTTCTTAGAAATTATTTTGAAAATCTGGCATTCTGAGATTCTAAATTTCCAAGCAAGACCTGTTAAATCTTAATTAATAAAGTCGTTTCTAATGTGTACTTAATACTCTTAATCGGGGTCAGGTTTTCATGCTGCACATGGAGAATACGGGTCTGCGCGAGATCGAGCCGTACTTCCTGCAATCCACGGGATTGTACCGGCTGCAGATTTCGGGAAATTACCTAACAGAGATACCGGAAGACGCCTTTATCGGGCTTGAACGGTCGCTGTGGGAGTTGATCCTGCCGCAGAATGATCTGGTGGAGATGCCCTCGAAATCGTGGCGGCACCTGAAGAAGCTGCGCCACCTAGACCTGGGCTATAATCACATAACGCACATCCACCACGACTCGTTCCGAGGACTAGAGGACTCGCTCCAGACGTTGATTCTGCGCGAGAACTGCATCTCGCAGCTGTCACCGCACAGCTTCTCGGGGCTGCTTATCCTGGAAACCCTAGATCTGAGTGGCAACAACCTCTTCGAGATTGATCCGAATGTGTTTGTGGATGGTATGCCACGTTTGACTCGCCTCCTGCTGACGGACAACATTCTCTCGGAGATCCCATATGACGCTTTGGGGCCGCTGAAGAGCCTGCGCACCCTGGATATCTCCCACAATGTGATTTGGTCGCTGAGTGGCAACGAGACGTTTGACATCAAGGCCAGTACCAAGCTGAATCTGGATAATTTGCACTTGGAGTACAATCACATCGAAGTGCTGCCGCCCAACTCGTTCAAGTACTTTGACACCGTAAACAGGACCTTCTTCGATGGCAATCCCATCCACACATTGAGGGTAGGTTACCTTTTTAAGGATATTTTCCATTTTACTTAAATAATTATGGTCCTCAAAGCTTAAAATATATATATTTGTTTCATTATAAACTCTATTTCGCAGGAAGATGCCTTTAAGCCCGCTCGGATCAGAGAGATTTACATGCGATACTGCGGCCTGACTAATATATCGATTCAGGCCTTTGACAGCCTGGTGAATAGCCTGCAGATCCTCGACCTGTCTGGAAACAATCTCACCAAGCTGCATCACAAGCTCTTCAACAATTTCGATGTCTTGAGGTGAGCCAAAAACACCTCTATATACTTAGTTGCTACCCCGGTTTCCCTCACTCATTTAACACACACGGGGGCCTAATCGGATTGTCTAGGGGCTTCACTCCGTTCCCTCCGTGTTGTATGTGGGCTAAGAGTGTGACCCGATTTTAAAGAACCCGCCGAGGAGGAGGGAAAAGCCGCGCAACCAGGCAATTGTGCAAAAAACAGCCGACACTGAAGGAAAAGCTTAGACATAAAAAAATGCTGAAAATATTAATCAATACAAGTTTGCAAAGCTATTTAGTTTGTTATGTGAGAAGCATGACTTCCTCAAAGAATTCAATAGAATGGAATATATAATTTTTATTTATATTATTATTTTCCTTACTCGTTATAGGGTCATCAGCATGCGAGACAACAAGATCAAGATCCAGAAACCCACCGAAACCTTTAATGCCATGCACTACACTCTCCTGAAACTGGATCTCAGTGGGGACCGGAATGATCCCACCAATTTGCAGACTCTGCGCAAGTAAGTGACCCCCACAGCACTGAGAGAATATCCTGCTTCCCACACACACACCCCTTACCCCATTACCACTCTTCTATTTATTTACCAAAAAGTATGACCAGAATGCGGAATATGCGCTCGCTGTCGATCTCGCGGATGGGCTCCTCCTCCCTGGGACCGGAGGACTTTAAGGACTTTGGTGTGGAGCTGGAGGATCTGCAGATCACTAGGGCTAGTCTCTCCGGGATTCAGTCGCACGCATTTAAGCATGTGAGGGGCCTGAAGCGATTGGATTTTAGCGAGAATGGAATATCCAATATTGAGAATGATGCCTTCCATGAGGTAAGGGTATTTTTGAAGGGAGATATACAGATATATTTTATTATATTTTTTCTTTTAGATTGGTCACTCTTTGATCTCTCTGAAGATGTCCCATGGCTATTCGGGAAGTGCCCTGCCGGCGGAGGCTTTGAGGCACCTAACCTCGCTGCAGGAGCTGGACTTTAGTAACAATCATATAAGCAGCATGAGTGACACTAGTTTCCATTTCTTGAAAAATCTGCGATTACTAGAGCTGCACGATAACCGCATAGAGCAGGTTTCCAAGGGCACCTTCCAGGGCGACATTCACTCAAAGCTGGAGGAAATCTCACTGCGCTTCAATCACCTGACTTCAGTGTCGACATATACTTTCTTTGATCTGGAAGCATTAAGGAAATTGCATCTGGATGATAATAAGATTGACAAGATTGAGCGAAGGGCCTTCATGAACCTGGATGAACTGGAGTATCTGAGCTTGAGGGGTAATAAGATCAGCAATTTGGCAGAGGAATCCTTCCAGAACTTGCCGAATATGGAGATCCTGGACATGGCATTCAATCAGTTGCCCAACTTTAACTTTGATTATTTTGATCAAGTGGGAACGCTGTCCAATCTAAATGTTAATGTGAGCCACAATCAAATCAGGCAACTGATGTACAATTCCTCATGGAGTGGAAGAAATGAACATGGTAATGATAATGGCATGATTATTTAAGTTATTTAAAACTTAAATCATAATTATATATTTTTGTTCATATCAGGCGGCATGTACCACTCGAACATTAAGATTTTGGATCTCTCCCATAATAACATATCCATAATTCACCCGGGCTACTTCCGTCCGGCGGAGAATTCACTGACCCATCTGCATTTGGGTTATAATTCGTTAATGGTGGGTATCCCTTTGAGTTATATTGAAAATAATTTATTACATGCATATATTAAATGATTGTAGAACACCACTCGCGATGTCTTTGGCAACATGATTAACTTGCAATGGCTGGATCTTAGCTACAATTGGATCCATGAGCTCGACTTTGATGCATTCAAGAACACCAAGCACTTACAATTGGTGTATTTTGGCCACAATTATCTCAGCGATATACCGCAGGATATCTTCAAGCCTGTCCAAGCTTTACGAATCGTTGACTTTTCGCACAATCATCTGCGTGGCCTGCCCGACAACCTCTTCTATAATGGAGGAATGGAGAAGTGAGCCAAGGTTTTCTGAAATGTTTTCCTTAAAAATTACAACAATTGTGGTTTGTTTTTAGATTGGATGTGTCGCACAACATGCTTTTGAAGATTCCATCCTCGTCGCTGTCAAGCTTGGCTGCCCTGACTCTGTGCGAATTGCATTTGTCCAATAACTTTATCTCCACCATTCACAGCATGGATCTATCCAATAAGTTTAGAGTGAGTTGAAACATTATTTGAGTATTTTTTTTTTAAACAATAAATGTAAATATATATTTTTTAGTCCCTTCGCTACTTGGATATATCCTATAACTACTTGCTGCGTATTGAAGACGCCGTCTTTGCCACCATGCCCAAGTTGGCTGTGTTGGATCTGTCTCATAATCGGGATCTTAAGGTGATGGATAAGTCGTTTATGGGTCTAGAGAACTCACTGATCAAGCTGGGATTGGAGAATGTTTCCTTGAGCACCGTGCCCGAGATTCGTCTAAAGTTCCTGCGTGAGTTCCGTTTGGGCTACAATGAACTGCCCTCGATTCCCCAGGAGTTGGCCACCAATATGTCCAATCTTCGCATGCTGGACCTCTCCAACAACGATTTGACTAATGTGCCCTTGATGACACAATCTCTGCCACATCTGAGGTGGGTTAAGAGCATATGTTATATTTTATATATATTGATCAATTATTAATTAATTAATTTCCCCATCAGGCGTCTGATGCTGTCTGGAAACCCCATCACCTCGCTGAACAACAACAGCTTTGATGGCGTCAATGAGGATCTGGAGATGCTGGATATATCCAATTTCCGGCTTCACTACTTTGAGTATGGCTGCCTGGACTCATTGCCTCATCTGCGATCCCTGAAGCTTACTGCTTATTCTCACATCGAGCACTTTAACATTCCATATTTGCTGCGCCATCACTATAATATTCGCCAGCTGTGGATTGAAGCACCGCAGCCCTTCACCAGGATTATCAAGAAGGGTTCTGGACCCACTCTGGAGATGCAGACCCTCTGGCTGGGCAATCCCACCGATCTTCAGCGCGAAATGGAGGGTCATCTGCCCTCCAAACTGACCAACATCACGTTCAGTGGTCCACAGTTTAGTAATCTGCACGAACGTATCCTGAGGGTGGGTCTTATTTATAGACTTAAGTTTATTCCTTACTTTAAATATATGAAATATTTTTTAGGGCATGCGTTCTCCCTATCTGTACATGCAATTGTTCAACACCTCACTTCAAGCCCTCCCACCGAATTTCTTCAAGTATATGGGCCGTGTTCGAAACATTTCGCTGGATATTCGTTATAACAATCGCAACCTGAAGAAGATTCCCAACCCAAATACGGGAGCTGTGCCATATCTGCCCAACAGTGTGTTCCTCACCGATCTGAAGATGTCCCACACGGATCTCAATTGCGATTGTGATTTGGGGTAAACTATATTCTATATCCTATGTGCTTTAATTATTTCTCATTATCCCTTTCAGTTGGGTTGAGTTCTGGCAGCGTAAGAGGCGCCAATATATTTGCTCTTCGCAGACCTGGACCGATACTGTCTTCCGCACTTTCATGAACTCACCGTGCCAGGTGTACGGACGCCATAACTGCGATGATCATGATGATGATCTAAGAGAGACACGCTGCGAAAACAAAGGAGGTCAACAGCTAATGGAGGTATATTCTTAAAATATAAAATATTGAACAATTTATTCTTAATTTTATACTTCCTTTGTAGGCCCTCAAATTCGATCTGGAGTGCGGCTGGGATAATGCCAATTGCCGGGAGGCCGCCTTTGTGGTGGTCATGGTGTGCGTGGCCATGGTCTTCTGGATGTGACTTCTGCACTTTGCATATAAGACGTCCACCGACTTTTATAGCATTCTAGAGCAGGTCTATGGCAGGCAGGTTGTGTAAGTCCTGCCATCAGATGTCTAGAGTTTAAGCTTGATGATGAGACTTTGGCCACTTTTGACTCCTTTCGCAGTTAGTTGTTTCTCTTCCGTATACCTTCTCTCACCACTCCGCTGTGTAGCGTCAATCTTTAGGTCCTTGGTAACGCCTTATATGTAGTAATCCTCACGAACTCACAATCCACACTCACCACACACCTCACCTTTCTGTCTGACATGTATGTATATTTTTGTAGGCCTCGATTTGAACCACATATAATCTCCAGCTATCTTATAAACACGTCTTACTTAGCCCACGAATATTTTCTGTACTTCTTTTATAAGTTAGGTCACTGCTTAAACGCTGCTTAAACAATTCCAAAATGAAAGTCTGTAAAATGTTTCATAAACATATAATAAATATTTACGGTAGGTTAAGTTCGCCTCTGCTGCTGACTGTCTTTTTCCTTATTTTTTTTTGAGGGGGTACATTATGATTTTTATGGGTCTGCTGGGCCGGCAGAAAAGTACTTGCTACAAACAAATTATGTTCACAATTGCCGGACCAGGCAGCTGGGCTGGTCAGTAACAAACAATTAAAAACTTTTTGCTTAAAGTTTCCTCCACTTCGTATACGGCTTTTCCATACGATAAATTATTGTGTGTAAAGCGGCGTCCGCTTTTCCTCTCTTACTTTTATTTCGTTTCCTTTCGATGGCCTTTTTGTTGAGGGTATTTTCAGTTAAATGGGAATTCTGGAACACACAGAAAAGGAAAGTATTTAAGAAGTGTTCAATATACCAATCAATGTCGGGAATTTGCCAGGCAGATATAAAATAAAACTATAACTATAACTATGTTAAAGTTATAATGTTTGATCTTTTTCGAGTGCACTTTTTTACTATTACTTTTCACCTAGTGAATTAAAAAATAAAAACATAGAAACTGTTCTATTTTATATTCCTAAGTTCATAAGGTGAAAAGATACTCAAAATTTTAATTGTATTGCACTGATAAACAGCTTTAATTTTTAATCTTCAATCAAGTAAAAGAAGACTATTTAAAATATATATTTTCATTCTAGGGTATTAAGAACGCGCTTTCCTTAGACATTCCAGTTTCCTTTTTACACACATAGATATATATTTTTGGCAGTTTTATTGAGCTAAAGTACTTTGTGATATATGGACAGGCTGGAGGGGAAGGTGGACGTGGGCGGCGCACTAAAGTTCAAATGGGGCAGCAACAATCTCATCAACTTCCCGTTTATGCACTTTTCCGATTCCGGTGGCTGGTGTGGGCGCCTCGCACCGGCCGCAGTAGTGGAGCTGTTTTCGGAGAAAAGCGAAAATCAGAATGGCGGAAAAGCGGTTGGGGTAAGTGGAAAGTGTCTAGAGCACTTTCTGCGGCAGACTTTTTACCTGTTGGCCAATTAAATTTTCAAAACGTGGCCGAACAAAAGTCCAAGCGCCCATATTGCGATGCTCTTCCTGGCTCCAAACAAAAGCTGCACAGTAAAAAATATTTGCAAATATAAAAGGAATAAATACAATTAAATTAATAATATTAAAATTAATATAATAGAATTTTTGAGAATGGGAAACTAATTAAAAGTTTTTGTGTATGAAGTTAAAGTTTTGATTGTGGGATGATAGTATTATTTCAAGTGTAAAGGGTAACGATAGAGTAAAACAGTATTGGCCAACTTTGTGGGCAAAGTTTACGACATGAACTCACATTGCACGTTGCCGTACTGGGCCAACTGGGCCTTCAGCTCCTGGACGGGGAATGGACAGAGGGACTCCAGGCGCAGGATGGCCGTATCATAGGCCTGCCGCTTCTCGCGCTCCTCCGCCAGATTGTAGTAGTGCTTGCCACTGCACAGGATGACCTTTTTCGCCTGCTCCGCCTTTACGATGGTATCGCCTATTGCAAGACAGTGGGAGTAAGTTTATTAAGAAAACTAAATATAATGCACTTAAATAAGAACAACGTAGGCGCTTAAAGTCTAACGTTTAACTTTATAGTTCTTTTTAAGAGCCTAATCTAGAGGGTCTGCAATAACCATCATAAAAATAAAATCTTTATTCCAAAAATTTAAACAGTTTATAAAGCGTGGCAGCTTCTCTAAAATTATTATCCTTCCTCATTTGCTCATAATTTATATAATTCAGTTTAAAAGCCACGTTCTCTGACAAGTATTAATGAACATGACACGTGTCAGAATAATTGACATCATCCAAATGACTATATCTGTACTTCTAAGAATACAACAAGAATATAATTAAATGAGAACGTGGTAAAAGGTTAATCATATTTTAAAGTACATATTTTATAATAGAAATTGTCACTTCAAAATGCTATTCCCATTTCCTGTACAAACCCAGGCCATAAATATAACATCTTACTCACCCAACACATTGTGGAAGAGTGTGCCCGGCTGGAAGTCTTCATGTGTGGATGTGGCAGCCGGGAGACGGAGGAGCGTCTTTGGGGCCACCACTATCAGTGGCTTCCGGAAATTTCTCGCCAACTGGCGACGCAAGACATGGTAGTACTGGGCGGGCGTTGTGGGGTTAACGATGTGCACGTTGACGGAATCGCCATCTGGGGCGGTCTCCTTGGAGTCGCACAGTTGCAGGAAGCGTTCGATGCGACAGGAACTGTGTTCCGAGGCAGCACCATCGTATCCATGGGGAAGCAGCATCACCAGGGCATTTGACTCCATCCATTTGGCTAAGAGAAATATACTCTTAATTATAAGGTTAAAGAAGAAAAGTATCTGTTTCTGGTCAAGTCAACAGAAAACTCTCAATTAATGTAGTAATTAAAAAGAAATCTTCTTACTAATAGTTAATTCCTAGCAAGTTTGTATAACTATTTCGATAATACATCTTTACTCACTCTCTCCGGACACAATAAAGGTATCAATAATGATCTGTGCTCCATTGGCAAAGTCCCCGAACTGCGCCTCCCAGATGATTAGGTTATTGGGATTATCAATGGCCATGCCATACTCGAAACCCAAGACCGCCTCCTCCGATAAAATACTATGAGCCAGTTCCAGTTTTCCGCCATTTCCACCTTCCATGCTGTTGAGTGGGACAAACATCTCGTTGGTCTGCTGATCCACCAGCATGGCATGGCGATGGGAGAAGGTTCCTCTGCCCACATCTTCACCACTGATTCGGACATTGTGTCCTTGGTACATTAGACTTCCGATGGCCAATGCCTCCGCTGTAGCCCAATCGATCTTTGCCCCATTCTCCAGCTTTTTTAAGCGAGCTGTGACATGAGTTTTAAGTAGATGAGGATGGATGTTCTATAAAGGATGGGGGTTACTCTTATTCTTTAATTAATAATCTAAATGATAACTTACAAAGTCTTCAGGGAAGGCCACACTTTGTTGTCCAATATAATGCAACAAGGAGTAGTCCAAGCCAGTATCCCAGTATGTCAGCTCCTTGGAGGACGCCAACTGAAGATCCTTCCACTGTTTCTCAAAATATGAAGGCGGCGGCTGATAGGTAGGAGCCAAGGCCAACTCCTCGCCCAAATACTTCATGTAGTTATCCCTCATTTCCTTGGCCTGTGACTCAGAGAGAACTTGCTCCTTGGCCAGTTGCTGGGCATATAAATCCGGTACCGATTCCCTTTGATGGACAATCTTGTAAACTAGAGGATTCGTGAAAGTGGGATCGTCCAACTCGTTGTGGCCCCAGCGACGGAAGCAGTTGAGATCGATGAAAATGTCCTTGCGGAACTCCCTCTGATATCGGAAGGCCAGATTCGTGATGCGGGCCAGGGCCTCAGGATCATCACCGTTCACATGGAATACCGGCGCTTGGATGGACTTGGCCAAATCAGAAGTATAGGCCGTGGATCGTCCACGTTCTCCGGGGGTGGTGAATCCCACCTGGTTGTTTACAATCAAGTGAAGGCTACCGCCCACCTCAAAGTGCGGGACATAGGCCATGTTCAGGCACTCCTGGTTAATACCCTGCCCGGCGAAGGCCGCATCTCCATGCAGGATTACGTTGAGTACATGTTGGCCAAAGGGCTGACTGTCGCTATCTCCAAAGGCGCCCTCGCCCCTCATCTGCTGCTTGGAACGCGTTTTGCCCATGGCCACGGGATTGGCAGCCTGAGAGAGCGAACGGAGGACAAAGGATCCGGAAGATAAAATCGGGAATCAAATTTCAAAGTTTGGCGTGTGTCGGCTTACCTCCAGATGCGAGGGATTGCGCACCATGCTGAAGTTCAGGTTCTTGCCCAGCACCTGCAGCTGCTCGGAAACATCTGTGTGCGATTCGGTTTAGGTTTGATTAAATTAAGCATACGCCATGTGTGCTTAGGCTAGCAAACGTACTTTCATTCCCTTGCTTGAAATATTTGCTCGACTGTACATTACCCTTTTACTTAGATTATTTCTTCACTTTTCTTTACTATTACAAATTTAAGTAGGTTTCTGAATATTACATAAAAAATAGTCATTGAAAAAGAGGAAAAACTGAAACCATTTATTCTTCTTAGATAATGTTTTTATAACTGTCACTAACTTTAAAATATGTTCAGGACATGTAGCACAAGATAATGATCCCTTCCTGTTACCTACAGGTACCCTATAAAACTCAACAACAGCAAAAAAAAAATACCCACGAAATTTACAGGAAAAGTTTCACTTACGGAAATGACTTATGACGTCGGACATGGCCTCGATGTCTTCGGGAAACTCTGATGCGCCGCTGAGTTTGCGGAAAACTTTCGCCGGCCGCATGTTGAGCAGGGCGGCCTGCAGCGGGGTGCGTCCTCGATGGGGCATCGCCAGGACCACGTGCTCGATGTTCGCTGTCATTCCATTGGACGGTTGTTGTCGTCGTTATTTCCGTTGTTTTCGTTGTTTTAATCAGGATTGCATGCGAGGGAGAAAAGTTTTCGGGGAAAAAGCAGATTAGGGTTAAGTAAGCGTGCTATGATATGTGAGACCTTGTGAAGGTTCACCTGTTCAGGTGTGACAACGTGAAACGATAGTCAGTTTCACCCAGATCCCCGAGGCGGAAATCAAATAAAGCAAGGTCATCTCTAATACTTAAACATTAGATAAAGTTTGGCGGTTTGAAATGGGTTCGCGATTTTGTAGAATGCTAATCTTGTCGAAGGTGAAACAGTCAGGGATATATTATTCCAACTTTACACTGGAAATAATAAACGAATTCAATTAACGTATTAAATTAAATCCCAATTACCTTAAAGATATAATGTTGCCTTCTTAAATGATTCCAAATAATAAGCAAATTTTATGCCACCCTTGTGATTATTTTAAATACACTTTACTTTAGCCTAAAGCTATCTAAACACCTAAAAGGACGACCTGCATGTTAATTTAAATTGCCGAATTTTTAAATGAGGGTGTGAGATAAATGGGAATGAAATATTTT